CTCATACAGGAGGATCATGGCCCTGTTGTCTGCGTACAGAACCGGGGCAGAGCTAGGCCGCACACCTAAGTCTGTGAGAAAGAACGTCAGCCTGCGGAGCTCCTGTGCCGCCATGGCACCAGTGTAGATCTCAGCCTCACAGCTAGACTGTGCAACAGACGACGAACGGGTGGACCTCCACGAGATAGAGCCTGCACAAAGGCTAAAACAATAGCCCTGGGAGGATCGGAGCGTCTTAGCGTCATCCGCCCAGAAGCGTATGTGTGCCATGAAAGGACTACCGGCCTGTGTCCTCCTAGCACTAGCCCCATGCCCGATGTACTTGCTAGATAACACAAAACCCTCTTAGCGGCCGACCAGTGCTGTGGTCGTGGTCTTCTTGTCGCCACAAAGCGAGCCATGATACTGAGGTGGTATGCGAGATCTGGGCGAGTGCAAGTCATCAGGGGTATGAGGCAACCCACCATCTCTGCGTACGAACAACTTGGCTCTACCAACTTGTCAGGAACTGTAGCCGAGAGCGTGTGATCTACTGGTAGACGTGTAGGCTGTGTGAAGGAGAACTGAAGACCAAACCTCTGAAGGACCTGGCGCACTAAGTGTGACTCTGTGGGAGTAATGGTGCGCGCTACTCTGTCTCGGGAGATCTGCAGGCCAAGGTAGCGGCGCAGCTCTACTAGGTCAGTAAAGGTGTGTCTCCTCACCAGCTCAACCGTCACGAAGGCCAGTGTTTCTTTGTGTGCAGTAGCAAAGACCACGCCGTCTACGTAGACTAGGATGTAGAACGGAATCTAGCCTGAGCGAACGAAGAGCAAAGCGTCTACAGAGGACAGGAAGAACTGCAGGTCAGAAAACGTAGCACGCAGCGTGTTGTGCCACTCACGGGGCGCCTACCGCAGGCTGTAAACCAGACGACGGAGGAGCCACTCGGTCCCTGGGGTGAAGGTGCCAGTGATGCCTAGCGGACGACGCAGGTAGACATGCTCGTGCAGACTGCCCTGGAGAAATACTATGGAGAAGTCGAGTGAGTGCAGCTCGTACTCGCACTGTGTTGCTACATGAAGCAGCACCCAAAGAGTGGTCATCTTCGGGGTCGGGGCGAAGATCTGAAAGAAGTCAACACCCTCGCCCTGACTGAACACCGGCAACTCTCCAGGAGGGCGCTTCACCCTGAAGAGCCACCGGCCATCGATTACGTTCACCCCAGGTAAGGGAACTGCATCGACGTGGGTGCCGGTGGATGTCCATATGCTATCTCTGCGTCCATGGCAGCTATCCATTGAGAGGCCGAGGATCCCGAGGTCGCCTCAGTGTAGGTGCAAGGGGTTGGGATGTCAAGGGCGTCTGGTTCACCCTCGGGGACTAGCAGCATGGAGCAGAGATAAGGAGCGGCCTTGGACAGGAAAGCTAGCCCGTACTGCCTGTCCTCTAGGACGTCATTGCCAAGGGCAGGAGCACCCCCGATGGATGGAGGACGGAAAGTGTTAGAGACTAGAGCAGTGGCATAGTCAAGGCAGCGGGAAAAGTCAGCGACGTCAGCGACAAGAGCGTCAAGACTGGAGACAGGAACGGATGGGTCGGTGACAAGAGAGGCGAGGACCCGAGGAACAAGGGGACTAGCAGAACGGAGACAGTCAAAGATAGGAAACGGAGAGACAACAAGGGAAGCTTAAGGAGGCAACGGGAGAAGAGGAGCACGAGACGCGTGAGAATGGAACAACATAGGGTGAGAATGCTGAACCGGGGAGACCGAAAGAGCACAAGAGGGACGGCGGAGACCAGAAGTGAGAGGGAGGCGTCGAGTCAAGAGACACATGAGGAGGCACAGGAAGAGAACGAGGGGGGAGACGAGCCGGGGACGATTCCGGTGGAGGAAACACAGGGTCGTAGATGGGCGGAGAAGGCGGTGCAGGGGGAGGCGCGAGCGGGCCGTCAGGGGAGGGAAGACCAAGAAGACGAAGAGCGGACACCGGCGGCGACTGCTAAAGCTGCTCTACGCTGACACCAAAGCCTCCAGCCGCACCACGGCTACCCCCCGAACCCCCCACGACAGCACCCCCAGGACGAGAACCCTCTCTAGCATTGGTGCCACCCCCAGGACCGCCGTGACAAGCCACGTCAGTACCCCCAAGACTAGCACCCTCCTCAGTGCCCGCACCGTCAGAGCTCGTGGACCCTTGCGGCTGCGGCGGCGACGACGGCGGCGGCTGCGGCGGCGGCGCCTGCTGCTGCTACTGCGGCTGCGGCGGCAGCAGCGGGGGAAAGCGCGTGATGGAGACAGGCGGCGGACCCTGCGCCTCTGGGCCTCCAGTGTCAGTCGACTCCTCCGCCGGGGCAACCGAGGGAAAGGGAGTGACGTTTGACACACCAGACGGAGTAGGACGGGGAGGGAGGGGAGTAGGAGCTACAAGGGGAGGGGGGACAAGGAACAGGGGCGGGGTAACCGGGAGACCTCAGTAACGAAAGCGGGTGTAGAAAGAGACAAACTCATCAAAGGTGACGCACGAGAGTGAAAGAAGCGGTGAGACGGTGGGTGGTAAAAGTGCCAGTCAGACGCGTTGAGGGGGAAGCCAAGGAAGACACAAGGGACGGTACGGGCAGTGAGCTTGGGAGGAGAAGGGTTGGCGAAACCTGCGGCTGCTGGGAGTGTGGCCACAGGTTAAGCTGGTGAGCGGCGTAGCAAATAGCGAATAACCACAGAAAATGGGGTGCACCGGCATGGATCATGAATGTACGAGCCACCTCCATGACCAAACCGATGCGATACTTAGCGACCCCATTCTGCTGCGGGGAAGCCGACAGGGTGTACAATTGGGTGATGCCCTCCGTATAACAGAACCGGCCAAGCCGACCGGAGGCGAACTCACAGCCATGGTCCGAGTGGAGACGGAGCATTGTCGGGGCGAGGTGGACATGAGAAGCGACAAGCCACATGATAAGAGCATCAGTCACGTCGACCTTCTTCTTCAGGGGAAACACTGTGGTGTAGCTCGTGTAGTCATCTAGAAGCACCAGAAAATAGCGCTCGCACCGCGGCCTAGGGATGGGGGCTTGGCCACAAACGTCCAGGTGCAGGGTCTGAAGTGGCACAGTGGAGGGGGGAACGAAGAGGAGTGAGGAGCACGGCGCAGCCGGCCCTCGACGGAAGGCATGCACGGAGGCGCGGGCGAGGGAGGGAGGGCAGAGAGCGACGTAGGGAGACCTAAGACAAGACCATGCTGTGACATGTAACGCACGCGCGGAAGTGCATGGTGACCTGTACGGTGGTTCCACAGAAGTGACTGGTGAGCGAGCGACTGACACTAGCAAGCTGCAGCGATCTGAGTAGGCGTCGCGCACTCCTCTCTCTCTCGAGCTGCCATGGCGGCCGCATCATGCTGCCGCGGCCGTTTCGACGCGTTGCTGTGGCGTCGCGCTGTCGACGTCGAGCCGTGGCGGCGTGATGCCGTCGTCGACGTCGAGCCGTGGCAGCGTGACGGCGCCGTCGTACTGCCATGGCGAGGTGTTGTCAGCGCGCGTACGGCACGGTCGGCAGCGGCCAGCGCCCCGTCTTAGCGCTGGCCAGCACGCCTGCATGCAGCCAGCGCGCCACACGGGGTGGCACGCTCTCGGGCTCCGCTGCTGAAGCCCCGCCCCCTTCCCCTGCGTCCCCTCTTCCTCGCCGCAGCCGACGGCAGATTCGTGCCGGCCGTCCCACCGTCGCGGAGCCCGGCCACGACGCCGAGTGCTGCAAGCTCCGCCGCCGCCAGCAGCTGTCGTCGAAGCCGCCGCCGCCGCAGCTGGTGCCGCTGGCCATGCCGCCGTACGCCGCCGCCGCTGTCGACGCTGCCGCCGTTGCAACTGCTGCCCTCGCTATCGAAGTCGCCGCCTCACGCGCCGAGGGGCTGACCCTGCTGGAGTGGCCGCCGCTGCTGCTGAGTATGGGGGTGCTAGGCTTAGGGGGTGTGTGGCTTAGTGTGCTGTGTGTGGTGGGCTTTCAGCTATCAAACCTAGGGGGTGTGTTAAATTATATATTTGATATATATAATGGTGGGCTTGGTAGGTGATACTGGATTCTACTGTAGAGGATACAACCCCCCTTCTTGTATCCCTCTCTCTTCTATTCCAAACACTCTTCTCTCTCGTAACTTTCTCCTAGCCTAAAACCCCTCGCCATTCTATGGCTTCCCTAGCTGCCTAGTTCATTTGATAATGTACATGTTGTAACACGAATGGTATGTAGCACATGCTGAGAGACAAGGTCTCGAGGCAGAATGTCAAGTTCTATATATATATATATATATATATATATATATATATATAGTTGTGTAGGCTTGGTAGATGTGCTATATTACTGGATCATACTATAGAGGGGACAACCCCCCCTTCTTGTATCTGTTCCTCTTCTAGTCCAACTCTCTTTTCTCTCGTAACTCTTCCCCCCTAGCTAAACCTCTCGACACTTCCTATGCCTAGATAGTTCCTAGGCTGTTCTCCTCTCGACACAGAAAGCTGTCGGACCTTTTTTGCCCGCGCCTCTGGCGAAGCGAGGACCCTTTTTATCATTTCCCAATTCCTTGATGCTTGCGTGTTGGTGAATCGGCACCCAACGAGTTCGTTGTGTCGAGAGCCCTCCACATCAGTACGGGTTGCCCTACTTGCTGCTGTGGAACTTCGTTTGTGGAGTCTCCATCGACCACCCGTCTTGTATAATCACGTTGCTATAATATAAGTGCATTGGTTAATAATGACATGCACACTGGTTCATGAGAAAACATTGAGCGTAGCCATGAACATTAGCCAAGATATAACAACATTAGCACTTTTCCGAATTCTTCTGAAACCAAACATTAATGGCACGACCAAAGTAGTATGTTTTAACTGGTTGTATCAATAGAGGGTTGCATCCTTGCCAATTGTTTTGCACACTCATCAGTCTACAGCAGAATGGATGGTGTTATAACGAATCCTGGGATGGTTGCATCCTGCAGGCATTTGCATTTCATGCTGAGCTTCCGTTCTCGTCACTCACTTCACTGCACTGCCCTGTCGCCCTTGGTGGTAGTAGACGCTTGGTGGTAGTAGAATCCATCCGTTGTGGTTATGGCCTGCAGCAGGCTGTAGGGCGGCTACACGCATTTACATAGAACTACCTGACATTGCATACGGCATGTCTGGCGTGTCATTCCTGATACCGCTTGTTTAAAACCCGTTATCTGACACCACTCAGTCGGACTCTTTTTTGGCCGGCCGAGCCTCGCCATGGCTGTTGCCGTTTCCACTCGATCTCATCAAAGCAGTGGTAACCTTCCTAACCCCCCTGCGAATTCAACAGCTACCGTCTCGAATGTGTCCACATCGCGATCATCCAATCCCAGCCGTTCCTTACACGATGCTGCATCCTCATTCGCGGATCTCGTTCTCGGTGCTGCTACCAGTCGCACTGTAGCAATTTCAGGTCCTCATGGACAATCCGCATCTCACGCCGCATCTCACGCCGGGATTCCCGGACAACCCGTGGCTCCTGAAGCAGCTTCTGCCGGAGCTGACCTGTCAGCGCAGCTCTCTGTCGCGGACCTGCTGACGTGTCTCTCCCGCATTGAAGAGCGGTCCGAGCAGGTCAAGGCGGAGATTATCCAGGAGGTGGAAGGCCGACACGAGGAGCTCCGGCAGCTGATGTGGCATGCATGCCAGGCTGGCGATGACGTGGCGGTTCTGCTTGCTGAGGTGGACGCGTTGGCTGCCAGCGTGTCACCAGCAGAGGCTACTGGGTTTGGACCTAGAGGGGGGGATGGTGGAGGGAATTATGAAACTGGCTCGGGACCAGCCTCGGTATCTGGCTCGGTGACACGTCTAGGCTCGGGAGCAGCACTAGGGTTCGTGGATGAGGTGGTGAAGGCGACCAATGAGGTGCGAGCCTTGAATGAAGCAGCCAATGAGAAAGCAGAGATCCGGACAGCAGTAGAGGAAATCGCTCAGTTGCAAAGGAAGCAGGCGGAGATGCAAGTGCTGCTGGGAAGAGGAAGGCTCCTGGAAGCTGCGACGCTGGCTCGCTCGCTAAAGGATTCCTTTGTGGAGGAAGATTCGGGTAGAGCAAGGGAGTGTAGAGAGCGAGAGGGTGGGGTGGACAAGCAGGGTGAAGCAGGGGGAAAGGGTGAAGAGGAGAAGCGAGGGGAGAGGCGAGGTGAGGAGCCGGTGGTGGTGACTCTGCTGCGGCAGCAAGTGGACGCCAGCTGTAAACAGGTCGGTGGCTCTGTCGCATCGTGTATATCACCCAATGGCATGATGCTATTTCATATCACGCATCCATTCCCCATCACACATCCTGCTTCACAGCCTTTGTGTTTGAACCTGCTTTATGCCTTGAGCTGCACGTTTTTTAGCTGCGCTCTAGAGATTTGCTAACTTGTACACTTTCCATCCGTTATTGTCTAGCCCTTCCACACCCATTCTACCCCTCGTTACCCCTGTGCACCCCTCTGCACCCCTTCAGCTGCAGCACAGCTTGGAGCAGCAGCTGTGGCAGATGCTGGTGATCGACCCTTCCAGCCACTCCATCCGTATAGTCACATCCGCTGCACTCACATCTGCCATAACTAGCGGCCCTGCTTCTTCTGTGGTGGAGCTATCAGAGGTGCTGTCCGCCCTAGAAGTGCTCACGTCCCCGGTGCTTTTACCGTCCCCGCCACCATCGAAACCACCGTCTACATCAGCAGCAGCGGCAGCAGCAGCAGCACAGCTATCAACATCATCATGGTCATCATTGCCAGTAGCAGCGGGGCCCCTATGGTCCAGGATCGCATCGTCCGTCCACTCAGCCGTCGTGCTGCCTCTGCTCTCCTCCCCATCCGCCTCTCTCATCGCCTCACGCCCCGCTGATTTCGACCCTGCAGCCGCACACGGCGCTGCTTCTCCTGCTGCTGCTGCTGCTGCTGCTGCTGCGCTAATCCACGTGCAACTGCAACCCTCCGCACCCGAAGCAGCATCAACTGCAGCACCTTCACCAGCAGCAGCAGCAGCAGCAGGGCCTGCGGCACCAGAGCCCGTGACGCCCTTCCATCTGTACCCACTGCTGCTCGAGCTCATCCGCTTCCTTACCCGCCATCTCACATGTGGCGACGCCACCCGGCTGCAGCGCCTGGCTGGTGCTCTCTGGCCCCGCATGGCCGATAGCATCATCGAGAGGTGCCTTGCACTGGTAAGGCGGCTGGAGTGCCTCAAGGAGCGAGGGATTTGGCTCGCTTCCAGGAGGTGGTGAGAATAAGACGTAGAAAGCCTACCCCCGCCCCCCCCGCACGCCTGTTTTCGTGTGTTCCCCCCTCATACCGATATCTTTCTGTTTTCGTGTGTTCCCCCCTCATACCGATATCTTTCTGTTTTCGTGTGTTCCCCCCTCATACCGATATCTTTCTGTTTTCGTGTGTTCCCCCCTCATACCGATATCTTTCTGTTTTCGTGTGTTCCCCCCTCATACCGATATCTTTCTGTTTTCGTGTGTTCCCCCCTCATACCGATATCTTTCTGTTTTCGTGTGTTCCCCCCTCATACCGATATCTTTCTGTTTTCGTGTGTTCCCCCCCTCATACCGATATCTTTCTGTTTTCGTGTGTTCCCCCCCTCATACCGATATCTTTCTGTTTTCGTGTGTTCCCCCCTCATACCGATATCTTTCTGTTTTCGTGTGTTCCCCCCCTCATACCGATATCTTTCTGTTTTCGTGTGTTCCCCCCTCATACCGATATCTTTCTGTTTTCGTGTGTTCCCCCCCTCATACCGATATCTTTCTGTTTTCGTGTGTTCCCCTCATATTTTTTTTTTTTTTTCCGATATCTTTCTGTTTTCGTGTGTTCCCCCCTCATACCGATATCTTTCTGTTTTCGTGTGTTCCCCCCTCATACCGATATCTTTCTGTTTTCGTGTGTTCCCCCCTCATACCGATATCTTTCTGTTTTCGTGTGTTCCCCCCTCATACCGATATCTTTCTGTTTTCGTGTGTTCCCCCCTCATACCGATATCTTTCTGTTTTCGTGTGTTCCCCCCCTCATACCGATATCTTTCTGTTTTCGTGTGTTCTCCGTCCTTTCTTTTCTCATACCGATATCTTTCTGTTTTCGTGTGTTCCCCCCTCATACCGATATCTTTCTGTTTTCGTGTGTTCCCCCCTCATACCGATATCTTTCTGTTTTCGTGTGTTCCCCCCCTCATACCGATATCTTTCTGTTTTCGTGTGTTCCCCCCTCATACCGATATCTTTCTGTTTTCGTGTGTTCCCCTCATACCGATATCTTTCTGTTTTCGTGTGTTCCCCCCTCATACCGATATCTTTCTGTTTTCGTGTGTTCCCCCCTCATACCGATATCTTTCTGTTTTCGTGTGTTCCCCCCTCATACCGATATCTTTCTGTTTTCGTGTGTTCCCCCCTCATACCGATATCTTTCTGTTTTCGTGTGTTCCCCCCTCATACCGATATCTTTCTGTTTTCGTGTGTTCCCCCCCTCATACCGATATCTTTCTGTTTTCGTGTGTTCCCCCCCTCATACCGATATCTTTCTGTTTTCGTGTGTTCCCCCCCTCATACCGATATCTTTCTGTTTTCGTGTGTTTCCCCCCTCATACCGATATCTTTCTGTTTTCGTGTGTTCCCCCCTCATACCGATATCTTTCTGTTTTCGTGTGTTCCCCCCCTCATACCGATATCTTTCTGTTTTCGTGTGTTCCCCCCCTCATACCGATATCTTTCTGTTTTCGTGTGTTCCCCCCTCATACCGATATCTTTCTGTTTTCGTGTGTTCCCCCCTCATACCGATATCTTTCTGTTTTCGTGTGTTCCCCCCCTCATACCGATATCTTTCTGTTTTCGTGTGTTCCCCCCTCATACCGATATCTTTCTGTTTTCGTGTGTTCCCCCCTCATACCGATATCTTTCTGTTTTCGTGTGTTCCCCCCTCATACCGATATCTTTCTGTTTTCGTGTGTTCCCCCCTCATACCGATATCTTTCTGTTTTCGTGTGTTCCCCCCCTCATACCGATATCTTTCTGTTTTCGTGTGTTCCCCCCTCATACCGATATCTTTCTGTTTTCGTGTGTTCCCCCCTCATACCGATATCTTTCTGTTTTCGTGTGTTCCCCCCCTCATACCGATATCTTTCTGTTTTCGTGTGTTCCCCCCTCATACCGATATCTTTCTGTTTTCGTGTGTTCCCCCCTCATACCGATATCTTTCTGTTTTCGTGTGTTCCCCCCTCATACCGATATCTTTCTGTTTTCGTGTGTTCCCCCCTCATACCGATATCTTTCTGTTTTCGTGTGTTCCCCCCCTCATACCGATATCTTTCTGTTTTCGTGTGTTCCCCCCCTCATACCGATATCTTTCTGTTTTCGTGTGTTCCCCCCCTCATACCGATATCTTTCTGTTTTCGTGTGTTCCCCCCTCATACCGATATCTTTCTGTTTTCGTGTGTTCCCCCCTCATACCGATATCTTTCTGTTTTCGTGTGTTCCCCCCCTCATACCGATATCTTTCTGTTTTCGTGTGTTCCCCCCCTCATACCGATATCTTTCTGTTTTCGTGTGTTCCCCCCCTCATACCGATATCTTTCTGTTTTCGTGTGTTCCCCCCTCATACCGATATCTTTCTGTTTTCGTGTGTTCCCCCCTCATACCGATATCTTTCTGTTTTCGTGTGTTCCCCCCTCATACCGATATCTTTCTGTTTTCGTGTGTTCCCCCCCTCATACCGATATCTTTCTGTTTTCGTGTGTTCCCCCCTCATACCGATATCTTTCTGTTTTCGTGTGTTCCCCCCCCTCATACCGATATCTTTCTGTTTTCGTGTGTTCCCCCCCTCATACCGATATCTTTCTGTTTTCGTGTGTTCCCCCCCTCATACCGATATCTTTCTGTTTTCGTGTGTTCCCCCCCTCATACCGATATCTTTCTGTTTTCGTGTGTTCCCCCCTCATACCGATATCTTTCTGTTTTCGTGTGTTCCCCCCCTCATACCGATATCTTTCTGTTTTCGTGTGTTCCCCCCCTCATACCGATATCTTTCTGTTTTCGTGTGTTCCCCCCCTCATACCGATATCTTTCTGTTTTCGTGTGTTCCCCCCCTCATACCGATATCTTTCTGTTTTCGTGTGTTCCCCCCCTCATACCGATATCTTTCTGTTTTCGTGTGTTCCCCCCTCATACCGATATCTTTCTGTTTTCGTGTGTTCCCCCCTCATACCGATATCTTTCTGTTTTCGTGTGTTCCCCCCTCATACCGATATCTTTCTGTTTTCGTGTGTTCCCCCCCTCATACCGATATCTTTCTGTTTTCGTGTGTTCCCCCCTCATACCGATATCTTTCTGTTTTCGTGTGTTCCCCCCTCATACCGATATCTTTCTGTTTTCGTGTGTTCCCCCCCTCATACCGATATCTTTCTGTTTTCGTGTGTTCCCCCCTCATACCGATATCTTTCTGTTTTCGTGTGTTCCCCCCTCATACCGATATCTTTCTGTTTTCGTGTGTTCCCCCCTCATACCGATATCTTTCTGTTTTCGTGTGTTCCCCCCCTCATACCGATATCTTTCTGTTTTCGTGTGTTCCCCCCCTCATACCGATATCTTTCTGTTTTCGTGTGTTCCCCCCTCATACCGATATCTTTCTGTTTTCGTGTGTTCCCCCCCTCATACCGATATCTTTCTGTTTTCGTGTGTTCCCCCCCTCATACCGATATCTTTCTGTTTTCGTGTGTTCCCCCCCTCATACCGATATCTTTCTGTTTTCGTGTGTTCCCCCCCTCATACCGATATCTTTCTGTTTTCGTGTGTTCCCCCCCTCATACCGATATCTTTCTGTTTTCGTGTGTTCCCCCCCTCATACCGATATCTTTCTGTTTTCGTGTGTTCCCCCCTCATACCGATATCTTTCTGTTTTCGTGTGTTCCCCCCCTCATACCGATATCTTTCTGTTTTCGTGTGTTCCCCCCTCATACCGATATCTTTCTGTTTTCGTGTGTTCCCCCCCTCATACCGATATCTTTCTGTTTTCGTGTGTTCCCCCCTCATACCGATATCTTTCTGTTTTCGTGTGTTCCCCCCCTCATACCGATATCTTTCTGTTTTCGTGTGTTCCCCCCCTCATACCGATATCTTTCTGTTTTCGTGTGTTCCCCCCTCATACCGATATCTTTCTGTTTTCGTGTGTTCCCCCCTCATACCGATATCTTTCTGTTTTCGTGTGTTCCCCCCTCATACCGATATCTTTCTGTTTTCGTGTGTTCCCCCCTCATACCGATATCTTTCTGTTTTCGTGTGTTCCCCCCTCATACCGATATCTTTCTGTTTTCGTGTGTTCCCCCCCTCATACCGATATCTTTCTGTTTTCGTGTGTTCCCCCCCTCATACCGATATCTTTCTGTTTTCGTGTGTTCCCCCCCTCATACCGATATCTTTCTGTTTTCGTGTGTTCCCCCCTCATACCGATATCTTTCTGTTTTCGTGTGTTCCCCCTCATACCGATATCTTTCTGTTTTCGTGTGTTCCCCCCCTCATACCGATATCTTTCTGTTTTCGTGTGTTCCCCCCTCATACCGATATCTTTCTGTTTTCGTGTGTTCCCCCCTCATACCGATATCTTTCTGTTTTCGTGTGTTCCCCCCTCATACCGATATCTTTCTGTTTTCGTGTGTTCCCCCCCTCATACCGATATCTTTCTGTTTTCGTGTGTTCCCCCCTCATACCGATATCTTTCTGTTTTCGTGTGTTCCCCCCCTCATACCGATATCTTTCTGTTTTCGTGTGTTCCCCCCTCATACCGATATCTTTCTGTTTTCGTGTGTTCCCCCCTCATACCGATATCTTTCTGTTTTCGTGTGTTCCCCCCTCATACCGATATCTTTCTGTTTTCGTGTGTTCCCCCCCTCATACCGATATCTTTCTGTTTTCGTGTGTTCCCCCCTCATACCGATATCTTTCTGTTTTCGTGTGTTCCCCCCCTCATACCGATATCTTTCTGTTTTCGTGTGTTCCCCCCCTCATACCGATATCTTTCTGTTTTCGTGTGTTCCCCCCTCATACCGATATCTTTCTGTTTTCGTGTGTTCCCCCCTCATACCGATATCTTTCTGTTTTCGTGTGTTCCCCCCTCATACCGATATCTTTCTGTTTTCGTGTGTTCCCCCCTCATACCGATATCTTTCTGTTTTCGTGTGTTCCCCCCCTCATACCGATATCTTTCTGTTTTCGTGTGTTCCCCCCCTCATACCGATATCTTTCTGTTTTCGTGTGTTCCCCCTCATACCGATATCTTTCTGTTTTCGTGTGTTCCCCCCTCATACCGATATCTTTCTGTTTTCGTGTGTTCCCCCCTCATACCGATATCTTTCTGTTTTCGTGTGTTCCCCCCTCATACCGATATCTTTCTGTTTTCGTGTGTTCCCCCCCTCATACCGATATCTTTCTGTTTTCGTGTGTTCCCCCCCTCATACCGATATCTTTCTGTTTTCGTGTGTTCCCCCCCTCATACCGATATCTTTCTGTTTTCGTGTGTTCCCCCCTCATACCGATATCTTTCTGTTTTCGTGTGTTCCCCCCTCATACCGATATCTTTCTGTTTTCTTGTGTTCCCCCCTCATACCGATATCTTTCTGTTTTCGTGTGTTCCCCCCTCATACCGATATCTTTCTGTTTTCGTGTGTTCCCCCCCTCATACCGATATCTTTCTGTTTTCGTGTGTTCCCCCCCTCATACCGATATCTTTCTGTTTTCGTGTGTTCCCCCCCTCATACCGATATCTTTCTGTTTTCGTGTGTTCCCCCCTCATACCGATATCTTTCTGTTTTCGTGTGTTCCCCCCTCATACCGATATCTTTCTGTTTTCGTGTGTTCCCCCCTCATACCGATATCTTTCTGTTTTCGTGTGTTCCCCCCCTCATACCGATATCTTTCTGTTTTCGTGTGTTCCCCCCCTCATACCGATATCTTTCTGTTTTCGTGTGTTCCCCCCTCATACCGATATCTTTCTGTTTTCGTGTGTTCCCCCCCTCATACCGATATCTTTCTGTTTTCGTGTGTTCCCCCCTCATACCGATATCTTTCTGTTTTCGTGTGTTCCCCCCCTCATACCGATATCTTTCTGTTTTCGTGTGTTCCCCCCCTCATACCGATATCTTTCTGTTTTCGTGTGTTCCCCCCCTCATACCGATATCTTTCTGTTTTCGTGTGTTCCCCCCCTCATACCGATATCTTTCTGTTTTCGTGTGTTCCCCCCTCATACCGATATCTTTCTGTTTTCGTGTGTTCCCCCCTCATACCGATATCTTCTGTTTTCGTGTGTTCCCCCCCTCATACCGATATCTTTCTGTTTTCGTGTGTTCCCCCCTCATACCGATATCTTTCTGTTTTCGTGTGTTCCCCCCTCATACCGATATCTTTCTGTTTTCGTGTGTTCCCCCCCTCATACCGATATCTTTCTGTTTTCGTGTGTTCCCCCCTCATACCGATATCTTTCTGTTTTCGTGTGTTCCCCCCCTCATACCGATATCTTTCTGTTTTCGTGTGTTCCCCCCTCATACCGATATCTTTCTGTTTTCGTGTGTTCCCCCCCTCATACCGATATCTTTCTGTTTTCGTGTGTTCCCCCCTCATACCGATATCTTTCTGTTTTCGTGTGTTCCCCCCTCATACCGATATCTTTCTGTTTTCGTGTGTTCCCCTCATACCGATATCTTTCTGTTTTCGTGTGTTCCCCCCTCATACCGATATCTTTCTGTTTTCGTGTGTTCCCCCCCTCATACCGATATCTTTCTGTTTTCGTGTGTTCCCCCCCTCATACCGATATCTTTCTGTTTTCGTGTGTTCCCCCCTCATACCGATATCTTTCTGTTTTCGTGTGTTCCCCCCTCATACCGATATCTTTCTGTTTTCGTGTGTTCCCCCCCTCATACCGATATCTTTCTGTTTTCGTGTGTTCCCCCCCTCATACCGATATCTTTCTGTTTTCGTGTGTTCCCCCCTCATACCGATATCTTTCTGTTTTCGTGTGTTCCCCCCCTCATACCGATATCTTTCTGTTTTCGTGTGTTCCCCCCCTCATACCGATATCTTTCTGTTTTCGTGTGTTCCCCCCTCATACCGATATCTTTCTGTTTTCGTGTGTTCCCCCCCTCATACCGATATCTTTCTGTTTTCGTGTGTTCCCCCCCTCATACCGATATCTTTCTGTTTTCGTGTGTTCCCCCCTCATACCGATATCTTTCTGTTTTCGTGTGTTCCCCCCTCATACCGATATCTTTCTGTTTTCGTGTGTTCCCCCCTCATACCGATATCTTTCTGTTTTCGTGTGTTCCCCCCTCATACCGATATCTTTCTGTTTTCGTGTGTTCCCCCCTCATACCGATATCTTTCTGTTTTCGTGTGTTCCCCCCTCATACCGATATCTTTCTGTTTTCGTGTGTTCCCCCCCTCATACCGATATCTTTCTGTTTTCGTGTGTTCCCCCCCTCATACCGATATCTTTCTGTTTTCGTGTGTTCCCCCCTCATACCGATATCTTTCTGTTTTCGTGTGTTCCCCCCTCATACCGATATCTTTCTGTTTTCGTGTGTTCCCCCCCTCATACCGATATCTTTCTGTTTTCGTGTGTTCCCCCCCTCATACCGATATCTTTCTGTTTTCGTGTGTTCCCCCCCTCATACCGATATCTTTCTGTTTTCGTGTGTTCCCCCCCTCATACCGATATCTTTCTGTTTTCGTGTGTTCCCCCCTCATACCGATATCTTTCTGTTTTCGTGTGTTCCCCCCTCATACCGATATCTTTCTGTTTTCGTGTGTTCCCCCCCTCATACCGATATCTTTCTGTTTTCGTGTGTTCCCCCCTCATACCGATATCTTTCTGTTTTCGTGTGTTCCCCCCTCATACCGATATCTTTCTGTTTTCGTGTGTTCCCCCCTCATACCGATATCTTTCTGTTTTCGTGTGTTCCCCCCCTCATACCGATATCTTTCTGTTTTCGTGTGTTCCCCCCCTCATACCGATATCTTTCTGTTTTCGTGTGTTCCCCCCTCATACCGATATCTTTCTGTTTTCGTGTGTTCCCCCCCTCATACCGATATCTTTCTGTTTTCGTGTGTTCCCCCCCTCATACCGATATCTTTCTGTTTTCGTGTGTTCCCCCCTCATACCGATATCTTTCTGTTTTCGTGTGTTCCCCCCCTCATACCGATATCTTTCTGTTTTCGTGTGTTCCCCCCCTCATACCGATATCTTTCTGTTTTCGTGTGTTCCCCCCTCATACCGATATCTTTCTGTTTTCGTGTGTTCCCCCCCTCATACCGATATCTTTCTGTTTTCGTGTGTTCCCCCCCTCATACCGATATCTTTCTGTTTTCGTGTGTTCCCCCCCTCATACCGATATCTTTCTGTTTTCGTGTGTTCCCCCCTCATACCGATATCTTTCTGTTTTCGTGTGTTCCCCCCTCATACCGATATCTTTCTGTTTTCGTGTGTTCCCCCCCTCATACCGATATCTTTCTGTTTTCGTGTGTTCCCCCCTCATACCGATATCTTTCTGTTTTCGTGTGTTCCCCCCTCATACCGATATCTTTCTGTTTTCGTGTGTTCCCCCCCTCATACCGATATCTTTCTGTTTTCGTGTGTTCCCCCCTCATACCGATATCTTTCTGTTTTCGTGTGTTCCCCCCTCATACCGATATCTTTCTGTTTTCGTGTGTTCCCCCCTCATACCGATATCTTTCTGTTTTCGTGTGTTCCCCCCTCATACCGATATCTTTCTGTTTTCGTGTGTTCCCCCCTCATACCGATATCTTTCTGTTTTCGTGTGTTCCCCCTCATACCGATATCTTTCTGTTTTCGTGTGTTCCCCCCTCATACCGATATCTTTCTGTTTTCGTGTGTTCCCCCCTCATACCGATATCTTTCTGTTTTCGTGTGTTCCCCCCTCATACGATTCTTTCTTTTTTTTTCCCTCATACCGATATCTTTCTGTTTTCGTGTGTTCCCCCCTCATACCGATATCTTTCTGTTTTCGTGTGTTCCCCCCTCATACCGATATCTTTCTGTTTTCGTGTGTTCCCCCCTCATACCGATATCTTTCTGTTTTCGTGTGTTCCCCCCTCATACCGATATCTTTCTGTTTTCGTGTGTTCCCCCCCTCATACCGATATCTTTCTGTTTTCGTGTGTTCCCCCCCTCATACCGATATCTTTCTGTTTTCGTGTGTTCCCCCCCTCATACCGATATCTTTCTGTTTTCGTGTGTTCCCCCCCTCATACCGATATCTTTCTGTTTTCGTGTGTTCCCCCCTCATACCGATATCTTTCTGTTTTCGTGTGTTCCCCCCCTCATACCGATATCTTTCTGTTTTCGTGTGTTCCCCCCTCATACCGATATCTTTCTGTTTTCGTGTGTTCCCCCCCTCATACCGATATCTTTCTGTTTTCGTGTGTTCCCCCCTCATACCGATATCTTTCTGTTTTCGTGTGTTCCCCCCTCATACCGATATCTTTCTGTTTTCGTTGTGTTCCCCCCTCATACCGATATCTTTCTGTTTTCGTGTGTTCCCCCCTCATACCGATATCTTTCTGTTTTCGTGTGTTCCCCCCCTCATACCGATATCTTTCTGTTTTCGTGTGTTCCCCCCCTCATACCGATATCTTTCTGTTTTCGTGTGTTCCCCCCCTCATACCGATATCTTTCTGTTTTCGTGTGTTCCCCCCCTCATACCGATATCTTTCTGTTTTCGTGTGTTCCCCCCTCATACCGATATCTTTCTGTTTTCGTGTGTTCCCCCCTCATACCGATATCTTTCTGTTTTCGTGTGTTCCCCCCTTCATACCGATATCTTTCTGTTCCTTGAGAGAGACGAGGGAGCTGGCTCGCTTCCAGGAGGTGGTGGAGGTCACTCAAGATTGGTGGTGGTGGTGGTGGTGGTGGTGGTGGTGGTGGTTCACTCAAGTAGATATCCTAGTTTTGAGGCGCCTCAAAACTATTCCCCTTCCCCTCAAAACTATTCCCCTTCCCCGCTTCCCCCCTTTCCCCTCCCACCATCTCACTATTAGGCCGTGCCTCAAGAAACGAGGGAGCTGGCTCGCTTCCAGGAGGTGGTGGAGGTCACTCGGGCGTTTGAAGCCGCTCTCAGGGCAGAAGGATTCCTCGCCGCACCGCCCAAAGGTACCTCCTGCCCCTCCAAAGGCATTTCTTCCCACCTCTACTCCCTCCAAGCCCCTTAAGGAACTGTAGCCTGCCTGCCAGTTCCTTAAGGGGCTTGGAGGCTCTCTGCTTCTGTGGGATTCTCTTCGTCCCTCTCGTCCGTTTTGCCACACCACCCTCTCTCACCCACCCCCCCCACCTCCCCCCCCGCCCTTCATCCGCGCTTCCATGTTCCCTTCACCATTTTCGTCTCCCCCGTCCGTCTTCGCACTCCTCTCTTGGTTCTCTGGTACTCTCTCTCTCGTCCCCATCCTTTACTCCCACACCCTGCAGCACCAAAGCACGTGAAGTCAAGGCTTGGAGCCCTTCCAAAGCGAGCATCACCCCCTGTGGGAGACAGGCTGATGGCTTATGCTGCTGACGTGCATATTCTTAAATCCCCCCCTTTGCAGCAGTGAAGGACGTGAAGTCACGGCCAGGGCTGTCAAAGAAACCGCCAGTCCCTGTGGGAGACAGGCTGATGGCATACGCTGCTGACGTGGACATGCACTTTGCAGAGAAGAAACGGGTGGCCGCTCTGGCTGCTGTCAGGCACCTGCTCTTGAAGGGAGACTTCTCACAATCGCGACTCGTGGTGAGCTGTTGTTTGGTAAGGTGTTGTGTGGCCGCTCTGGCTGCTGTCAGGCACCTGCTGCTCAAGGGGGACTTCTCACAATTGCGGCTAGTGGTGAGTTTTGTGTGGTTGTTTCGATTCGCCTTGAAAGCCTGGGGGCTTTTGAGTCGACACGAAAAGCGTCACACAATCATCGCGGGTGGTGGGTTTTGCACTGTGGATTTGAGTCAACTCAAAAGCCTGACCTCTCTGGCTACTGTAAGGCGCCTGCTGCCCAAGGGGGACTGCTCATACTCGCAAGTCGTGGTGAGTTTTATGCCGTATGGGTTCAGACGTTAGCAACCCATGGCTACAGCCAGCAGTCTTGAGGGAGCACTTGCTGCTGCGGATTGAGAGTCTACCACTGCCCAACTCCCCATGCCACACCCAACGCCGCATGTCTCACCCCACCCTCTGTCCCAACGCCCCATGTCTCACCCCACCCTCTGTCCCAACGCCCCATGTCTCACCCCACCCTCTGTCCCAACGCCCCATGTCTCACCCCACCCTCTGTCCCAACGCCCCATGTCTCACCCCACCCTCTGTCCCAACGCCCCATGTCTCACCCCACCCTCTGTCCCAACGCCCCATGTCTCACCCCACCCTCTGTCCCAACGCCCCATCTCTCACCCCACCCTCTGTCCCAACGCCCCATGTCTCACCCACCATTCAACCACCCGCAGGTCACTCCAGTGAGTCCGGACGTCAGCAACCCATCGCTACAGCCGGCTGTCTTTGGGAAGCAGCTGCTACAGCACGTGGTGGGGCAGTCAGGCGCTGCTGCCACAGAAGACCTCACAGACTTGGTAAGAATCGGGAATCGGGAGTCGGGAGTCGGGAGTCGGGAGTCGGGAGTCGGGGAGTCGGGAGTCGGGAATAATCGGCAAGGCAAACAACTGAAAGTCCACTGCCCGGTCCACTTTTTGAGGCGCCTCGAAAATAGACTGCCCGGTCCACTGGGTCCACTCCTCGATCAGTCTTTCTTTCGAGAACTATTCTCTCATTCTGCAAAGCGTTTGTAAAAGATCACGTTCCGAACGGCTCCCTTGCGCTGGGTTACTGTATCCCTTCTTACTGACAAGATGTGCACTATCACATGTCCCGAGGTGACTTTTGAGTCGACTCAAAAGTCACCTGGCTCCCTTGCACTGGGTTACTGTATCCCTTCTGACTGACAAGACATACACCATCACATGTCCCACTCATGCCATGTCATGTCACATGTATGCCACATCATGCCACGTCATCATCTCAGGACAACTCAGTGTTCTTCTGGGAGCCGTGCCACGTCAGCGAGCCGGTGTGCAAGATTCTCGAAATCGTCCACAACACCATGGAGGTAGGAGCATTACCTTAGGCTCTTATGCATCCATCCATCCATGCCACATCAGACACATGAAATCAAGTCTGTTGAGTCCCTACACAACCAAATCGTCCACAACACCATGGAGGTAGGAGCATTACCTTAGGCTCTTATGCATCCATCCATCCATGCCACATCAGACACGTAAAATCAAGTCTGTTGAGTCCCTACACAACCAAATCGTCCACAACGCCATGGCGGTACGAGCATTGCCTTGGGCTTTCATGCGTGACTTGATCGGACAAGCCTAAACCGCATGACTTGACCTCAGTCTACCTGTTCACTAATTTCTCTGTTCGCAATGCTGCTTCCTCTGTTTCCTCTGCCTTGCAGGAAGCTTCTCAGTCCACGGATCGCACCGCCATGGAGCTGTATCGGGCAGCTCGAGACATCTTCACCCTCTACCGTGCTCTGCCTTCCTCTGCTGTGAGTGACTTTTCCAACTCAAGGTGTATTTTGAGTCGACTCAAAACACACCTGCCATGGAGCTGTATCGGGCAGCTTGAAACATCTTCACCCTCTTCCGTGCGCTGCCTTCCTCTGCTGTGAGTGACTTTTCCAACTCAAAAAAAAAAAAAAAAAAACGCATGTGAAGTGTTACCTTACGCAGGGCGTGTGTGCGGGGTACATGGATTTCTTCTCGTCTCAGTGGACAGTATGGTGCCTGGTGCTGTTTCCCACACCGCCAGTCCAGTGCCCATAACATGCCATCCATGCCTCTCATTTCATATCCCTCGCCCACATAGACAGCCAATCGACGTGGCACAGCTGGCTGCGATTGCAGACAACCTTCTGCCTGCTTCTCAGCCGCGTGTACCTTGTGTCTCCTCCCTTGCAACCTCTCATCTCTTAACCTCTCCCCTTTTTCCCAAACATCTCTCCCGTGCAGCCAGTATTAGTGGCCCAGCTGGCGATGATTGCAGTCAACGACCACCTGCTGCTGAGCCACGTGGACCTCAAAACTAGTCTCTTGCACAAGCAGCCATTGGACGTGGCCCAGCTGGCAACGATCGCAGTCAAAAACCGCCTGCTGCTGAGCCACACCACGCCACACCACGCCTGCCTCTCCCTATTGCTACTGACCGTTGCACATGTTCCTTTCCCTCGTTTTGCCCCGTATATACCCTCTCCCCAATACAGCCAGTAGAAGTGGCCCAGCTGGCAATGATCGCAGTCAACGACCGCCTACTGCTGAGCCACGTCTGCCTCTCCCTGGCCCTGCAGTACCGCGCCCGCCTGCCAGCCGGCGTGCGCCACGTGGCCACGTTCGCTGACGTGGCGCCATTCCTGCGCCAGCTGGCGGAGGAGCAGCTGCAGCTCGTGCTGGAGCGGCACCACGGGTACCTCATGGAGGCGCTGGACGGCGCTGAGGGGTTCAGAAACACAGATGACGAGGAGATCTACAGATGCGCTCTGCGGTCTCTCAAGCAGGTGCGTGTGTGGCACCATGTGTAATGAGTCGATTTTTGAGTCGACTCAAAGATCGACTCATTACCCATGGGTGTGCAGGGGTGCAGGGGTGCTATACACTGCAGCTGCAGCGCGTGTGTGGCACCACCACGGGTACCTCATGGAGGCGCTGGACGGCGCTGAGGGGTTCAGCAACACGGACGATGAAGACGTGTACCGCTGGGCCTTACGCTCTCTGAAACAGGTTTGCTGTTGTGAAGAGACATCTACCCTGCGGGTCACTTCAATCAAGCAGTGCGTGCTGGAGCAGCACCACAGATACCTCATGGAGGCAAGGCACTGGATGGTGCGCAGGGGTTTAGGAACACAGACGAGGAGTAGGCCCATCGATGCACCCTGTGGTCCCTCAAATAGTGGTGCCCTGAATGGCACCACGGGTGCCTCATGGCGGCAAGGCACTGGATGGTGCGCAGGGGTTTAGGAACACAGACGAGGAGTAGGTCTTTCAATAGACCCATGAGGAACACACCTGTGCTTATAGATGCGCCCTGCGATCACTCAAGCTGGTTGATGTCGGTGCAGGGTTGCACCACCTCTCTCACCTCTCATCTGCGTGGTAACCAGTATCTCCACCCTCCTTCTTTATGCCATATCACGTTCCCTCCCTCCTGTATGCCTCTTCCCCATCTCTCCCACCTCTCGTCTTTGTGGCTACCAGTCATACCGCCCTCCCGCTACCTCCGTGCACTCCTTTTATGCCATGTGCTTCCCTTCCCCTCTTCCCCTCACCGCAGGTGGTGCACCACCTCTCCCACCTCTCGTCTGTCGTGCAACCTTCAATGCGTGCCATGGTTCCTGCCCCTCCTCCCCTCCCCCCAGGTGGTGCACCACCTCTCCCACCTCTCGTCTGTGTGGCGACCAGTCTCCCCGCCCTCCCGCTACCTCCGTGCCATGAGCCGCCTCGTCTCTGCTGTGCTCTCCCGCTGCTGTGCGCACGTGCTCGCCCTGCCAGACATCTCGGTGGATGAAACTGAGCAGGTAGGCGCTGGGGCCACCCAGAATCTTGCCCTGTACCTGTATCGGTGCCCATGTGCCTCCCACTACCTCCCTGCCATGAGCCGCCTCGTCTCTGCTGTGCTCTCCCACTGCTGTGCGCACATGCTCGCGCTGCTGCCAGACATCTCAATGGACGAGACGGAGCAGGTGGGCTTATGTAGATTGGAACAGGTGGGTCTGAGAGTCGCCTCATCTCTGCTGCGCTCTCCCGCTGCTGTGAGCACGTGCTCGACCTGCCGGATATCTCAGCGGATGAGATGGAGCAAGTGGGTTTATGTGACAAGTCGTACCATGAGACACGCCCTGTATCTGTATATGTCTCCATGTGCTTCTCGCCTCCTGCGCACCATGAGCCACCTCGTGTCTGCAGGAACAAGTGTTGAGACGTCTGCCTCCTCCTATTCTTCCTCCCTTCCCTTCACATTCCGTCGATTCCCCTCCTCACTTCCCTTCACATTCCCTTCCCTCCCCTCGCCACATTCCCTCCCCTCCCCCTCCTCCAGCTTCGCAAGCTCTTTGCAGGGATGCTGACTCGCTTGCCACCTCTCTTCCACGTGGACCCATCAGGAGCCACTGGCAGCAGCGCTCCTGGTGCCACATCAGCGTCCGTGTCTGCTGCTGCTGACCTGGATGCTGAAGTGTCAGACGCGGTTGCTGACACAGCAACGCTGGAGTCTCTCGTTCCTGTGTATCGCAAGCTGAGGCGACTGACAGGTACAGTTAAGCCCTGGAGTCTTTTTAATGCTACTGCCAGTGAATGTGAAGTGACTAACAGGTATCGATTTCTTCCATCAAGGTGAATGTGTGTATGTTGATCACTTACGAAGCATGATGTAAGTGTGGACTAACAGGTTATCGATTTCTTCCATCAATCTGCGATGCAGACTGGAAGTTATTTCTTTGCCTTAAACCAAGGGATTAAGGACATCAAGATTACTCGCTCACGTTCCCTCTCACTCATCCCTCCCTCCTTCCCTTCTCTCCTTTCATCTCTTTTCCTCCATTTTTCCACCAGACTTACTTGACATGCCTCTAGTGGCAATCACACAGGCATGGGAGAGTGGGGACCTCTGCCGCTGTGGATTCACCTCTGATGAGGTAAACCCCATTGTTCTTCCCATCTATTTTCTTCCTCGGTGCCGCTGGTTCATGCTCTCCATGGTTCCTTCTTTCTCTCTCCCCCTCGGTTGACCATTATCGTAACGTTGCACATCAATACCGATTCCCCTTAGTTGCCTCTTCCTTTTCCGTCCCAACTACTCCCACCCTCATCCGCCCGCCCTCCCCTCTACTTCCCTGTTGTTCAGGTGCAACGAACCATCCGAGCCATCTTTTCTGACACCCCTCTCCGGCGGAACTGTATTGCCAGAGTGGCAGCTACAATGCCTCCCACCGCATTTCAATAGGAGCAGCACTGCCCAACCCACAGGCCTTTCAGTCCCACCACCACTCTAGTTGCAACGAGACTCTTGTGCCCTTCAACAGCAGTCTGAGTGACCGGAAAAACATGGCTTACTGGTGGTTCCGGCTGCTGCCTTCTGAAACAGTGCCTAGGTAATGGGTGCGTAGATGCACTATTAGACTCACGTCATTGCATAACCCTTTGCCCGGAAAGGATCCTGCCTGGCCACATGTCCAGCAGAACCTAAAATGATAGCTAAGGTCAATAATAAGATACCATGTGTTTCAGTTTGCCAGGATTCCTGCCTCTTCGATTCACATCAAAACACAGATTTGGCACACAGCAAATCAAGCAGGAAGGGAGGTCAAACAAGAAACCGTGAAGCTTATGGATTGATACTGGTCTCCACGCGGTAGCCTGAACCAACGCTATAAACTCTGCTGATCCCCATCCCCTGTTGGAAGCTTGCTATCCGCACGTCCAGAAGATGGTCTAAGGAGCTTAAACAGTTGCGAATGACACTGCTTCTTCCACATGAAAATTGAAGTACACGAATCAGAGTCGGAAAGCCACAAAGCAGCCCAAATCTAGCTAAAATTAGATATCTACGAAAGAAGTCGTGTCTTCTCCAAAGAAAATCACTTCGCGGAAGAGTAGCCATACAGCTTCCCGACAACGTGCAACGCGGTGACGAATCCAATAAAGCAGAGGCTCATCACGAGAACGACGGTCGGAGTGATCTTAAGGCCAGGAGCATCGTCCGTGTAAAATCGCAGCATGTTATTCGCAGCGCTCGAAGTCGCAGCGGCTGTTGGCCGTCTCCTGCGGAGACCTGCTGATCCTACTCCCTTCGGTGCTCCACCAGCAGCAGCCCCTCTACTCACAGCACCGCTCCCGCCGCGTGCAACGGATGTTGACGCCTGGCTGACTGAACCCTTAGCCATGGCTGCAAACGCAAATCGAGTAAAATTGGACACGTCTATGAATCAAGCTGTACCAGCAGAGACGACGGATCTGGCTGGATCTAATAGCGTTGGCTTAGGTAAATATGGGAGAGGGATTCTCAGCTTCAACTAATTGCAAAGACAACAGATCCGAGATGGGAAAAGATGGAGGGAGGTGGGGAGGGAGGAGAGGAAGTGGTTGCAACGGCAACACTAAGGTTGGGTTGGCGAAATCGGCGACGGACCGTTACAGCGGTATTCCTCGCGAATCAGGTCGGTTACAGGTCGTGGAGTTTGGGTGCACGCTTCGCCCGCGTCTGATCGTCACGCAAAATTAGCTGGATGGTAACCAAGTAATTGTCTTCACATCTCCTGATTTTGACTTAGGAGTGCCTCTGAAACATTTTGACATTCGGCGTTACGATACCAAACGATCTGAGGATCAAGAATTTTGGATGCAATAATTTTTTGTCTCGAATCTTCCTGTAAAACGGAGTTCTTGGACTTCAGTTTCAGTCATAGCCATAAGTGTGAGAGTGGGAAAAGTGTGTCGTGACAGAGGGGAGCGCCCGACCAGAAACCCATATCTCGTAGATATTAGGACGAACCTCCCTTAGGAAACCTGGCACAGCTTCTGGACAAGGGGCTGCAAGGGAAGGTGTCAGAATCAGCACAAGGAAGTCGAAGCATTTTCATTATCAACTCACATCTTTCCAGCTTTTTGTTCTGATCATGACTAGTGACAGACGCCAGTTATGGCAACTTACTGAGAGTGTTTCCGCTCGTCTAAGTGACATATTTCAGCGTTTAGTCATCTCTGAATGTTTATGACGTGCGGATCATGACGGCTAGGTTTGCATTGCGACGTCAGTTCCTGCTGCTTCTAGTGAACGATCGTTAGTCGAAAGCTAGGAATCACAGGGCCATTTTAGACCAAGGCGTGCAATTTAATCGCTACTGCTCCCCTTGCATCACTTAGCCAGAAGCGAGAATCGCAGTCCTTCCTCCTTAAGCTAGTTATCATTGATTCTCAACTATGCCAGAGAATGGAGAGGAATCCTCCAACGACACAAGATGGCCAAACGCCATTCCGTACGTCCTTAAACTCGGAAACTTCATGGAAACCTCGTGGAAGCACTCAGTATCCCTGCAAGCCTCTAGTACCGTCTACCTCACCATCCTAGTCGGCCCGTTCTGCCTGGCCGTTTCCATCTTCTTCTGCCTCCTCTTCTCCCTCCTCCACCTCCAATCCACCCCCACCGGCTTCCCTTCCTCCCCGTCCTGCCGATTCCCGGGTCCCACAACCCTCGTCGCTTCCCTCTTCAACCAGTGCTCCACGCTCCCACCCACCCCGGAGCCATGGTCGCCTGACGCCTTTCTCGACGATCCCGAGGTGGCGGCTCAGAGGCCTGAAATGGACGCAGCGTGCAACCTGTGGGAGGGGAGGTGGATCTACGAGCCGGAGTCGTACCCTCTGTGGACGACTGGGTCGTGCCCGTGGGTGGAGACGGGGTTCGAATGCGAGGCGCTGGGGAGGCACGACACTGACTACATGAAGTTCAGATGGCAACCGCACGGCTGCAATCTACCCAGGTGGGTTGCTGCCTGTGTGCTGTGCAGCATACAGAGTAACATGGGTGCAGTGCGGTTCTCCCAGGTGAGGCCTGAGATGGATGCAGCATGCAACCTGTGGGAGGGGAGGTGGATCTACTAGCCGGATTCGTACCCCCTGTGGAGGACGGGGTCGTGTCCGTGGGTGGAGACGGGGTTTGAGTGCGAGGCGCTGGGACGGCACAGCGCCTCGTACTGATCAGTATCAGTACGATGATTGTATGAAGTTCAGATGGCAACCGCACAGCTGCAATCTACCCAGGTGGGCTCTGCTTGTGTTCAGCATACAGAATATCTGGATGCAAGCTACTAAGGTGTTTGCTAGTACTCGCCCCGTGTAAGTGCGTCCTGTGGCCCTTCCCTCTTGCCTTGCTCTGTTGGTCTTCTTTGTATGTATGGTGGCCCACGTTCGATGAATCTGGCACTTCCTACGAACTCCGTCCGTTTGTTACGTCCAGGTTCAATGCTTCGGACATCCGAAGGCGGCTAAAGGGGCGCCGGCTAGTGTTTGTGGGCGACTCGTTGTGCCGCAACCAGTTTGAGAGCGCTCTGTGTCTCCTCGGCATCGACCTCCCCAACGTGTCTGCTGTCATCGAGGTATCGTGAGGTCAATGTTTCCTCATCGGTAAAAAAACAAAACAATGTCTTTGCTGTCGTAGACGTATCTTGAGGCTGCTTGAATAGTGCTCTGTGCCTTTTTCGCACCGATCTACCCGATGCTTGTGCTGTGTTGTGTTGTGGCAATGCTTTATCAATGCTGCTCAAAACCCAGACCTTCGGATGTCTTTTGAGTCTGCACCCGAAACCCCGATGCGTCATGAACCCTAAATCCCAAACCCCTTACCTTCTTGTCTTTCTCGTGTATCCCTCAACTCCTTTCCCCTTTTCCCCTGATCCTCCTCTCACCCACGGCAGCGTGTGTAATGAGTCTATTTTTGATTCGACTCAAAAATAGACTCATTACACACGGTGTATCCCTCAACTCCTTTCCCCCTTCCCCCTGAACTTCCTCTCACCCACGGCAGCGCACAGGCAACAATCTGACCAGGAAGGTTGACACGATGGTGTATGACTTCACAGACTTTGGATTCACGGTCGAGTACCACCTCTCGCACTTCCTCGTCGGATTCCACAGGGCTCCGGCGGATGCCCCGCCACATGTGAGTCCCTCTCAGTGCACCACGTGTCATAACTTTCCTCCATCACATGCCCGTCCTGGTCACACATTCTTTACTCGCTTTCTCTGTCGAGTGCCACCTCTCGCACTTCCACAGGGATTCCGCTGATGCACCTCCAGATGTGAGTCCCTCCTATCCCCTCGCGTGAGGAGTCTATTTTTTAGGCGCCTCAAAAATAGACTCCAGATGTGAGTCCCTCCTTTCCCCTCGCTCTGCCTCTCATATGCACCCCTCATTCACGTGCTCTGTGACTGTGCCTTCTCTGACAAGTGCCACCTCTCGCACTTCTTCTTTGGCTTCCATCAGGCTCCTCCGGTTTAGTGAGATTATTAGTTTGGCGTTGTTTCTGTCCTCTCCTGTTCCGTCTCATCCTTCTCCTTCTCCCTTACCTGCAGATTTTAGCAGTTGTCAACATGGACACTGTGAGCCTCTTTTCACTCAGACACTGTTTGCATACCTTCTCGCTCCTCTCTCCTCCAGCTCCTCTCTCCTCCTGCTTCTTTGCCACCTTTCTTGTGTGCAGATCGGAGCAGTGGTCAACACGGACACGGTCGATCCTCTTTTCGCTCGGAGGTTGTTCGATGAAAATCCCGAGGGACTGATACTCGTGCTGAATGCGGGCCACTGGTTCACTCCGTCAAAGATCTCGCATCAGTGAGTGAGTGAGTTCTTGGAGTCAGGGTTCCTATCAGTCATGTGTTTTATGGGTCGTCGTGATTGAACGCTGAGGCGCCTGATCGTGAAACCTCATCTATGGTTCTAGAGGCGCCTCAAGACTCACTGGTTCACACCGTCAAAGATCTCGCATCAGTGAGTGAGTGAGTTCTTGGAGTCAGAAATTCTATCATATGAATCTTCGTTGTTGAGATCAAGATTGAATGCTGAGGCGCCTGATCATGCAACCTCTTCTATGGTTGGATTGGATTGTGCAGGCAGAATGTTTCCTTCCCGGTGAACAACCAGACTCGCCTCGACATCGATGAGACAGAGAGGGCTTTCGCCCTCCAAATCAGATGCAAATGCATTCTGAGACTCCTGGCATCCCCTGTTTGCCCTGTTCGTGCAGGAATGTTTCCTTCCTGGTGAACAACCAGACTCGCCCCGACATCGATGAGACTGAAGGGTTTCGCCTCTCCATGCTGCGTGTGGCGGACTGGATTCAGCAGTGGCCTGCTAAGGCTGCCAACGCCACTGCCGTCTTCCGCACCTATGCACCCGCCCACTTCACGTAAGATGCAATCCCCCTAGTGCTCAGGTTCTCTCCCTCTCTCTCTCTCTCTCTCTCTCTCTCTCTCTCTCTCTCTCTCTCTCTCTCTCTCTCTCTCTCTCTCTCTCTCTCTCTCTCGCTCGCTCTCTCTCTCTCTCTCTTCCACCGGTCCATGCTGCGTGTGGCAGGCTGGCTCCAGCAGTGGCCTCCAAAGGCCGCCAGCGCCAATGCAGTTTCTCGAACATACGCACCCGCCCACGTCAATTAAGGCTGGATCTTTTTTTTTTTGCTTGTTTGCTCCCTGGCTTGAACAGTGGCCTTCAAATTTCGTCAACACCATTGCCCTTTTTTTAACTTAAACCCCCGCCCACTTCACTTGAAGTTTAACTTCACCCATTCTTGCTTGTTTGCATTCTGGCTTCAGCAACAGCCGCCAGGCTTCCCCATTGGTCCTGCTGTCTCTATATGTAACGATGATTCCATTTTCTGGAGTGGTCGCTGCGCAGACGCACATCTCGTGCTCTCTTTTGTCCACTGCTATCTCTTTTGTGCACCTCCTGTACTCCCTGTGCTGCTTACTCCTTCTACTGTTTTCAGGGGTGGGAGCTGGGACCACAGTGGTGGCTGCTCGGAAACACATCCCACGCTTCCTTTTGATCCAACTACTCCAAGTGACCTCTGGCAAGATCCCTCTGTCTTGTTTGCCCAAATAAGCCGAGACGCAATGACGCAGCCGGAGCAAATAAGAAAGCCAATAATAAATGATATTACCAACATGTCGTATTCCAGGAGTGATGCGCACATTGCACGCTATTGGACTGGAGCCATTGGCTCCGATTGCAGGTGGGTACATTTTAGGCCACGTGGTCAGCATCACTTTACTTCCTCGACTCTCACCTTTCTTTTCAGACTTTTTTGCCACTCGTAAATACTGACGTGCATTCCTTGCTGCTGCAGCCATTGGTGTCTACCTGGAGTGCCAGACACATGGAATGAGATGCTTTTTGCTTCTTTGACAGCAAACAACATTTTGTGATATATTGTCAAGAGTGGTGTATGTTTTGGATATTACTCGAGAGGAATCATTTCTCCAATCGATTCCACGCTGGACAACTGCTCCGCCAATAACATTCCCCTCCCATACGCGGCATCCCTGGTCGTGACCGTCCCTCAGTTTTGACCGCGCATCTCGTCCTCAGAACTTGGCTGGGATTTTCGGGCGTTGGGCGGCTGGCCCAAAACCATACGCAATTTGAGGGAAGATTACACATTGCCTCTTCTCGATCAACTGCGTCTGCTGACAGCAACCTTTTGTTTCGCAGTTTTAGTCGCCTGACCTCGCCTACCCAATTCTCTCTTCGCGAGGCAGAAATAGTAACCGCCCTTCCGCTGTAGCTTCTGCCCAGGGCGCGACCGCTTGCAGGTACGCGGAGCAGAATTCCCTGGCGCAAGCTGGCTTTGGCTTAAGGAACAAAAAATCCGCCTCCCCTCAGCCTCGCCGCTGCGCAATCCGAAGGGGCAGCCATGCGCTGCCGCCAGTTCCGTTGGCTAGGATTGGTCGAGCACCAGCGGAATCGCGCCCTTGCGCGATTCCCAAGGGCGCGGTTCCCTGGGATTACGCGCATGGCAATCGCGCCCTTGCGCCCTGGGGAATGTCGATCGAGGCCTTCGAATCGAGCTTCCTCGGGATCGGTCGGTGGGGAATCGGGATGCCGGATTCCCCCCCTGCACTGTGATTGGATATTTCCCCCTTGCGCCCCACATCCCCCCACCCCACCCCACTCCACCCCTCCCCCTTACCGTACACTCCACTCCATCTTCTCCTCCTCCTCCCCCTTCCCCTTCTTCCCCTCCCTCCAACCGCATGTTCCACTGCACGCACACCTCGTCTCGTCCTCCCTCCCCTCCCCTCCCTTAGCATTCCAGTCTTGATTGTGAATCGTCGGAATCGTCAGCCGAAATGAAATGGAGGACGAGGGACGGGAGGGGACAGACACAGGCTGTTGGAACTTGGAACGCTATGTTCCACCACGCTCCGCAAGTGAACAGCGAGTGCATGAGGAGGCTCATGCGTGCTTCCCGTGGTCGTGAGCGAAGCGTATCTGTACTGTAAAGGCGTGGCTGACAATCCATTTAGCCACATGCATGCCGAGATTCTGAATGATTTCCGCCAACTTCTAAGCATATAGTACCACGTGAAGCAATGGAGTACACGGGAATGTTTTTATTTGCCATTCGCAACAGCCTCTTCACGGTAAACTGGACATAGGATTACAATCATCTCCTGTCACTCGCTGCTCGTCAATCAGCGGTACGAATCGAGTTCCACCAAGTTAGCAGCCTTCGCAGTCCTCTCCTCAGATTTCGAGCTGCGCACGGGAAGCAGAACCATGGACGACCCAACGCCTGGAGTCGCCAAGAGGGCAGGGCTCGCGTCGTATGGTCGCAGCGTGAGTGCGAAGGAAGCCAGCGTCGTCCTTACGCCGCCGCCTGCGACAATGACGCCGTCCGCGACAACCCCTACGACGACTCTTCCTATGCGTCGCAATCATACCTTCGGCGACCTGAACGACGCGTCTGCGACAACTTATAGCATACCTCGCAATCATACCTTCGGCGACCTGAGCGACGCGTCTGCGACAACTCATCGCATGCGTCGCAATTATACCTTCGGCGACCTGAACGACGCTTACGGCGACGCAGCTCCAGCTGCCGCCGTCGACTTCCGAGCCTGGCTCGCGGACCAGGTTCGGTTCAGCCAGAGCCTTCGCATCCCCGAGCCTCCGCAGAAGGCCTGGTTAATTGACAAGCTAGGTCCGCTGAAGGCGCTCGCGCGTGTGGGAATGAAAAAGGCGACCTGTACATTCGCGATGCACGTTCATGGAGCCGACGATCTTCCTTCAACGATGGACGGTCAAGATCTCATCGTGCAATGGCAGCGACGGGGAATGTCTATCGGCAGTAGCCCCATGACAATTCGTCGAGGCGTGGCGAAACTGGAACAGACGTTAACGATAAAGTCCACCGTCTACTACACGGCCGGGTCTCAGCAGTCCGTCAAGTTTCAATCGAAGAAATCGACCGTCGCCGTTCAGCTGTTAAAGTCCGTCGGTTTCGGATATGAGGCTGAGATTGCAAGTCATTCTGTTAATCTCGCAAGCTTTTTGCCGTCAAATCTTCGTCAGTTGACGGAAGGGGAACCGCAGACGTTAACGTTCAAACTTACCGGCCCGGCTGAGGGAGGCGTTTTAGTCGTGACGTTTGGGTATGAGTTGAATGTTGGCAAGAGAGAGCCGATTGTCGCACGGGTGGATACCAAGTCGTTTCGCCAGTTCGCCGCCAGCGTCGCAGACGCGTCGCTCGCTCCGAGCCTACCGTCGTTCATGAGCAGTCCGCCTGACAGTCCGTCGTACAGCTCGTCGCACGGCGCCAGCCCGTCGCACAGCTTCTCTGGCGAGTTTTCGCCAAGCCAGCGCGAGATGTCGCTGGGGTTACCAGATTCGCCCATGAGCCACGGGCGGAGTGCAAGTTTCGGATATGGCTTTAAAGTCAGCACCCCGAGCACTATGCGACCGGTAATTGAAGAGGAATGCGAAGGCGTGGAGTCGAAAGACGAGCCTAGTTTCGACGATGCGAAAATGGATGGAGACTTCGGCCGCGGCGGAAATGGGGGGGAGTGGAGCGGGCTGGTGACACGAGGGGAAGGGGAGAACGGGGAGGAGGTAGGGGAGAAGGCAGAAGAGGAGGAGGAGCAGGTGAAGGAAGTGATTGAAACGGAGGGTGAAAGTAGCGAAGGAGGGAAGCGGCTGGGTTCTGTGGTTGCCATTGGGGAGGGGGGAGGAGGGACCTGGGATGACATAGGAACTCCGGAGGAAGGCGGGTGGATGGCAGGAGGTAGGAGGAGCGAAACGGGCGAAGGTAGCGGTGAGAGGATCGAGGAAGTCGAGAGGGAGAGTGTGGAGGGGACGGAGGAGGAAGTAGGTGAGGAAGGGAGTGAGGAGGAAGAGAGTGAGGAGGAAGAGAGTGAGGAGGAAGAGAGTGAGGAGGAAGAGAATGTGGAAGTGAGTCAGGAGGGTAGGCCTCATACCACCGGTGGCATTTCGCGTATGGCGGAAGCGATTCTAGAGTTCGAGCGGACTCTAAGCGAACAGGAGAAGCAGCTCATAGCGGAGAAAGAGGCGCGGGCGAAAGAGCAAGCGGCAGACGATGCAGCTACCCGGTTACCAGTAGCAGCAGGAGCGGCAGTTACTGTTTTGGAGTCCCCGGCGTCCGTTCTCCTAACGGTGCTTGATACGGGCAGTGACAGTGCCAGTAGCCTCATGCTTGACGACACGGGCTCGGATAGTATGGAGAGGAGAGGAGAGAGGGAGATGAGGGTTGGGATTGAGCAGACCAAGGCAGAGGAGGCGGGGGTGGGGAAGGAAGGAGAGGAGGAAGAGGAGGAGGAAGTGACTAGTAAGTGGAGGGGTGGGGAGGGAGAGGAGGAAGAGGGGGCGAGAGATTGTGCAGAGGTGAGGAGGAGTGAGGAAGAGGAGACTGAGGAGGAAGCTGACGAGGTGAAGAAGGATGAAGATGAAGAAGTGCGGGGGGAAGAGGAGGAGGAGGAGGAAGAGGAAGAGGAAGAGGAGGAGGAGGAGGAAGAGGAGGAGGAGGAGGAGAAGGAGGAAGAGGAAGAGGAAGAGGAGGAAGAGGAGGAGGAAACGGAGGAGGAGGAGGATCTCGTGGCTCGCTGGACGAGAGAAGCGGAGCAGGAGGAGAGGAGGGCGGCGGAGCAGGAGAGGAGGAAGGCGGAGGTGGAGGAGAGGAGCAGGCGGAGGGCGAGGCGACTGCAGGAGGAGGAAGAGGAGGAGCTAAGGCGGCAGTTCCTGGGTAAGCGAACCCACTTCGCTGCCACCAATGCCTCTGCTGCCTCTGCTGCCTGCGCTGTCAGCACGTGTATTACCAATGATACCAAGGAAATCTCTGCGACTGCTGCGTCCACGACCACTCCCGGTGCTGCTGTTGCTGCTGCTGCTGCTGCTGCTGCTGCTGCTGCTGCTGCTGCTGCTGCTGCTGCTGCTGGCGCTCCTGCAGAAACTGCGCTGGCTCTAGTCAGTAGAGCTGCTGCACCTGCGGGCGACTCTGAGGCTGACGACGAGCTTCCCAGGAAGCGCCCTGCGTGCACTCGAGGGGTGGGAGCAGCAGCAGCGGCTGCAGCGGAGGGAGGGTTCAGCATGGGAACAGGGCTGGTGGCAGGTGGGCATCATAGCAGCCTGGTGGCAGGTGGGCGCCATAGCAGCTTGGTGGCAGTAGGCGGCAGGCGGCGAGGGGGTAAAGTGGGCGGGAGAGGCGGGGCGGAAGGGGCGCTAACAGCAGGGGCTGCTGCTAGAGGTGAGAGCAGCAGTGCTCTTACCGTGGTTAGCACAAGTAGCAGCTGTACTGGCAGCAACAGCTGGGAGGGAGGTGTTGAGAGTCCAGTGGCGTGCGTTCCTCCGTGCATTCTTGGGGACTTGCCGGCTGGCCGTCTTGTCTTCTCAGCCATGCCTGACGCCACAACCGCCAAGCCTGCAAGTGACTGCGCCATAGGCACTTTTGAGAGATCTGCTGCTGCTGACAGAAATATCGCGACTTCCACAACCACCAGAAATACCAGCACCAGCACCAGCACCAGCACCAGCAGCAGTACCAACGCCAGCACCAGCACCAGCACCAGCACCAGCACCAGCGCCAGCACCAGCACCAGCGCCAGCGCCGCTGGACTCAACTCTACTTCTGCTGCTTTAGCCCCGCGTGCGCCATCCCCCCTCGCACCTCTTGCCTCCTCTCTGATCTCTCCCGATTCCATTCCTCCCCCCATCCCACACCCCACCACACTCCCAACCCCGCTCCCAAACCCAGCACCCACCCCCTCCTTCCCTTTCGCCTCCCCCTCCTTCCTCCCCTCCGGTCTCTCCCAGCTCAAAGCCACGGACCCTCTGCTTCTCGCGCTCCCAGAATCCGACGCACCCCCGCCCTTACTGGACGGTATGGGGTCGGCCATAGCGTTGAAGGGGGGGGGGTTCTTGGCCTCCATGTCTGGACGGCACTTCGGCGAGGGGGCCACGCGCCTGGTGATGCAATTCTCGCGCCCCATGGTCATTCCGTCGGAATTAGCGTCCTCTGAGCTACCCTCTTCTTCCAGGCTGGCATCTCTCCCTCCCTCCTCTCCTTCTGGTTCTTTGATTTCTTCTGGAGGGAACGCCTCTTGCGCCGCTAATGCCGCTGCTGCTGCGGCTGCGGCTGCTGACCCCTCCTCGGTGCTCCTGCTTCTGCAGCGGCTGGCTGCTGCCTCTGCTGCAGATCCTTCCGCGCCTTCCCTCACAGACCAGGCCCTAGCGCTCATGCCCCTCCCCGACATCAGCGGAAAACCTCTGGAGCAGATCGCGGCTGAGGGGCTCGTGTACCTCGAGGGAGGGCAGCGCTGGGAAGGGGGACTGGGAGGAGGTTTTGGAGGCGGTTTGGATGGGTATGAGGGAGGGAAACGGGGAGGATACCTGGGTGGGAACCAGGGTGGGAAGGGAGGGTACCTGGAAGGAAACCTGGGGGGACACCTGGGGGGACACCTGGGGGGACACCTGGAGGGACACCTGGAGGGTGGTGGTTCTTTGGCGTCCTCTGCTCTGTCCGTGCGCCAGAACCAGGCAGTAGCAGCGCTGGCCCGTATGCACCGCAGGGGGCAGGGGTCCCTCTTGCAGGGACGCGAGTCTGTGGGGATGCTGGGGTATGGAGGAGAAGAGCAGGGGGAAGGGGAGGCAGAGGATGTGGAGAGGGAGGTGCAGCAGGCACTTGCCCTCATGGGGAAGAGCGCGGGGCACATGGTGCCTGGAATGGCCAGAGGCAGGACCACGGGTACCGCTCTCAAGTCTTGTGCTGCTGGGACGCTGGGAGGCAGGACCACGGGTAACGCCCCTGCTGCTCTTGCACAAGGATATGAGCAGCAGGTTTGGGCGGGAGAGGGTGGAGTGGGGGGGGCAGGAGAGGAGGAGTATGTGGGACTGGGCGAGCTGGGGGCGGTGGCAGTGGAGCAGATAGAGGCGATGCTGGTGGAGGGACTCAGAGTGCAGAACGACCAGAGCCACCTGCTGGCGCCAGGGGCCATTGCTCTGGGGGAATCGGCCCTGTCTGGTGGTTACCCTGCTGTTTACCCGACGGACAAATCGAGGAGTATCCAGAGCGACGGTGCTGGTTACCAGACTGCTATCCAGGGTGGCAGTGGTTACCAGGGGACTGGTGGCTTCAGCAGAGGAGGCGGCCCCACAGGACTGTTAGGGGCGGCGCTGACAGTTGAAGAGTGGCAGCAGCTGGATGCAGGGGTGTGGGATGCGGTGGAGTCTGATAGAGATGCTCTGGAGGTGCTGCAAGCGCACTGCCAGGCGCATGGGATGGCGGGGTTGCTGGAGGGGGGTCAGGGGGTGAGCGTGGGAGGTGGGTTGGCGGGAAAGGGACGGAAAGAGATGGTGCTACACGGTGCGGGTGGGTGCAGAGGCTTGGCCGTGGGAGGCTTGGAGGGCAATGGCCGGCAATTATCTGGGGGAATCGATGGGCGATTGGGATTGGCAGCAAGCCAAGGGACGGGCGGAGGGGGTACGCTGAGTACCAGTGTTACAGGGGGTATGCTGGGTAACAATGTAACCGTGGCGATGCTGGTGCAGCTGAGAGACCCCTTGCGGAACTTTGAGCCAGTGGGAGCACCGATGATGTCACTGCTGCAAGCAGAGAGAGCACCGGCTGCTGCTGCTGCTTCTACAAACACACCTGGTGGTCTGAGTGGTCCTCCCAGCGCTGCAACTATTGGCGGCATGGCCCCTGCTGTCATTGCACACTCCTCCCAGCCTCAGCTGCTTGGGAATCACCACCACCCTCACCTTCTGGAAAACTGCCAGGCTCAGGGCCTACTGGAGCACTCCGCCTCACCTGCTATTTGTGGCTCTGCTACCCCTGGGTGTGCTACCCACACCAATGATTCCACAGCCCAGATCTGCATAGAGCATGCTGCGTTTGATGAAGCCGGCGCAGCAGAATCCGCACTGCAGCCATGGCTAGGAGGCGGCAGAGGAAGTGCCCTCCAGCACAGCAGCCATTCTGCATCCTCTGCTTCTCCGATGTCTTCTGCTTCTCCCTCATCTGCTGCCCCTCCCCCCACGCGCCCTGCCGCTGCCCCACCCCGTTTCAAGCTAACAGCAGTGCATGTAGCGGGGCTCAAGGCGGAAGAAGCCCCAGGGAGAGGGTGGGGATCTCAAAAGCAAGCACAGGCGGGGGGGAGATGGCTGGCCGCAAATGGCATGGGGAAGAAACAGAAAGGGGGGGGAGGTGCGAGTCGGTTGTTTGGGAAGCACGCGAAGCCAGCCAAGGTGACTGTGCTGCCGGGGGACACGCTGTGGAGCCTGTCTCAGAAGGTACATGGAAGCGGGATGAAGTGGACCGAGGTGGTGAAGCTCAACCCGCAGATAAGGAACCCGGACCTGATCTTGCCCAGCCAGAAGATCCGGATGCGGTGATGAGTGTGAGGGGACAATGGAGGTGTATGCATGCATACGTGTCCTGTCGGAGGGGACTGCGGTATCCTGTCCACTTTTAATCTGCAGATAAGGAACCCTGACCTGATCTTGCCCGGCCAGAAGATCCGGATGCGGCGATGAGTGTGTTGGGCGGGCAGCTGCTGCTTCACTAGTTGTGGTGCATATTTTGTGGTCTTGTAACCAAGTGCGGTGGTGATAGAAATGAGCTGGGCAGTGTAAGCTGCTGGCACTCTTAGGTTGTGTGTGCATGCATGTGCTGTTTTCTTTGTTTCGACTCGCTGTCAGCACAGTTGAGTCTTGAGCCTGTTGTACGGTACAACCAACCTGGTGAGGTGTTAAGTTGAGTCAATACCAAGAAGCGTGTGAGAAGCATGGCGGCAGACTGACAGGTACGGTGACACGTGCGATGCAGGTAATGCATGCAAGCAAGCCTGTTTGAAGGTACTGCTCACTAACTGCCCATTACAGGACCACCCCACCACTCTGGGCCATCACTTCGGGTGTGCTGTGCGTGTGCGCCAGGACAGCTGGCAGCTGGCAGCTGCCGGCCTACACTTCACACCAGTGCCTGGTGAAGCAGAGATTTGTTAAAATTATATAAGTTATAATTTTATATAGGCTTGGTAGGTTGCTACTGAACCTTTCTGTAGGGGGTACAAACCCCTCCTTGTACTCCCTTCTCTTCCTAATCCATCACTCTTTCTTCTCGACTTTCCTCCTACTCCTAGATTCGTTTTTCCTAGCGCCGTTCCATGGCGGCCTTGCTCCTATCCTAGCTAAGCTAGTGTCCTAACTTTAGGGACCTAGCATCCTAAGTTCTTAACAAGATTGACTGACACATTTTGTTGAATTCTCAGAAATACCCTGCAAACCCAGAGATCGACCGAAAAAATCCACATTCTACACTAGTGCCGGTACAACCAGGACAGCTGAGTGTGTACCGACCAAAACAAAGTCAGCCGTTCGCGATAGTGGCTACCACACACACACACACACAGTCCATCATCCTCAACCTTTCGTGCTACCGTGCTCTACACCTGAGATCCACCGTTTCAACTTCCCCACCACAGTCCCCCCACCCCCCCCTCCCGCACTGCCTAAGCCCCCCCCTTTCCCACTCACTGCCCCCGCATTGCTGCTTGTCCGTCGCAAGCCAGACCCCCCTAGACCACTCCCCAAACCACTCAAACCCTTTCCACCACCCCCGCCACCGCCACCACTGCTGCCGCTGCTGCCACTGCCACTGCCACCACCTAGAGCAGAAGCGTTGCTACTAGTGCGTGTCAGGCCCCCAGCACCGCCCGTAGACTTGCTAGAAGGCAAGCCGAACCCACCTCCTCCGCCGAAGCTGCTTCCACTTGCAGTGCCTGCTTCCTTTGACACGCTGCTGGTGGTCCGAACCAAACCTCCCAACCGATGGCCACTTCCCCCCACCCCTCCAACCCCCCCACTCCCTCCACCGCCGGTACTGCTGCTGCTGCTGCTGGTGGCTGCGTTGCTACTGGTTCTCATCAAACCCCCCAGGCCCATACCCTTCATACCTCCCCCTCCCCCCCGCCCGCCGATGCTGCGTTGCTGCTGGTTCGCATGAGGCCACCCAGCCCCCCACCTTTCTTCTTGCTCCCATCACCACCACCACTTTTACCACTACCCCCACTCTTGCCACTGTCTCCACTGCTAGCAGCGCCACTACTTCCACGCTCACCACCTCCGCCCTTCCCACCACCCACTCCTTTCTCCTGCCTCCCGCTACTACCTCCCCCTTTCTCCGCCTTCCCAGTACCACCTCCCCCTTTCTCCCCCTTCCCAGTGCCTCCCCCAGATGCAGCCTTCTCCCCCATGGCACCCGACGCGCTGTGCATTTCCAGGCGCGTCTGAGCCTCCAGCACCTCCTGTGCTGCAACCATGAGGCGCGTGCGAGCGCTGCTCAACTCTAGCATGCCTTCTAACGACCCAGGCTTGGCGCTAGCAGCACCAGATGCTCCTGGAAGGGAGGGAGGGAGGAAGGGAGGGAGGGAGGGAGGGAGGGAGGGAGGGAGGGAGGGAGGGAGGGAGGGAGGGAGGGAGGGAGGGAGGGAGGGAGGGAGGAGGGAGGGAGGGAGGGAGGGAGGGAGGGAGGGAGGGAGGGAGGGAGGGAGGGAGGGAGGGAGGGAGGGAGGGAGGGAGGGAGGGAGGGAGGGAGGGAGGGAGGGAGGGAGGGGAGGGAGGGAGGGAGGAGGGAGGGAGGGAGGGAGGGAGGGAGGGAGGGAGGGAGGGAGGGAGGGAGGGAGGGAGGGAGGGAGGGAGGGAGGGAGGGAGGGAGGGAGGGAGGGAGGGAGGGAGGGAGGGAGGGAGGGAGGGAGGGAGGGGAGGGAGGGAGGGAGGGAGGGAGGGAGGGAGGGAGGGAGGGAGGGAGGGAGGGAGGGAGGGAGGGAGGGGGGAGGGAGGGAGGGAGGGAGGGAGGGAGGGAGGGAGGGAGGGAGGGAGGGAGGGAGGGAGGGAGGGAGGGAGGGAGGGAGGGAGGGAGGAGGGAGGGAGGGAGGGAGGGAGGGAGGGAGGGAGGGAGGAGGGAGGGAGGGAGGGAGGGAGGGAGGGAGGGAGGGAGGGAGGGAGGGAGGGAGGAGGGAGGGAGGGAGGGAGGGAGGGAGGGAGGGAGGGAGGGAGGGAGGGAGGGGAGGGAGGGAGGGAGGGGAGGGAGGGAGGGAGGGAGGGAGGGAGGGAGGGGGGAGGGAGGGAGGGAGGGGGGGGGGAGGGAGGGAGGGAGGGAGGGAGGGAGGGAGGGAGGGAGGGAGGGAGGGAGGGAGGGAGGGAGGGAGGGAGGGAGGGAGGGAGGGAGGGAGGGAGGGAGGGAGGGAGGGAGGGAGGGAAGTCGCATGGTCGGGTGGAGGACGAGAGGACGAGGGCGTCTGAGCCTCCAGCACCTCCTGTGCCGCCACCACGAGGCGTGTGCGAGCGCTGCTCAACTCTGGCATTCCCTCCAACCAATGACCCTGGCTTGACGCTAGCTGCACCGGATGCCACCATGAGGCACGCATTTGCGCACTGCTCATCTCTAACATTCCCTCTAGTTGCCTTCTAAAGTGCTGCCTCAGCAGCTGACGTGGATGCAAGTGCAAGGGGAGTGGTTTGGGGAGAGAAAAAAGAGAAATGAATGAATGAATGAATGAATGAATGAATGAATGAATGAATGAATGAATGAATGAATGAATGAATGAATGTATGAATGTATGACTGTATGAATGTATGAATGAATGAATGAATAAATGAATGAATGAATGAATGAATGAATGAATGAATGAATGAATGAATGAATGAATAAATACATAAATAAATATGTAAAAACCTGCGAACGCACGCTCGCTGAACAGACCGTGCCCCATCCAAGCAACCCGCGCACACTCCCCTCTCACTCTCCAGTCACCCCCGCACTCCCTCTCTCTCCCTCACCTGCGTCTCTCTTGGCTAGTGGCTACAAGGGACGGCGGATCTCGTGCCCTGTCGCGCCATACAGCGCAATCAGCTTGCACGCCGGACCCTGATAAAATCCCCTCTCCACTCAGCCCCACATTCCCCTCACCTGCGCCTCTCTTGGCCTAGAGGGCACGCGGAGCGGTGGAACTCCTGCCCTGTGGCGCGATACAGCGCAATCAGCTTGCACTCCCGTCGCAGGGCAGGAGACTCACTTCCTCGCCCCCCCCCCCCCCCCCCCCCCACACACTCTCTCTCCCTCTCCCCCTCACCTGCGTCTCTCTTGGCCAAGGGGCACGACGACCGATGGAACTCCTGCCCTGTGGCGCCGTACAACGCAATCAGCTTGCACGCCGAGCAGTCCGAGTCCCCTCCAAGCACCCTCCTCCCCCCTCCCCCTCCCCCTCCCCCTCCCCCTCCCCCTCCCCCGCCCCCTCCGCCTCCTGCCGTAATCCCTCTCATCTGAGCCATGACGTCACTCGTGGTGCGCATGCCTGCATGCAGCCCACTCCCTGCCCGCCTCAGCTGCACGCTCCCCTCTCTCCGAAGACCCATGCTCCCCTCCTTCTGAGCTCCCATGCTCCCCTCCCTCCGCAACCCTCCCACCACCCCACTTCTCTGCCTCCTTAACCCTCCCCCCGCTCCTCTCCCTTCTCCCAACCCTCCTACTCCGAACCGTACCTCTCCCGCCCCTCCTCCTCTCAATTCGCCGTCCATGGACCCCAAAGCTGCTTCTCCTCCCGTCTCTCCCGCTGCTCCCGTCTCTCCTGCTGCTCCCGTTTTCCCCGTTTCTCCCGTTTCTCCTGTTTCTCCCGCTGCTCCTGCTCCCCTTGCTCCTGTTGCGCCAGTTGCCGCAGTGTCACTGCACGAGCCAACACCGAGTGTACTAGTGGCTGCTGCACCCTCTCCTGCTGCACTTTCTCTGGCTGCGGTCGTTGCCCCTGTTCCTTCTGCTCCTCCTGCTCCTCCTGCTCCTCCTGCTGCTCCTGCTCCTGCTGCCTCTGCTTCTTCTGCTTCTTCTGCTGCTTCTGCTGCTTCTGCTGCTCCTGCTGCTCCCGCGGAAGGTGAATCTGCGGAAGGGGGAGCTGTGGAATTGGCGGAACTGATGGGGCTGCTGCGCGGAGGAAGGCCGGGGGAGCACAAGGGGGAGGGCGCAAGGGGAGATCTATCCCCCGAACCATGGGGAAGCGGGAAGGGCGCAAGAGGGGACTTATCCACAGAGCCATGTGAAAGGGGGGAGGGCGCAAGGGAAGATCTGTCCCCCGAACCATGGGGAAGCGGGGATGGCGCAAGAGGGGAGCTATCGCAGGAATTTAAGAGGGGGGATCTTGGTTCCTTAGAGAGAGGGCTTCTGACACGTGGCGAAACCGGGGGTAAACTTGGTGATTTCTTCGGATTTGACCAGCCATTTCCCACATTTCCAGCTTCGGTTTCAAGCAAGGTTTCGTTTCTGACGAATCCTACTTTCGCGTCATTTCCGTTTCCGCCGGTGGTTCTTGAGAGTTCCTCGGGAACCTCCTGGATTTCAGGAAGTCCCGGCGACGTGGCGTGTATCCAGGACCGAGGAGGCGTCCGGTAACCGCTCGCGCTGAGGTCACTCGAGGAAGCATCGATAATGTCGGGAGATGTAACGGTGAGGCCGTTACAAGACGAAACGTCCATATGAGACGGAATGTCGGTATGAGACGGAACGCCCGTATGCGACGGAACGCAGTCGGACGCGGTATTATTGGTCAATCGAGCAGCAACCGTAACGTCTTCCATTATAACCTACAGCGACCTACTAAAGCAACCACCGAAGAGAAACGAACCGCCAGAACCGGAGGAGCGGACTGAAGGAGCTGCCTGCCTCCGTGCCTTGCTGGAATGCGGCTTCGCGAAAATGGCATCAAGACGAGATCAAGACGAGAGGAAGAGCAAGGAGGAATTTCCACTCGCGTTTGTTTGTTCCGCGGGGTAGTCCCTAGGTACTGTATTGTACACTCTCGTGTAGTTCTCTGGTGCAGATTTCCTCAGTTCTCACGAGCTGAAACTTTACTCGTTATACAGATCATATTCCATTAACGCAAGCTCGAAGAATGTAGGAAATTGCGCGTGACGAATATTGCTGTACGACCCAGACAGATTTGCCTATATCGTTTCCGATATTGTGGGAGCTTTGACGTATGTGAACTGTAGAGGGGCGGGGAGCCTGTCTTTTGTGCCAACCATGTCCACATAGGCTCGTCGCCCAGGTTTCGTAATGTGTCACACAACCAAGTTTCAACCTTTTACATAATCTGAGGCATTGCAACAAGAGTAGCAACTGAAACTGAACAGCCCGTAGGCCGTATCTGTTTCTGACAGACGCAGGGTCGCGTGCTTGGCGAAGAATCGCAGATAGGATTTTTTGGGGCCATCGCGTCGGTAGCCAGAGTGCAGTGGATACTGAAACTTGGCGGTTGATTAAAACAAGGGTCTCAGGAAGCGCGAAACCAAATCCAAAAAAATTGGTTTTGGATTGACGAAATTAGCGAAACAGTAACAGCGCCCAACCAGCACCCTCCACCACACCTCGCAATTTTAGATACCCCCCGAAACCAAAACCTTTGGATTTGGTTTTCTGCTTCTTGAGACCCCTGCTTTAAGCCCACTGTGTGGCTTACCATTCCCGTGTGGTAACGGATTACGTCACGACACCGGTCGGATTCAGAATGGCACTTGGCGTGTTCTGTGGGTCGTCGACCTCTCCGCTTGGACCATTTGTTTCAGGAATGAAAATAACAGGATGTCACGCAATAAATATCAACAGGCTTGTCGGTACGTGATTGGCAGTTTCATGTTTTCTTGCCCCCAAGGAATAATTTGCGCCTGAGAAATACTTGAGGTAGTCGTGGTTGCTTTTACTGGATGCGACTTGTACTGTATACGTACTGCTGTGACGAAGATACTGTCCCGGTTGCCCGGGTTTGACCGTTTCCTTTTTACACGCTCAAGACGCGCGCAAAAATCGTAAAACACAATAAAAGAAAAGGTGTAGCATGATACCTGCTCCCTGCAGGCACATTTTTAGGACCAGTGGACAATGATTGGCCAAACGAACCAGTGTTTGTGGACCACAAATCTTGGCACCCGTCAGTTGTCAACAATAATGTGTAAGATTTTTTTACTGTAGTAGTAATTGTTAATATTGTTACAGATGTTGAAAGCACGAACTCATTCCTAGGCTTGGAAGAAAGCCTAGTTCTAAGGATGGAAAACCAGGAAAACATTTCACTATGTACACGTTCTGCACGCAAAGGACACCCGGGGACGAACATTTCCACAGGAGACATTCCTCTGTACACCGCAGCAAACATCCACACAAACCCATTGCTACCTTGCCGGCCACTTCTCCACCAGCCTCTGCTTCCATTCCTCTGGGTGGAACTAACAGCTCTATAATCCTTACTATTAACCCTCTGATGAGAGCAAACCAACAATGCCATCAGCAGCTGTACGAGCACGCTTGGTGGGAGGCTGCATGTGCACCGACATGCGCTCTGTCATTGGATCAAGCACCTGGTGCACAGGCAGGGGGCATTGTCGAAAGAAAAACACCACCTCTTTAGGACACGGGGAGGAGATGAAGCGAGGCGAATCGCCCACACTGAGCACAGATAGGAACGCGTGAATTAGGAGATCCTACGGTCCTGGGCGCGGCAGGAGAGATTTTTCCTTGTTGAAAAAAGTTTCAATGACTCACCTGTCCCACAGTCAGTTCTCCAACGTCCACACCCATGAGCATGTGGTGATCCATCTGATACTCCCCTGCGATACACCACACACAGAGCAGCTGGGATTAGACAAGAGAACTACCAACCCTCCCAAGACTAGGCTGATTTACACACACTCCGCCACAGCAAGCAAGAATCATAACTTCCAAAACAGACAGCCCAAATTTCGAGGTGACTTTTGAGTCGACTCAAAAGTCACCTCATTACAATGTCACACACCACCGACACTCCGCCAGCGCAAGCAAGAATCATAACTTTCAAAACAGACAGCCCAAATTTCCACCCGTGCACTGACCTGTTCCCTTGCCCACGCGCCTAATCTGGGTCACATAGCGCGCACAGCGCTGCAGGGCCAGCACCTGGCACAGGAGCAACATTGCGAAGAAAAGTTGCGGGAAGCATTTGCAGGCAGTGAAATGTCGGAGAAAGGGAAAAAAACAGCTCCAGGAAGAAGAACAAAATGAAACGAACAACCCGCAATGATGTGCAACGATGTGCAACGATGTGCAGTGATGTGTCAAGCTTCTCACCGCCCCCTTGAGAAGCCGATTCTCCACAAAGTTTTGCGCTCCAGCATCCCCCGACATCTCTGCTGCCTGCACACGCACGCAGTAACAAGAGGCAACAGAGGCAACAAGGGGGACAGGGGGGACATATAAACGGTTTAGGCAACAAGGGGGACAGGGGGGACATATAAACGGTTTTAGGCGGTTCTCCACAAAATTAGCGCTCCAGCATCCCCCGAAATTTCTGCTGCCTGCACATGCACGCGGTAACACAAGCACACGGTAACACATGCACGTGGTAACACATGCACGCGGTAACACATGCACACGGTAACACAAGCTTGCGGTAACACAAGTGTGCGGTAACACAAGCTTGCGGTAACACAAGCTTGCGGTAACACAAGCGTGCGGTAACACAAGTGTGCGGTAACACAAGCTTGCGGTAACACAAGCTTGCGGTAACACAAGCTTGCGGTAACACAAGCTTGCGGTAACACAAGCTTGCGGTAACACAAGCTTGCGGTAACACAAGCTTGCGGTAACACAAGCTTGCGGTAACACAAGCTTGCGGTAACACAAGCTTGCGGTAACACAAGCTTGCGGTAACACAAGCTTGCGGTAACACAAGCTTGCGGTAACACAAGCTTGCGGCAACACAAGCTTGCGGCAACACAAGCTTGCGGCAACACAAGCTTGCGGCAACACAAGCTTGCGGCAACACAAGCTTGCGGCAACACAAGCTTGCGGCAACACAAGCTTGCGGCAACACAAGCTTGCGGTAACACAAGGTTGCGGTAACACAAGGTTGCGGCAACACAAGGTTGCGGCAACACAAGTTTGCGGCAACACAAGTTTGCGGCAACACAAGTTTGCGGCAACACAAGTTTGCGGCAACACAAGTTTGCGGTAACACAAGTTTGCGGCAACACAAGTTTGCGGCAACACAAGTTTGCGGTAACACAAGTTTGCGGCAACACAAGTTTGCGGCAACACAAGTTTGCGGTAACACAAGTTTGCGGCAACACAAGTTTGCGGCAACACAAGTTTGCGGTAACACAAGTGTGCGGTAACACAAGTGTGCGGTAACACAAGTTTGCGGTAACACAAGTTTGCGGTAACACAAGTTTGCGGCAACACAAGTTTGCGGTAACACAAGTTTGCGGTAACACAAGTTTGCGGCAACACAAGTGTGCGGTAACACAAGTGTGCGGTAACACAAGTGTGCGGTAACACAAGTTTGCGGTAACACAAGTTAGCGGTAACTTGACATCCATTCCCTTGAAAAGGGAAAATCGGGAGCCAACACCTCTGGAGTCTGGCAAGATGGCAAACTGCATCACGGATTTCTCTTCCAGTGACATACGGGAGTGAAGCGAAGCGAAGCAAATCCGGTGTCATTCCAGCGACATACCTTGTGGAGATTCAAGTCCTTCTCATAGGCCACTTTGCCCAGGGCCAAGTCGAACTCAGCAACTGCAAAGCCCAGAAGAAGGAAAGAGGCATGAGGATGAGGGATTGTAAGGGTGACCTAAAAGGCAAGACGGAACGTCAAGGTCAACCAATTGGTGCAACGTCAAATATCAGCTGCTCCAGCTGTCATAGCTTTCCCAGCTTTTCCACACTACGAAATCCCATACCCGTTAGTGCATCACCCCTTACCCGTTAGTGCATCACCCCTTACCCGTTAGTGCATAACCCCGTACCCGTTAGTGCATCACCCCTTACCCGTTAGTGCATCACCCCATACCCGTTAGTGCATCACCCCATACCCGTTAGTGCATCACCCTATACCCGTTAGTGCATCACCCCATACCCGTTAGTGCATCACCCCATACCCGTTAGTGCATCACCCCATACCCGTTAGTGCATCACCCCATACCCGTTAGTGCATCACCCCATACCCGTTAGTGCATCACCCCGTACCCGTTAGTGCATCACCCCTTTCAGGATCATGGAAGGACTGAGGCGGCGCCTTGATGTCCCGCAGCATCAGGCTTCCTCCACGCCCACTCTGGTGCAACCACAGCAGACAGAAACCAGAGTAACGTGTATTTGAGGCGCCTAAACAATAAAGCCACTCTAGTGTTACAGCCGAATCTGAAGAGACCGTTCGCTACTTAAATAAATGTGAACCAAAGGCCAGAAACACCTACCAACCACCCGAGGACGCCTACAGAACAGCGTTGTAAGAGAGACTAGGATGAGAAGAAATGCATACCACGAAGGATGCGGTTTCTTTAAATGTCATCTGCTCCTCCAGGGCAGGCTTCCAGAAGAACTCACCACCCATGGAGAGCCACAGAGAGCCACAAAGTCGTAAGAGAGAGAGAGTCAAGGGTTCCAAGAAACGCACCACAAAGACAGCAATGTCTTCAAAGGTCATCTTCTCCTCCAGAGCGCTGGAAAAAGCTGGTACTGGTGGAGCAACATACCACAAAGGCTGCCATGTCCTTGAAGGTCATCTGCTCCTCCAGGGCGCGCTTCCAGAAGAACTTGCCGAAGCCGCGGAGCGCCACGGAGTCCTTGCCGCAATACAGGGCGAGCGCCTGATAGGCATAGGACGTCGACAAGTGCACACTGTAACACGGAACAAGGGACAGGAGGGACAGGAGGGGCAAGAGGGACAAGAGGAGCAAGAGGAGCAAGAGGGACAAGACTAGAGTATCAAGGCCCAAAGCACTCGCAGTATGTTGACACTTGTACACTGTAACACAGGAGCAGATTCAAACCAGCAACGTGGGTAAGCAAGGAAATTGAACTTGCTAAACAAGTGAAGGGTTTGGAATGGCAGCAAACGCCCTGGCCGCTGGGAAGCCACAGACAGCGGGCAGCACAGGCTGCAGACATGCGCGAACACAGCAAAAAAAAAACAGACGCGACAACATGAGCAGGGGACAGCACACCCACTCGCAGGAGCAGTTCAAGGCCTAGCGTCTCGTCCAGGTGCTGCCTGATGAGCGTCGGCTCGAGCTGTCCCTCCCTCACGAAAAGCGTAAGAGATTTACAGCGCACTGTCACGGCACAGCCCACTCACTTGCAGGAGCAGTTGAAGGCCTTGAGGAGTGACTCGTCCAGGTGCTGCCTGATGAGCGTCGGCTCGAGCTGTCCCTCCCTCAACAAGCGTAAAGAGATTCAACGTGCACTGTCAAGGCACGGCCACGCCACGACCCACTCACTTGCACGAGCAGTTGAAGGCCTTCAAGAGCGACTCGTCCAGGTGCTGCCTGCCCGATCAGCGTTGGCTGTCCCTCAGAAAAGAGTAAGAGACTCACAGCGCACTGTCACGGCACGGCCATGGCACGGAGCACTCACTTGCACGAGCAGTTGAAGGCCTTCAAGAGTGCCTCATCCAGGTGCTGCCTGATGAGCGTCGGCTCGAGCTTGCCCGGCACTAGCACCTCCAGCCCGCCCAGGCTCTTAATCTCCTCCTGCCATGGGGATAGCCACATCCAGGCACAGACAGGGACGCAGGTGGAAAGTTGTGTGAAATCTAAAATCTTCTACAAGCGTGGGGATATAATCTCGTTTCGATACATCTCTTACCAAAATCACAAATGCTGCAGCAACAAGCAGCCCACCGTCCGCCCCCCCCTGCTCCCGTCGTCCGTACGCTCTAGCAAACCGAATGACCAAGGAAGTCCCGGGCACAGCAATCACCTCAGTGTTGCTGGAGGACCTTTCCTCAAGGAATGACGGCCCCGCGAGGCTCTTGCTCAGCGAGGGAGCACCACCCAGTGATTACGAAGAAAAAAAATGATGGGGGAAGACTACTAAAAGCACCTCGATATCGAAAAAAATCTCCTCGGAAATGACGGACTCTGGGAGGCTCTTGCTCAGCGAGACACGACCACGCAGTAATTTGAAGTCAAAGCTGAAAATTACGTCGATGTCGAAGGGCGTTTCCTCGGGAATGACGGCGCCCGTGAGGCTCTTGCTGAGCGGCTGCGTCTGGAGCTTCGTCTTAAGCTGCTGCACCTCACGTCCGACTCCGCCGCCTTCGCCGCGTGACCCTTCACCATCGCGTGCCCCTTCGCCGCCTTCGCGGTGCAGGCTCGTTATCCGGGGATTTTCAACAAGGGCAATACAGCATACCTCGATGTTGAAAGACGTTTCGTCGGCAATAACGGTCCCGGTGAGGGACTTGCTCAGCGGCTCCGTCTCGAGCTTCGTCTTCAGCTGCTGCGTGTCCGCCTCCGCCGCCTTCGCCGCGTGACCCTTGGGAGCCATGGTTCCCCGAGGTTACTTTCTCAGCAGGATCTCTGCTCGGCGCAGAAGTCTGTCCTATTGACGGATTCGCGGCGGCGCTAAACCGAGGCTGCTCAGGCAGCAGGGAGCTCGGGCGAGTTAGGACGAAACTCGGAGCGACAGGAGCGTGACAGCCAGACCACCTCTAAGGTAGGTTGCCGTGGAACTAATAGATTCCGCAACTGGAGCTGAGAATGTGGCAACGGGAGTACGGGACGGGAGGGAGCCGTGCGCCGAGCCCCGTGCCGACCACCCTTGCGTTTCCCCGTGCACCGCCGTTGACCTAAACCTCGAAATATGGAGCCGCATGTCGGGGAAGCGGCTCGACCATGCAATCGCGGCGCGAGCATGTTGCTCGGGATAGGCGATTCGGAGAGGGATAGGACACGTGCGCGCTGCCTGTCCCTCACGTCGCACCACCTGTTATGTCGCGGCTTCCCCTAGGGCTACGGGTTGGCTCGCGTGGTGCTTCGCGTATGCGCCATCATATTTCCGACTGACGGCCCGCAACATGTTCCCGACAATCTCCGATACAAAGCTGGTACCGATACAGATAGAACGTCTCCAGTACCACTATGTCGAACCAAGGTAATCCGGACCAGAGAATTAGTATTCGGACCAAAGAATTAGAACTTCAATATAGCATCTACCAGGCAAGAAAACACTCAGAAAACACTCAAGTACAGGCATCCAAGCCCTGAACTCTATTGAAGAAAACAGCGAGCCAAGTCACTAAACAACATCATGTGATGCAATCAGTCATCATTGCAAGCTTTCCTCCTAGCCCAACACACAGATCTTCACATTGAAACTACCCATTTCGACAACGATAGTAACAATGTTTTCTTAGCACATTGCTCTCACTGCACAAGCTTCCCTAAGCCTGCGATTTCAACTGTCTTCACATCCGGCTCGCCGTCCACCTTCACAATCCCCTCCGCAGCATCCACTCCCATCAACTTCCCCACGGCGCCGCGTAACGGGCCTCGCAGGATCTTCACCCGGTCATGGGCACGCGGTAACACTATGTCCATCTCCGAGGGACCCACTATAAAGAGCTCCGACTCCGACGCGTTGCTTGCTCCGACACGGCATGAGCCATCCTGTGGTGGTAGGAAGAGATGGGAATAAGCAAGGAATAATATGTGAAAGGTGAGAAAGGTTGGGGGGCAGTGGAAGGTAGATAGTAGTGCAAGCATGCAAAGAATATTCTTTTCGCATTGAACGTGCACAGGTTACCAAGGAAGGAGCAAAGAGGCAGCTACACTCACTGGCAGCAAAGCACTTCTCCGATGACCACTGTAGTCATCCCAGGGCCAGCCGGTCGCTGCACCATCACCAGCAAAAGCAGCAGCTACATCAACCAATGGTGCTAGCACCTATACTCCCAGCCACACTCACTAGGACGGTAAACACATGCAGCTCACCAGCAGCACTTCTCTGATGACCACTGTTGTCATCCCAGGGCCCCCTGGTCGCCGCACCATCACCAGCACTCCAGGCAGACCCAGCGACCCCCCCTCGCCTCCGTTGCCGAACCCCCCGCCCATACCTGTGCGGCAGGTAAGGTAGAAACACAGTCAGGTACAGGCACGTGACGGCAGGGACGTGTGTTCAGGACGATAAAGAAAAGAAAAAAAAGTCAGAAGACGGAAAAAAAGGCGAGAGTCGGAAGATGGAAAAAAAGTCAGAAGATGGAAAAAAAGTCAAAAGATGGAAAAAAAGGGTGAAAGGAGGCGCAACGAAGGGAAGGAGGAGGCAGCTAAGAAGGCGAGACAACAGCAGGCGGCAGGAGAGAACAATGGGTGAGAAGGCAGGGAAGGGGAGGAGCTCACAAATGGCAGGCGAGATGGGGTCGGCAGGAGACATGGGCAGGGAGGAGTCAGCAGGGGTGGGCTATTGAGACGGCTCAATCGAGATAGGAGAAGGCAGGAAAGGAGGGAAGGAGGGAGGGAAGGAGGGAGGGAAGGAGGGGAGGGAGGAGCTCACCGATGGCAGGCGAGTTGGGGTCGGCAGGGGTCATGGGCAGGGAGGAGTCAGCGGGGGTGGCGGGGATGTAGGCTGCAGAGGGGGTGAGCGGCTGCCCAGTGGGTGTCTGCGCAGCGTACGGACTCGGGGCCTCGCCTGGTGGTAACCGGGTAACGATAAAAACAGGAAAGGAATGAGCTTGCTTGTTCGTTCACAGGGCAGGGAGGAGTCAGCGGGGGTGGCAGGGATGTAGGCTGCAGAGGGGGTGAGCGGCTGCCCAGTGGGTGTCTGCGCAGCGTACGGACTCGGGGCCTCGCCTGGTGGTAACCGGGTAACGATAAAAACAGGAAAGGAATGAGCTTGCTTGTTCGTTCACAGGGCAGGGAGGAGTCAGCGGGGGTGGCGTGGATGTATGCTGCAGAGGGGGTGAGCGGCTGCCCAGTGGGTGTCTGCGCAGCGTACGGACTCGGGGCCTCGCCTGGTGGTAACCGGGTAACGATAAAAACAGGAAAGGAATGAGCTTGCTTGTTCGTTCACAGGGCAGGGAGGAGTCAGCGGGGGTGGCAGGGATGTAGGCTGCAGAGGGGGTGAGCGGCTGCCCAGTGGGTGTCTGCGCAGCGTACGGACTCGGGGCCTCGCCTGGTGGTAACCGGGTAACGATAAAAACAGGAAAGGAATGAGCTTGCTTGTTCGTTCACAGGGCAGGGAGGAGTCAGCGGGGGTGGCGTGGATGTATGCTGCAGAGGGGGTGAGCGGCTGCCCAGTGGGTGTCTGCGCAGCGTACGGACTCGGGGCCTCGCCTGGTGGTAACCGGGTAACGATAAAAACAGGAAAGGAATGAGCTTGCTTGTTAGTTCACAGGGCAGGGAGGAGTCAGCGGGGGTGGCGGGGATGTAGGCTGCAGAGGGGGTGAGCGGCTGCCCAGTGGGTGTCTGCGCAGCGTACGGACTCGGGGCCTCGCCTGGTGGTAACCGGGTAACGATAAAAACAGGAAAGGAATGAGCTTGCTTGTTCGTTCACAGGGCAGGGAGGAGTCAGCGGGGGTGGCGTGGATGTATGCTGCAGAGGGGGTGAGCGGCTGCCCAGTGGGTGTCTGCGCAGCGTACGGACTCGGGGCCTCGCCTGGTGGTAACCGGGTAACGATAAAAACAGGAAAGGAATGAGCTTGCTTGTTCGTTCACAGGGCAGGGAGGAGTCAGCGGGGGTGGCGTGGATGTATGCTGCAGAGGGGGTGAGCGGCTGCCCAGTGGGTGTCTGCGCAGCGTACGGACTCGGGGCCTCGCCTGGTGGTAACCGGGTAACGATAAAAACAGGAAAGGAATGAGCTTGCTTGTTCGTTCACAGGGCAGGGAGGAGTCAGCGGGGGTGGCGTGGATGTATGCTGCAGAGGGGGTGAGCGGCTGCCCAGTGGGTGTCTGCGCAGCGTACGGACTCGGGGCCTCGCCTGGTGGTAACCGGGTAACGATAAAAACAGGAAAGGAATGAGCTTGCTTGTTAGTTCACAGGGCAGGGAGGAGTCAGCGGGGGTGGCAGGGATGTAGGCTGCAGAGGGGGTGAGCGGCTGCCCAGTGGGTGTCTGCGCAGCGTACGGACTCGGGGCCTCGCCTGGTGGTAACCGGGTAACGATAAAAACAGGAAAGGAATGAGCGTGCTTGTTAGTTCACAGGGCAGGGAGGAGTCAGCGGGGGTGGCGTGGATGTAGGCTGCAGAGGGGGTGAGCGGCTGCCCAGTGGGTGTCTGCGCAGCGTACGGACTCGGGGCCTCGCCTGGTGGTAACCGGGTAACGATAAAAACAGGAAAGGAATGAGCTTGCTTGTTAGTTCACAGGGCAGGGAGGAGTCAGCGGGGGTGGCGGGGATGTAGGCTGCAGAGGGGGTGAGCGGCTGCCCAGTGGGTGTCTGCGCAGCGTACGGACTCGGGGCCTCGCCTGGTGGTAACCGGGTAACGATAAAAACAGGAAAGGAATGAGCTTGCTTGTTAGTTCACAGGGAAGGGAGGAGTCAGCGGGGGTGGCGTGGATGTAGGCTGCAGAGGGGGTGAGCGGCTGCCCAGTGGGTGTCTGCGCAGCGTACGGACTCGGGGCCTCGCCTGGTGGTAACCGGGTAACGATTAAAACAGGAAAGGAATGAGCTTGCTTGTTAGTTCACAGGGCAGGGAGGAGTCAGCGGGGGTGGCGGGGATGTAGGCTGCAGAGGGGGTGAGCGGCTGCCCAGTGGGTGTCTGCGCAGCGTACGGACTCGGGGCCTCGCCTGGTGGTAACCGGGTAACGATAAAAACAGGAAAGGAATGAGCTTGCTTGTTAGTTCACAGGGCAGGGAGGAGTCAGCGGTGGTGGCGTGGATGTATGCTGCAGAGGGGGTGAGCGGCTGCCCAGTGGGTGTCTGCGCAGCGTACAGACTCGGGGCCTCGCCTGGTGGTAACCGGGTAGCACATGGACAAGGTAAGCAGAGAATGGCATCCCCTCTGCCGCAATCAGCATAGAAGAAACAGATGCAATATGCTCGTCTCTGCAATGTTTTTCCACCTGTTTTTCACATGTGGTACGAAAATAGGCGGAAAAACATTGCAGAGACGAGCATATTGCAAAAGAGGGGTGGAGGGGGGGGAGAGAGGGGGGAAGGAAGAGGGGAGGGGGGGAGGGGAAGGGGAGGTGGACCCACCGTAAGGCGTGGAGGGGTTGTAGTTGGGCCCGACTTGGCTGCCCGGTGTGGGAATGTCAAAGGCTGAGCGCAGATCACCAGGAAACCACTGCAATGCACATGCAGCACTGGCACCTACCTTGATATGGGGATGGATGGATCAAGCTGATCCTACCGTAAGGCGTGGAGGGGTTGTAGTTGGGCCCCGCTTGGCTGCCCGGTGTGGGAATGTCAAAGGCTGAGCGCAGATCACCAGGAGTGCCCGGCTGATGGGAAAAACACCAGGCAGGGTGGGGAGGGACAGGGAGGAAGGAAGAACGGGAGCACGTGGGAAGGGGAGCACGAGGAAAGCCAGAGGGGGGGCAGGAATGCATTGGAGAGGGCTGGCAGGAGGGGGAACACTAGCAAGGAAGCAGATTGGTCGGCTGGGCTTAGAGAGGGGACAGGCAGGGCAGGTAGGGCAGGTGTACAAAAATGTTTGGGGTGGCTAGGGGTGTCACGGGGCAGAGCAAGAAACTTGGGACGGGCAGACACAGGCGGGGTTTTTGAGGCGCCTCAAAAACCAAAACACGGGCCAGAGCAAGAAACATGGGACGGCAGACACAGGCGGGGCTTACATCATGAACGGAAAGGGGCGGCGATGGGGCGATGTCAGCCGGGACATCGCTGTCCGACGACCCCCATGTAGGAGGGTGCCAGTTGACTTGATGAGAACAGACAAAGACTTACATCATGCACTGGAGTCTATTTTTGAGGCGCCTAAAAAATAGACTCCTCACGCATAGTTGACTTGATGAGAACAGACAAAGACTTACATCATGCACTGGGAGAGGCGGCGATGGGGCGATGTCAGCCGGGGAGAAGGCCGGCGTGTAGGGCAGGAAGGGAGCATCGCTGCCCGACGACCCCCATGTAGACGGATTCGCCTCGTCGTACGAGTCGGGCCTGGTGGACCACATGCAAGCCGGGGTGGAATAGAAATAACCTTGAGGAAATTATTAGTAGTAACCTAGATGGCATCGCAAGAAGCTGCATGGACCGACTGGCATGGGATGGTGCCAATGGATGGCATAAAGTGGTGCTGAGTGGTAATTAACACCAGTAAGGACACCTGAGGGGAGGATTGAAAAGCACCTGGAAAGGCACCTGAAGAGAAATAAAAAAAACGGATGGGCACCTGAGCGGAGTGGTGGGAACATGGGGGTTCCAGGCTCTGTCTCTCATGGGCGTGCGCATGCCCTCGTGTACCGGCGTGGCTGCACACACAAAGGAGAGGAAGGAAGGATGCGTGTGTGGTTGAGTCGACTCAAAAGTCACCTTGTGTGGTTGGGGTTAGGGAGGGGGTGGCAAAATATGAACCTAAAATGTGTCTGTAGACAGATGCCGCAAATTTCCTGAAGGTCCAACAGCGACTTAGAGGAATGTGAAACATAAGTCTTACCTGAGGGGTCGAAGCCCCTGCCACCATACCTGAGGGGTCGAATCCCCTGCCACCGAAGCCGGGGTGCATGGGCGTGCGCGAGGGATGCACGGGCGTTTCGCTGCCCAGCGATCCCCTGAAGCGAGGCGACTCCCTGTTGGTTTTGGTAACAACGGAGCAGGGAGGGAGGGAGAGAGAAAGAGGAAACGAGACAGCTCAACGAAAGATGGATGGACAGGCAACTCACTGCCACGTGAGTTAAGAAGGTGTATATCACTACTGACCCCCAATGATGAGCATACCTGTAGGGCGCAGGTGATTGTAGCTGTCCTGCTGCTGGCGCTCCATCCGGCAACTGATCCCTCCGCACTGCACCATGCAACGCCATGCACCATGCAACGTCATGCACCATGCAACGCCATGCACCATGCAACGTCATGCACCATGCAGCGTCATGCACGATGCACCATGCACCGCCATGCACACATGAGCACATGCACATGGGCGTACATGCATGCTGGATGCACATGCGCAGACCCATGCATGTGCTCACAGCACACACAGACATGCATGCACACCGACAGACATGCACACAGACAGAAACAGAGCAGCTCAATGCTATTAGTGCACATAAGCGATCACACCTAGCGCATCCATCGGCTGCAAGCAAAGCAACAGAAAATTGTGTCTTTCAACCATCGAACGCAAAAATGTAACCAAGTGAGACAGCACCTGTGACTAAGTGTAACGTACGTGTGACCACTTTCATCTGCGATTCCAGATGGTTTCATGCTGTAGTTTCAATAGCATCCAGCATATGCCCTTTGTACCCCTTATAAGCTCCACCCCCCCCCCCCCCCACACACACACACCGCATCCCTAAAATACGTCCCAATAAGACCCACCTGTGACCACTTTCATCTGCGATTCCAGCTCAATTCGCGCCGTGGTATCAGTGGCATCCAGCACTCGTCCTCTGTACCCCTTATAAGGCCCTGCCCGTATCTTCACAATGCGCCCAACCATGCCGTTCTCCCGCCTGTTCCCCATCCGCCCTCCCCCATATGCGCCTGAGAGAACAGAACGGAAAGTGCAGGAAAGAAAAGTGGGGAGACAACAGAAGACATGAGCAGGGGGGAAAAAAGGCAGGGAGGGAGGGGGGAATGGAGGGGGGAAGTCTTGGGATGGGATTGGAGAGGAAGGGAAAAGGGTGGGGTGTGAAAGGGGAGAGAGCGAGCATAGAGCGGGGGAGACAGGAGAGGGGAGCAGGTGGAGTTGAGGCGGCACGGAAAGCACGCAGGCAACGCAGCAGAAGGGGAGAGGTTAGGGCGGAAAACAGGCAACAGGAAGAGAATGGGGATACCTTGGTCCTGTTTCAAGCCACCCCAATCTCGCCCCTGCAGCAACCAAGCCTAGCTGAGAAGCTCACCTGGAGGGGGGGCTCCTCCTCTGCCCCCTTGCCGGCTGGGACTGCCAGGGAAGTTCCTGGGTGACTGCAGGAAGCGGGATGGCGACTGCATCACGCCACCAAACCGACGGTCAAACGGTGCCATGCCTCCTCCTCCACCACCACCTGCTGCTGCGGGATTGCGCTGTGGGTTGATACGGGAAAAGCAGGGAGGCGAAGGGACGGGGAGGGAGAGGGAGAGGGGCGAAAGGACTGCATCAGCCCACCGAACCTAAGGTCCAAAGGTGCCATGGCTCCCCCGCCGCCACCACCTGCTGCGGGATTGGGCTGTGGGTTGATACGGGAAAAGCAGGGAGGCGAGGGGAGGGGGGAGGGGAGGGGGAGGGCGAGGGGGAGGGGGAAGGGGAGGCGGAGGGGGAGGGGGAGAGGGAGGGGGAGGGGGAGGGGGAGGGGGAGGGGGAGGGGGAGCGGGAGGGGGAGCGGGAGGGGGAGGTCGAGGGGGAGGGGGAGGGGGAGTGGGAGGGGGAGGGGGAGGGGGAGGTCGAGGGGGATAGGGAGGGGAAATGGGAGGGGGAGGGGGAGGGGGAGGGGGAGGGGGAATGGGAGAGGGAAGGGGAGGGAGAGGGAGAGGGAAAGGAAGAGGGAGAGGGAGAGGGAGAGGGAGAGGGAGAGGGAGAGGGAGAGGGGAGGGAGAGGGGGAGGGAGAGGGAGAGGGAGAGGGGGAGGGAGAGGGGGAGGGAGAGGGAGAGGGGGAGGGGGAGGGAGAGGGAGAGGGGGAGGGGGAGGGAGCAGAGAGGGGAGAAAGGGCTGCATCAGTCCACCAAACCTACGGTCAAACGGCGGCATGGCTCCCCCACCACCACCACCTGCTGCGGGGTTGCGCTGTGGAAAAGGGACGAGCCGATGGGGCGTGGGAAAGGGATGGGAAGGGAATGGAGTGGAATGGAATGGAATGGAGTGGAGTGGAATGGAGTGGAGTGGAGTGGAATGGAGTGGAGTGGAGTGGAATGGAGTGGAATGGAGCAGACGAGGAGGGGAAGAGTCGATGGGGCAGAAGAAGTGGGGATGAGTCGACTGTAGCTGTGGCTGCTTCTAAAGGGGAGGGAGACGTTGACATTTCTGCAGTAACCAGCAGCAAACATACACACACAGCACCCCATATCATGTCAACCCCCCAGTCATGGCTGCCTTGGCGGCGGTCAAGGACCGCACCGAGTGCGCCCCCACAGTGCCCTGGTTGCCCCTATCCTGAGGCTCCATTTGTCCCAGCCCCATCCCAGGCTCACCCCAGTGTTAGTTGCCTTCGCAGTTAGACACCGCACGGAGCGCGCCCGCACACAAAAGAAACCTCCATTCTCCACGTGGTTGCGGTCGTACACAAACAGCACCCCCCGATAAATGTGCTCCACGGTGCCCCTCTTGTCGCGGTACGCCCCCTCCACCACGCGGATCGGGTCCTTGGGGGCTATGGGCAGGCCCTCGCTGTCGTGCGCCGACACGTTACGGTTGCTCATCTTGCGCCGGATCTCCCTCAGTTTCACGGCCACTGTCTCGCTGCGCTCTGGCGTGGCTTTGAGGACCACACAGCCCGTTTTCTCTACTTTCACGATCACTCCTGCGGTGGTTTGGCTGGACAATGAACATGGGAGGGAGGGAGGGAGGGAGGGAGGGAGAAAAGAGAGAAATTATAGCCCCTAAGATTCGTGCGCCGACACGTTCCGGTTGCTCATCTTGCGCTGGATCTCCCTCAGTTTCATGGCTACTGTCTCGCTGCGCTCTGGCATGGCACACCCGGTCTTCTCTACTTTCACAATCACTCCTGCCGTCGTTTGGCTGGGGAGAGATGGGCCAGGGATTGACGGGGGAGAAAAGGCTTACAGGGGAGCAATAGATGGGTGACGGGCTAGGAGGGAGGGCAGCGGACCTGGTCAGCTCAATAAGTCACAAAAAAGGGAGCGATGCAGCATGAACAGACAGCATGCCTGCCATACCCCCCTTCCCCTGCCCTCCTTTCCCCCCCCCATACTCACTCCAAGAGCACGAGGTCATGCAGGTCGTAGTCATCAATCTGCGAGGGACCAGCGTGCAACCTGTGCTTTCAGACAGCTCGAACCAAGCCTAAAAACCCCCTCCTAAACCCCCTCCTACCACCCCCTCCTACCCCACCTCCTTCCCCCCCAATACTCACTCCAGCAGCACGAGATCGTGCAGCTCGTAGTCACCGATCTGCGAGGGACCTGCTGTGACCTCAGAAGTGGACATGAGGTCATCTGGTGAACAGCCTATACCATCCCCCCTCCCCAATGCACACACGCCCCCCTCCCTCCCCCCCCCCATACTCACTCGAGCAGCACCAAGTCGTGCAGCTCGTAGTCACCGATCTGCGAGGGACCAGCAGTCACCTCAGAGCTGGACATGAGGTCTCGAGTGAACACCCGCACCTGGGCGAGAGGGAGGCAGAGGGGAGGGGTGGGGAAGATGGTCATGTTACAATACAACCCCTTCACACCTGCTGTCACCTCAGAGCTGGAAATGAGGGCGCGAGTGAACACCCGCACCTGAGAGAGAGGGGCAGAGGAGAGGGGTGGGGAAGAGTAGAAGGGACAAGGGAATATGTTGAGTCGACTCAAAATACAAGAGGGGTGGGGACGAGTAGAAGGGACAATAGCATAGACATGTGAGAACGCCTATACGGTAGTGACCTCTGAACTGGACATGAGGTCGCGAGTGAACACGTGTACCTGAGAAAAAAACTGGGATAGAGAGAGAGAGAGAAGCATTGGCCACCAAGGCCCCTACAGGGCATACTGAAGCAAGCATGGAGAACCTGATCCGCCGTGCGGGGGCGCTCAGACTGCAGGACTCACCGCCCCGCCGCACCTACTCCCGCCGCCCTGCTATTCCGCGACAGCAGCCAGCCCGGCCTCCTCCAGCAACGCGGCCTGGTACGACATCAGGACCTGCAGCGTGGACACGGCGCCAGCTACAAGCCCTGCAGCTGACGCCGAGTCTATGCTCGCCGACACCTGGCGGAGCGCGGCGAGAAGGAGAGGGTCCGTGCCAGTTCCCCGGGAGGGCCCGGGCCGCGCGCGCGCAGTCTCCACAGCGAGATCTATGGCTGCTTCCATGCAGCCCTGAAGGGGGAAGTACGGGGCCATTGACAGGCCCCCTGAGTTCCCCAGCACGGAGCTCGCCGCCGCCAGAATCGTCAGCAATATCTCGGTCCCCCTCCGAGCGTGCCCAAGACGACGAAGCGTGGCGGCTGGGACCGCTATCACCGCGGGAGCCACCGCCCCCAGCCCCACCGTCGGCGTGCTCCTTCGCGCCGCCACCCCGGCCCCCCGGGCTCGACGGGGAGATCCCTCGCCTGGGGACTCCGTGCCCCCCGTCTCCGCTGCTTCTGCCCCCGCCCCTACACCCTGTGGGGATGGCGCACGCCGCCGTGGGGGAACGAACTGACCGACCACGCCCCCTCCGCGGTAGAGCCCAACCTGGGGTTCGGCCCACTCCGCAGACCCAGCCCATGACGAGGGGGGATGCCACTCCGGGAGCGTATCAGCGGATGATACGGGGCCGCCCATCTGGGACGCTGGCAGGGACCCGCGATGCGGGTCGTAGTACCCCGGGGGGGAGAGGACCGACACGTACGGGGGCGGCAGGTGCGCGGCAGGGCGCAGGGCAGGATACGGGCCCCCAGGCGGTAATGGCTGCAGCATCGGAGCAGGCGCGGAGAGGAGAGGAGCGGCCAGAGGAGGTGGCGGGAAATGCAGGCTCGTTTGCTCATCCCCGCGCGCCACCACAGGACGAGGTTGCACACGCTGCAACTGAGGGGGACACGCTCCAAAAGGAGCCGGCTGGTCGGGGAGGGGCGGAGGAAGGACTTGAGGCGGCAATAGAGGCTGCGCCTGGAGGGGGAGCCGTCGGGGAGGATCCTGCTGGGGGGGCGAAGGGAGCAGCCCAGCGCCAGCCCGCTCGAGGATGCCCTCCAGCGTCGCGGCAGTACGCGCCAGCCGCCTCTCCAGTGCGCTTCCCCTTCGCCCCCGACGCGGACCACCTCGCCCCGAGGGGCCGTTCGGCGCACGTTGCTGTTGCGGATGGGGACGAGACGGCAGCACAGGGGGGGGGCGGGGGCTCGCCGCGCGGGATAGTGCAGGCGGCGACAACCCAGCAGGGGGACACTCGCGGACCTCTGCACCAGCCACCACCGCCCGCCCCTCCAGCCGAAGCGGCGTCGCCGCCCGCATCCGACTGGGGGACGCTGGCGCGCTCGTGGACGGCACTGGGAGCCCGCGCGCCCACCGCTGGTCCGACGGGGGGGGGGAGCTCGACCGACCTCGGGGGGGGACGGTTTCCCCCGAACTCTCACGGTCAACGGAGCGCTCCCTCCGAACGCGACCGGCTAGGTCGGCCATCCGATTCGCCGATGACCCCCAGAGCTGGCACGGCGAGGCAGCGGGGCGAACGCCCGCCTACCCCACGCTCCACAGCGCGGGGCAGCGGCGCGCAGAGAGGACGCGGCGGCAGAGGGCGCGGCCGCTCGCCTGGTCCGATGGCTGGTGGAGGCCCCCTGAATGGCTTCCACAGGGCTGTGAGAAGGGCTTTAAGAGGAAATTCAGCGGAGGATACGACTGCTGCGGAGGAGCGTGCGGATGCCACTTATAGGCAGGAGGCGAGGGACGAGACTAGCACAGAGGATTCAGCTGGAGAGGACGACGATCCCGACATACCTGAACGAAGGCAAAGGCGGGCGGGGCGGATTCAAAGGGAGCAGCAGGCGCCGCTTAGACGGAATCAAGGGGCCAACGAGGCACAACCCTGCCAACCCTCGCGCCAATTTTCGCCAGAAGATCTGGCGAATAACGAACCCCTTTTCACGGGGATCGCAAATTGGGACACGGGACTGCTTTGCGACAGTCGCCAGCCCCCCCTTTCCCGTCGAATCCCCCAGAAATTACGCCAGCTTTTCGCTCTGGCGCTCCTGACACCCCTGCTCCACATCGCCAAACACCCATCCAGCCTCGCAGGCTGGCGCCTGTTACTTTTCACACCCAGACTCACCCTTCGCCTCAATTCGCCACGTCACCCGGATTGGCCAGCAGTCGAGCGACGACTGCAGCTGTTCCTGGCCGGCGAATGGGAACTACTTTACCTGGCTGCTGTCGATGCGATAACCAACCCACCGTTGCCACGACACTCTGGAGACGCCCTTGGCAAAATTTCTCGCGCCGAGGGCCTCGTCCGTCGAGGCAGCCTCAGACGTGCCCTACTGGCGTTGGACTCAACGCCGGTCAGCGAGTCAACGCCAGAGGTCCTCGCTGTGCTGACCTCCAAACATCCCCCCCCTCTGACCGAGTCCCTTGACTGGCCCGCCCTCGACGACTCAGAGCCTCCCACCTCAATCTCGCAGGCTGATTTCGTACGGTTACTTTGCCGCAGCGAAAACGGTGTCGGTGCAGGGCCGTCGGGAATGTGTTTTGAACATCTCCGCGACGCAGCCCTCGCGAACGCCTCCGTCGCCCTCAATCTCCACGCAGTAGCACAGCTCCTCCTAAAAGGGACTGCCACACCAGAAGTCGCGGAGCTCCTCACAGCCAGCCGCCTGCTGGCGTTTCCGAAGCCGCAGGGAGGCACGCGCCCAATCGCAGTAGGCGAGTGCCTCCTCCGCCTGGTGGCAAAAGCGGGCCTCGCTGCCATGAACGAGCCCGCCCAAAGCCACCTCCTCCCACTGCAATTCGGCGTGGCAGTGAAAGCCGGAGGCGAAGCGATAATCCATGGCGCAAGGGCTTTCGCCACGGAATTCCCGTCCGCCCTCCTGCTCCAGGTCGACCTATCTAACGCCTTCAACAGCGTCGACCGTGGGGCCATCATAACGGGACTCTACAACTCCCCTCTTCGCCCCCTACTCCCCTTCGTGCGCCTATCCTATGGCGCCCCCTCGACCCTCTTCCTGGACGCCGGCTTCAACAGCCCGCCCCTCCTCAGCGCTCGTGGCGTCCGGCAAGGGGATCCCATGGGACCCCTTCTCTTCGCCGCCGCCATGCACCCCGCCCTGCGCGAGACCGCCCAGGCGTACCCCAGCGTCCTCTGCCTGGCGTACGCCGATGACATAACCCTGATGGGAGAGCCAGCGGCATGCACCGCCGCCTTCGCCCATCTCACCCACGCGCTGCTCCCACTAGGCCTGACCCATAATCCGGCTAAGTGCGCGGCATGGTCCACGGCCCCTCCCCCCCCCGACCTCCTCCCCCCGGGAATCCCCTTCTGCGCCTCCGGGTTGCGGATCTTGGGCAGCCATATCGGCCCACCAGACGCAGCGGCCAGTTTCCTGCGCGAACAGCTGGCCGCGATGGCCAAGCCTCTCCCCACCTTAGCGGCCATGGACCCCCAGTCCGCCAGCCTCCTCCTTCACCGCTGCGTCTCTCGTCGAGTCTCCTACCTGACCCGCACGACGCCGCTAAATCTGCTGCCAGCAGAGGAGTGGTCCCAGTGGGGACAACAACTCTACTACACCCTCCTGAGGGCGTGCAACCTCCAGCCCCCGCGCGGGGATCATGAGATGGCGCGCACGTGGCAGCAGGCCTCCCTCCCCCCCTCCCTCGGTGGGCTCGGGCTGACAGACCCCGCAGTCGAAGGGCCACACGCCCTCCTTACCAGCGTAGCCCACGCCCAGCGGCTCCTGGCCTCCCTCGCCAAGGACCCTTCCAGCCCCCTCGGGGCAGTGGCCCGCTCCCTCACACCACCCTACGCCAGCCCCACCCCCCTCCACTCCTGGCTAGCCGAATGCGAAGCGGCGCTGCCAGCTCCCGCCCGGGAGCTACTACGAGCCGAGCTCACGGAACCGTCAGACGCCCCGCTCCAGCACCGCATCGCCCTGGAAGTCCATGCAGCACGGTTCGCCGAGCAGCTGGAGGCGACCAGGACAATGGAGCTCAACCCCCTCAGCGGTCACACTCAGCGGCTCCTCTCCCTCACGGGGTATGGGGCAGGGGACTGGCTCCTAGCAATCCCCCTCTTCCCCTCCCTCAGGCTGGCACCCCCTCACTTCGCCATAGCCCTCGCCTTCCGCCTGGGCCTCCCCTTCCCCACACCACGAGTTTGCAACTGCGCCAAGAAGGTCCAGATCCCGGACCCACGGCTCCCCAACCACCTGTTCCGTTGTGGGACAGGGCACGGGCGCACCGATACCCACAACGCCCTCAGGGATGAATGCATCCGTATGGGCCAGGACGCGCAGCTCATCGTCTCGAAAGAGACGGCCCTCTACAACCCGGTCGATGGCAAAACCGCCGACCTAGCCGTCCGGGACCGGGACTCGGGAGCAGTCTGGATCTGCGACGTCACTGTTACAGACCCAGTCAGCTCCAGGGACCCCCTCGCCCGCAAGGGGCGCGGTTACATGGGAAGGGAGCAGGCGGACAAGAAGACCGACATGTACCGCCACAGGGCAGAATACGTAGGCTTCTTCCCGCTGGCCGTTGAGACATACGGCTGCCCCTGCGCGGAAGTGCCGGCCTTCCTCAAACTCCTGGCACACACGGCCGCCCGGCGCCTTTTCAATGCCGGCGCCTTTTCGGCGGCGAAACTACTTAGCCAGTTTCGCCAGCGCTGGTCCGTCACCCTCCAAAGAGGACAGGCACTGGCCTACCTGGGGAAAGTGAACGAGGCGTCACCGCTAGAGTGGCCCCCCTTGGGAGGGCCTGAAGCGGGCATGTCCCTCGGGGACTGCTTCGCCGTGATAGAACCTTAGAAAAGGGGGGGGGGGGGGGGGGGGGGTTGGTAGGGCCGGGTGCTGGCCTTTCCCCACCGGCGGCTCTAGCCTACGCCTGCTCCACTTGCCTAGCATGTACCCAGGATTCCCAGCAACAAAGGACCATTCGAGAAAAAGAAAGAAAGAAAGAAGGAGAAAAAAAAAACGCGTGCACATGTGTTCTCTCCATACGCAACAGCAAGCACAACCCGATGGAACATATCCAGCGTTCTGTCCCCGCACACACCCACTGTATGACCATCACACTCACATGTTCCCTGGACGTGTCTGACAGCACGATGGCGATGTGCCCCTCCACCTTGACTATCATGCCCGTCACTCCGTCGTTCTGCCCCGCCACCACCTTCACGTGGTCGCCGGTTTGAAAGAACTTGCGCAGCTGCGACTCTTTCACTGGCAGCAGATCCTGGAGTGGGAGGGAGAGTGTTGGGAGGGAGAGAAGAGATGGCGTGTATGAGGAGAGGTGACTTTTGAGTCGACTCAAAAGTCAGCTGCGACTCTTTGACTGGCAGCAGATCCTGGAGTGGGGGAGTGTTGGGAGGGAGAGAAGCGATGGAGGATGGCGTGTATGAGGAGAGGTGACTTTTGAGTCGACTCAAAAGTCAGCTGCGACTCTTTGACTGGCAGCAGATCCTGGAGTGGGGGAGTGTTGGGAGGGAGAGAGGCAATGGAGGACGGCGTGTACGAGGAGAGGTGACTTTTGAGTCGACTCTGAGGAGAGCAGCTGAGGCGCCTCCATCCCCCCAGCCACCCCATTCACGTGGTCGCCCGTCTGAAAGAACTTGCGCATCTGGGACTCCTTCACTGGCAGCAGATCCTGGCATGGGAGCAAAAGAATGGAGGTGCAAGGCATGCAAGGGAATGAAAGGCAGAGGATGCTTAGCGCACAGTCAGAGAGTACTTGCACAACTGTGACTCGTACGGCGGTTTTTGAGAATTCTCAAGAATCACCTACAACATGAGGATGATTAACGCACAGCAAGAAAGTACTTGCACAACCGCGACTCGTACTCATATATCGGGGGGAGAGAAGGGAAGGAAAGGAAGGGGTGACAAGAATCGTTTGAAAGAAGCCACAGAGAGCCATATGAGTGACTATTCAGACATAAAGGTTGAGAAGAAGTGCAGACGTACCAGTCAATACCATAGCGTGCAGTTCCCTTCTCACCTTCAGCTCCCCATGGTGTGGCCGAATGATAACCTCGTCCTCATCCACCTTCTCCACCCGTCCCTTGAGGTCGGTGCATTGCTAAACTGCCACCCAGGCATACCGCACACACCGTACTGCACTGCACCAAACCACTCTCATCTCACCTTCAGCTCCTCATGGTGCGGCCGAATGATAACCTCGTCCTCGTCCACCTTCTCCACCCGTCCCTTCAGCCCCTTCAAATCGCCCTCAACCACCTCCACTATATCCCCCTTCACCAGCCGCCCCCTCTGTCTATTCGCCTGCTCAGCCGACAACCCCAGCGGCCCCACCCCGCTCCCCAGCGCCCCTCCTCCCCCGTACTCCCCGCCTCGCTCCCCGTCCCCTTGGGCGCGCTGGAAGCGCTGGAGCTCGTCGAGGGTGGGGACGACGCCGCGGGTGTCGAGGGACTTGATGGAGACCACTTTGAGCAGGTACCCGTCCACGAACTGCATTCCCTCGATGGACTGGATGTGCTCGCCCGTCGTGCGGTGCCGCGTCACCATGGGGCGTAGACCGTAGTTCCTGTTTGGGCAGGGGTGCGACGAGAAGGAGAAGGGGAAAGGGAGGAGGTGGGGGGGGAGGAAGGGGGGGAGGTACAGAGAGAATTAGATGGGGATGACTACAAACGAGCTGCATGTGCAAGCGCTCGATGGACTGGATGAGCTCGGCCGTGGTGCGGTGGGGGGTGACCATGGGGCACAGGCCGTAGTTCCTGCTAGGGAGAGAAGGGATTGACTTTCTCTTGAGGCGCCTCAAAAGCCGTTTTTTGAGGCGCCTCAAAAGCCGTTTTTTGAGGCGCCTCAAAAGCCGTTTTTTGAGGCGCCTCAAAAGTCGTTTCTTGAGGCGCCTCAAAAGTCGTTTTTTGAGGCGCCTCAAAAGCCGTTTTTTGAGGCGCCTCAAAAGCCGTTTCTTGAGGCGCCTCAAAAGCCGTTTTTTGAGGCGCCTCAAAAGCCGTTTTTTGAGGCGCCTCAAAAGCCGTTTCTTGAGGCGCCTCAAAAGCCGTTTTTTGAGGCGCCTCAAAAGCCGTTTTTTGAGGTGCCTCAAAAGCCGTTTTTTGAGGCGCCTCAAAAGTTGTTCAGGAGAGAAGGGGGTGGGGTGGGGAGAAGATGGAAACAGACGAGGGACTCACTTGCCCCCCCCCTTGCCCCCCCCCTTGCCCTCACCCTTGCTCCCACCCTTGCCCCCACCCTTGCACTCACTTGGTGATTTTTGAGTCGACTCAAAAATAAGAAGGGGGTGGGGTGGGGAGAAGATGGAATCACTAACCTCATGCCCCTCCCCCCACCCACTCCACCTCATCCACACTGAAGAACCCAGGAGGCGGACTGGCATTGCGCTTACCCCTCCCCCTCTTCCTTTACTGTTGATCCACCAAAAACCCACCGGACGTGTGCACACCCTCCCCTCCTCCCCCCCACTCACTTGGCCTCATCCACACTGAAGAACCGTGGGGGCGGTCTGGCTTTGCGCTTCACCACGGGCTTGTTGTCCTGCAGCAACAACGGACACATTAACCGGGGAGCACACGGGAAGGGAGGGGGGGGGGGGGGGGGGGGGGGGGGGGTTGGAGGTAGAAGTTGGGAGATGTCTCCAAGTCAGGAGGTGAAAGGCAGGGGATTCAGGGAGGAGAGGAGAGGAGGCAAGAGCACACAGGAGAGTCCATGCGCTGACCCAGGGCCGGTGGTACCTCTAGTAGAAGAAAGCTCACCTGGCGCTGGGCAAGGGCTAGTGGAAGAGCGCACATGGAATGAGTGGAGATGATTCATACTGACTAACCTGGCGCTGGGCGAGGGCTAGTGGAAGAGCGCACATGGAATGAGTGGAGATGATTCATACTGACTAACCTGGCGCTGGGCGAGGGCTAGTGGAAGAGCGCACATGGAATGAGTGGAGATGATTCATACTGACTAACCTGGCGCTGGGCGAGGGCTAGTGGAAGAGCGCACATGGAATGAGTGGAGATGATTCATACTGACTAACCTGGCGCTGGGCGAGGGCTAGTGGAAGAGCGCACATGGAATGAGTGGAGATGATTCATACTGACTAACCTGGCGCTGGGCGAGGGCTAGTGGAAGAGCGCACATGGAATGAGTGGAGATGATTCATACTGACTAACCTGGCGCTGGGCGAGGGCTAGTGGAAGAGCGCACATGGAATGAGTGGAGATGATTCATACTGACTAACCTGGCGCTGGGCGAGGGCTCACCTGGCGCTGGGCGAGCGCCTGCAGGTCGATGCGGGAAATGAGCTCGATGGTGGCCCTCTGCTTCACTGCAGTGACTCCTGAGCCGAACTACAAGCAAACATATTTCTCGAGCCCAGCGGCAACAGCACTCTCAGTCTCAGTGTCTCACCTGGCGCTGGGCGAGCGCCTGGAGGTCGATGCGGGGAATGAGCTTGATGGTGGCCCTTTGCTTCACTACCGTGGCTCACCGAGGTGTTTTCTGAGTCGTCTTACAAGCGAACCACCTTCAAGCACCCAGCAGTAGCACTCTGAATGCCTTACCTGGCGCTGGGCGAGCGCCTGGAGCTGGAGGTCGATGCGGGGAATGAGCTTGATGGTGGCCCTCTGCTTCACTACCGTGGCTCACCGAGGTGGTTTCTGAGTCGTCTACCACCTTCAAGCACCCAGCAGTAGCACTCTGAATGCCTCACCTGGCGCTGGGCGAGCGCCTGGAGGTCGATGCGGGGAATGAGCTTGATGGTGGCCCTCTGCTTCACTGTGTCCACGTCAGTCACCTGCACGTGTGACGTGGCATGGGGTGGCATGGGGTGGGATGGGGGGTGGTATGAGTGGGCATGGGCATGTCGTAGTGCGGGGTGGTATGGGCACGCACGGTGACATGAAATGGCTTGGTGCAGGGTGAGGTGGCTCAGGGAAGCATTTTGTGTGTGTGTGTGTGTGTGTGTGTGTGTGTGTGTGTGTGTGTGTGTGTGTGTGTGTGTGTGTGTGTGTTGACACGCATTATATGGTGATGGTGCTGGCACGGGCCAGCACAGTGTGCATCTTTTGCATGTGAGCATGCATCATGGAATGGAACCCTCGTTTTGATGGAATGCATCTTCACAGTGTGCTCACACTATCACGCGATCTTGGCATGTGAGCATGCATCATGGAATGGAACCCTCGTTTTGATGGAATGCATCTTCACAGTGTGCTCACACTATCACGCGATCTTGGCATGTGAGCATGCATCATGGAATGGAACCCTCACACCCACCCACTCACCCTCCCCCCCCCCCCCTCACACACACACACAGACCGAAGCACACAACAGAGCGAGGTTCCTCGTGTACAGCTCGATTTTGACACGCACCCAGCTGTTCTCCTCCAGTCTCCAGATCCACCAACCTTTGCTCCACTGTTCATCCCAACACACTCACACTCACCCACTCCCTCCCTCCCTCCCCCCAAAGACACTCTCTCTCCCCACCCACACTATTTCGCTCTGCCTATCGTACCAGTGCGAGGTCGCCCTTGTAGAGCCCGATCTTGACGCGCACCCAGCTGTTCTCCTCCAGGTCCACCGACTTCTGCTCCACCGTTAATCCAAACACCCTCACACTCACCCACACTCCCCTCTCCCCCCGTACACACGCACAGACTGGAGCACTCACCAGCGCAAGGTCGCCCTTGTAGAGCCCGATCTTGACGCGCACCCAGCTGTTCTCCTCCAGGTCCACCGACTTCTGCTCCACCGTCAACACCCCCGCCATCTCCTTGATAGGTACCAGCGCCGGCTTCCACGAGTACAGCAGGCGCAGCCCCGCACACGCCTAGTAGAGGGAGGGGGGAAGGGTGAGGGTTGGAAAGGCCTCTCCAGGTCCACCGTCTTCTGCTCCACTCTGAGCACCAGCGCCGAGTGTGAGACGGCCATCTCCTTGATGGGCACCAGCGCCGGCCTCCACGAGTACAGCAGGCGCAGCCCCGCACACGCCTCGTCGAGATTGGGGGAAAAAGAGGGCGAGCGGGGGCAGGAGGGGATGTGGTGTGGAAGAGAGGGTGTGAGGGGGGGTGGGGGGTGGGCTTGAGGGTGGGAACAGCCATCTCCTTACCTGGCGAGCACCCTGTAAGCCACAAACTACTTCCAACGACTGCTTCCACACATACAACAAACTGCGCCCTATATATGCTTCAAATGAGTGGAGTCATTTTTGAGAATTCTAAAAAATAATGAGCAGCAACGACTGCTTCCACGCATACAACAAATTGCGCCCTACATATGCTTCGAATGATAAAGAAAGCTGAAGAACAGCACTGAGATGACTCAGCTCCACACGTACGCCTCCTTGTGCGCCTCCACCACGTACACGCACGCACCCGTCGAAGCTGTCCAGCGCAATGGCCTGAGCGGCGTATCAACAGCTGAACCGAATTAATTTCTGAGGCGCCTCAAACCGAAAATAGGCTCCTTTTGAGGCGCCTCAAACCGAAAATAGGCTCCTTTTGAGGCGCCTCAAACCGAAAATAGACTCCTGAGCCGCGTATCAACAGCTGAACCGAATTCAGTCTCCCTCTCTCAACACCCCTCCTTCAAGCACGCACCTCCTTCAAGCACGCACCTCCTTCAAGCACGCACCTCCTTCAAGCACGCACCTCCTTCAAGCACGCACCTCCTTGACGTACGCCTCCTTGTGCGCCTCCACGTACACGCACCCCTTGAGGTTGTCCAGCGCTATGGCTGACTTGATCTGCAGCGCCCCGCCCTGCCCCTCCAGATTCACGCACTTCTGCATCAGCGACACCACCGCCTCGCGCTCGTGGCCCAGCTGCAAGGCGGGGGAAGGGGGCGTGAGGGGTGGGGGGGGCCCGGGGGGGGGCGGGGGGAGGGAGAAGGAATGAGGCACAGGATAGATATGGGAACCTCCAGGCAGGATGGGTACAGATGGGATGATGGTTTCACTAGCACGGGACAAGCAAGGGAGCCTCCACGTTGACGCACTTCTGCATGGGCCTCACTCACCACCGCCTTGCCGCCAGCTCGGCTTGGGCACGCAGAGCGTATTTTTCAGCCGCCTCGAAAATAGACTCACCACTGCCTTGTGCCCAGCTCGGGCACCTAGAGTGCAAAGCACTACAGCACAGCCCGGAAGAGCATACCATACCTGGCATTTGACCATCCATCCAGAGTTTTGCATCCTGCGCTGAGGACAGCGGCACCAGCTGCTGAGCCTCGTTTAGTGCTGCACCCTACCTTCAATTCACACAACACTACTTCACACCACGACACTACACTACACTGCACTCCACCACACCCCAGCACCGTACCGCACCGCATACCTGGCATTTGACCATCCACAGTTTCGGATCCCGGACGGAGGGCAGCAGCGCCTGCTGCTCGACCTCGGTGGCCTCGCCCTCGCCCAGGTCGGGCACCTCGTTGCGCGCGTACCGCTCCTCCAGGAACCGCTGGTAGTCCTCCTCGTTCACCTCCTCCTCCTCCTCGTTGCGCCGCAGCAGCGTGCGGTGGTGCGCCGACGGCCGCTCGTTGCCTAACTCCTCGCCTAGGTCCGCGTCCCGGTCAATGAAACCTAAAGGTGGGTAAAGATTGCCAAGGAGGAGAGGAAAGAGCACGGTTGGTAAGGCAGCGGCGTGCGGTGGTGCGCCGAAAGCCGCTCATACGGCTCAAAAAGCCTGCTGACGAATAGTGTACGGGATTAGATGAGATGGACGAGGCATCGAAAAACCCGCCGATCATTAGGGGCTTTCTAATGATTGCGAACGCCAGTTCAGGGGCAGTTGCGTTCAGTTGCGTTCATTGCTTTAAAGTCTACTCCACCTACCGCCTCCTTCCTGTAAGCGCCGTCGAAGCCTCCACGCGCAACCCTAATTCCTCACTTAACGACTTCAATGCCAGTTGCGGCATAAGACGCTTCATAAGAAGCATTCAACCGTACCGTCTTCCTCTTCATCCTCCTCCTCCTCGTCATCACTCGCCGCTGCCGCTTCGTCCTCAATAAACATCCACCGGCCGGTCGTCGACCCTTCCTCCTCCAAGGCTCCTCAAAACATGCGACGTTGTTCCCTAGGCGGCTCAGAAATCAACGTACCATCTTCCTCTTCCTCTTCCTCCTCCTCGTCATCGCTCGCCACCGCCGCTTCCTCCTCAATGAACATCGAACGGCCGGTGGTCGACCCCTTTTTCTTGCGCGGGGCCTCGTCCTCCTCGTCCTCGTCCTCGTCCTCCTCCGCCGCGTCGTCGATGAACTGCGATCCGCGCCCCCGCTTCTTCCCCGCGCGCTCCTCGTACTCCTCGTCCTCCTCCTCCTCCTCCTCCTCCTCGTACTCCTCGTCGCCCTCCTCCACCTCGTCGTCGTAATCGTCACCGCGCGCCATTCCTGTTCTTTTCTAGAAAACGCACGCGGAAACTGGAGACGATTCGGCCTAAGCTGTAGGGGAGGAGAGGAATCGGCAGACGATGCGGCCTAAGCGATTGCTGTCAAGACCTAAGTGAAGAGGTTTGAGAATTCTAAAAAACTCGAGTAATGACTCGGGTACCTCTGTTGAACTGAATATGGCAGCAGTGCTACGCCTGCAGGCAAAAGCGTGACGGGCGAGAAATACGTAGGAGACAGTTCCCTAAGCGGAACCAAGCTTTCTCCTAGCAAACGGAGAGAGAAATAACCGAGTGTCGAGGACGACTAGGGTAGGGGGAGCAGCCAGCACTTCTACGCGATGGATTCTCCTCTGCACGGTGAGCTGGAAAATGAACGGAGAAGAATGAAAAGAAGTGAGGCGGCGACCTTTTTATCCTCTTGGCGGGAGGCCGAAAAAATCGAGGGTGGCAGGCAGGGTCAGTGTTGGCATAGCGGGTAAGCAGAGACGATTCGTTACAGTGCAAATCTCCAGAAGGTGAAGATCAGATATATTTCCAATCAACCATGAGCTCTCTTCTACACTCTCCTAAGCAACATAGATCAATGTCCTCACAAATCTCGCTTTGCATCCGTAAGTCTCCACAATCCAGCTGTCACGAATCTATCTAACTTGTTTCCCTTCCCTGCCATCCAGTTATTGTGAATTGTCACCACAGCATCCCAGTCGGGAAGTACCCGTCGCCTACCAGGAGGTAATGCTGAAGAATCCTGAAAATAGAGCCACCCCGGAGGAAAGAGAGTTTGTGGAAGAACACCTATTAGCGGAGCTGGGTTGACTTTTAAGAGCTCGTGAATCGCCATGCCCAGATAAAGCTGATCATTCTCCCTCCCTGTGACCTTAGGCGCCCGGTATATCTTCATTATAAGCAACTCCAGGACAAGCCTTCCTCCGGGTGTGTTTCGGAAGAGGACAAAGCCACCGCAGAGCTTAGCATGGTCAAGCTTTTCAGGCCGGGGATCCATGAGGTAGGTGGCAGTTGCGTAGAAATTGTATGTGTCCGGGAATTCCCGCACTCCCACGACATCATACTCTACAGGAGCTGCCCCAGAAGTAGGCGAAGCTTGTGATTCAAAGTCGGAAAAAGATATCGCCCGCTTCTTGTTGCTATACACTCCAAGAGCCGTGCTTAAAGCCAGGCGGGAAGCCATGGATCGTCTTGAGAGCTCCGAGGGACTTGGCTTCGCAAAGAGGTAAGGAAAGGGGTCCTTGACCCAGATAAAGTCCGAGTCGCAGATTAGGACGTTAAAGCCCATGTTGAGGAGCGTGCGGATGTAGGCCACCCTTCGATACATGAGCCTCTTAAAGCCCAGAGTGAGGAAAGAAAAGGCGTCCTTGCTGCTGCTGCTGCTGCTGCTGCTGCTGCCCTCCCCACTTCCATCCCTCCCACCTCTGCCACTACTGCTGCTCGTGCTGCCACTGAGAGTGCTACCGTTTTCCTCCACCAGTCCTGCGCCCTTCAGCTCGTCCTCCCTCGCCTGCTCTATCTCTGGCACGTGCCACCGCACCACCTGATGTGGGAATATGTTGGGGGGGAAATGATTGGGAAAGAAAGGAGAAAAAGAAACTGGTAGGGAGAAAATCGGTTAAGGGAAAATGGTTGGGAGGAACAATAACTTGCAGAGCGGAGCCCCCTAAGAACCTTCCCAAGGTTCCCTATAAGAGACTCACCTGTCTTGGAAATCGGTGTCTCAGAAGATCGAAGCTCTCCCTATCCTCAGCAAACACAAGAAATTGACGCCCGTACCCCAGCTCGCCCGCATACACCGCCCAATTGAGCAGAAAATCCGCGTAGCCTTGTATGGGGCGAGGTGGATGGGGGGAAGGTGGGAGGAGGAGGGAGGGGGGGGGTTAGAGAAAGTGAGGAGAGCTTAGGAGCCGACGCCCGTACCCCAGCTCGCCTGCATACAGTGCCCAGTTGAGCAGAAAATTCCCACAACCTGCATGGGGTGAGGAGAGGAGAGGAGAGGGATGGGCGTGGGAGGAGACGTGGGGCAAGCTGCACTGCATAGGAGAGAAGGTGGGCGAACCAGGGGTCGTGAGTTCTGAGTTGACTCAGGAGTAATTCTGAGCCGACTCAATAGTCGTTCTGAGTCGTCTCAAAAGTCGTTCTGAGTCGTCTCAAAAGTCGTTCTGAGTCGACTCAATAGTCGTTCTGAGTTGTCTCAAAAGTTGTCCTGAGTTGACTCAATAGTCGTTCTGAGTTGTCTCAAAAGTCGTCCTGAGTCGACTCAATAGTCGTTCTGAGTTGTCTCAAAAGTCGTCCTGAGTCGACTCAATATTCGTTCTGGGTTGTCTCAAAAGTCGTCCTGAGTCGACTCAATAGTCGTTCTGAGTTGTCTCAAAAGTCGTCCTGAGTCGACTCAATAGTCGTTCTGAGTTGTCTCAAAAGTCGTCCTGAGTCGACTCTATAGTCGTTCTAAGTTGTCTCAAAAGTCGTCCTGAGTCGACTCAATAGTCGTCTCAAAAGTCGTTCTGAGTCTACTCAGAAGTCATAGGAGACAGCGACCCGAGGGATAGACATGCGAGGAGCCGGGGGGCAAGCTGCACTGTGCGGGAGAGATGGGCTGCACTTTTTGAAGTTTCTCAAAAACACCCTGAGAGACGGTGAGGGGAGCCATGGGACGTCAGGAGAGGGGAGAAAAGATGCACGGGAATTGTGCAATTGCAATCTAGAAGAGTCGAATTTCTCTGGACTGTATGATTAACCATGGATATTTTATACCCAATCCAACAAGACTCACCATAGCTGCACACGAGAATGACAACAGTGCCGTTAATCGAGGCTTCCTGAGCCAGCTGCCCGAGTGTACTGGCTGACACATACCCCTCTGAATCCCACTCTGGCTCCCTGGACAACTGCTCTCGCTGCCCGTTTGAACCTGCTTCTGTTACAGAACCTCCTTCCTCGGGCTGCCCAGGAATGGAAAGAAAGGGGTCCCTTGGCTTTGCAAGGTCGCCAATGTTGAAATTTATTGTCTCATTGCTAGCTACAGCTTCGTCACTATGCTCTGAACGGGACTCGCTATAACGAGGTAGAAACGCAACCGTCTCCTCCAGATTTCTGACTTCTTCTGGCTCTAGTCGATTCGCAAGCGGGAGAAGCTTCCGGGAATCCACGGATCGTAGCCAGTTGGAAGCAGAATCGGCACCACCTGCACCATCAGCATTAACGGCAGATGATGGCACGGAGATTAGGCGGCTAGAGAGAGGAGACTTGGAGAAAGGCGACGCGAGGAGGCGGAAATGGCGATTAAAGAGCGCCAGGACCGTGAACAGGAGAACGGAAGGCAGCACGAGCGTCCTCGCACACGAGAGTGAGCAGAACGCGGACGCACGCAAACGCGGCTGCGACATGGATCGACCCATCTCGAGACGAGTTTACAACATGACGCGAGTTGACTAGTGCAAGGAGTCGTTCAGGTTCAGAAACGACGTAATCTACAAAAGAGAGTCATTCTACAATAGACGCGACCCAGGAGTACTCTGGTGTTCCAACTGTGCTCGGTGCGTGCAGCAATTCCAAGGGTACCCCAGAGTAGGATGAAATCTGCGTTATGAGGCGGCAAAAAGCCAACTGGAGAGCGGAGTCTTTCTCAAAACGCTAACGCATGATGTTCTTTGTTATGAATAATAACTTAGAGTGCGCTGAATAATAATGACCACTACAAGAATGGGAGCCTAGCACTATATAGCGAGAGCTCTAGCTAGGCGACGAGCCCGAAGGGCTAGGTTGGGTACAGGCGCGGTCAAAAGGGCCAGAGGCGGCGCGAGCCAGCCTCGGGGTTGCATCGGAATTGGACCGAGTCTCGTCTTCCAAGAGTTCGGGTGTAAGTGATTGCAGTACAACCCGGTAAGGAATAAAATTCCTCACATTCTTCTTAGCACACCGCCCAAATGAGTTGGACAAAACACCCGAGTTGTATATTATTCCACGGAATAAAAACCTTACGATTTCAGATAAAGATCACTTCTAATCTCGGGCAAGGGTGGCTGTCCAAAAACTTGGCAAACTGCGCGGAGGTCTGGAACCACGCACTCCCAAACATGGCTTCCTTCTGGTTGGACCCCGCCGGATACACGTGGAAAATCCTCAATGCCTTGATCCGCTTCTCCGACGCCAAAACGGCTGGTCTCTTGCCGACCCAAACAGGCTTGTAGCTCTTCTTCTTGAAGGTTCGGCGAATGGCTCGGCGGAGGCCCGGGAGGGTAAGAGAATCTTTCGTGAGGAAGACGGAGGTAAATTGGTACGTGCCTCTCTCTCGCACATAGAGGTGGTATGTGAGCTGCTTCTTGCCGGACTCTGAAACGCTCTCGCACCTAAGAGCGTAAAAGCAATGAATGAAGGAGGTCGGGTGCAGGGACAGCAGGGATGAAAGGTAAAGGGGAATGAGAAGCGAGGAAGGAAAGGTGGTATGTGAGCTGCTTTTTGCCCGACTCTGAAACACTCTCGCACCTGTTACATAGGGGCATGCGGAACAACGTAGGATGGGGGGATGGCAGAATGGACGGGTTGAGGGGAATGGGAGGCGGGAAAGAAAAATATGTGAAGGGGAGCGGGGGAGGGGGGGAGGGGGGGGAAGAGGGTAGCTTGGGAGGATTGGACACGGAAGGGGAGGGGTTGGGAATGGGAAAAAGCAAGTCCACACCTGCATGGCCTTGGCTTGCTGGAGGCAGCAATCTCATGGGTGCGGATGCGATCAGCAAGCAGCACACAGAGACGGCAGGAGGAGAGCAGAGTGCGCAGATGGAGCGTGGGGAATGAGACACAAGGGGAAAGGGAGCATGGATGGGGCCTTACCTGCACGGCCTTGGCTTGCTGGAGGCAGCAATCTCGTGGGTGCGGATGCAGTCGCAAGCAGCACACAGAGGTGGGAGGGGGAAGCCTCGGCGTGCAAATGGAGCAAAGGGGAATGAAATTCCAGGAAGGCGGGGGGAGGGAGGGAGATGACTCACCTGCACGGCCTTGGCCTGCTGGAGACAGCAATCTCGTGGGTGCGGATGCGGTCAGCAAGCAGCACACAGAGGCGGCAGGAGGAGTGCACAGCCGAGAGATCGACGTTGGTGATGAACTGATCCGACGGTCCGGATCGCTTCCACTCGAGCATCTTGTTGTAAGCCTCGTCGTCGGAAGCGAGAGCCTGCATCTGCTGCGCCACCCGGGGTATGTCCGCCTCAGTCTGGAGAGGAAACAGGGAGGGGGAGGAAGCAGGAAAGGCATGCAACGAGGTCAACAAGTGAGGACGAGACTCGTCAGCAGTGATGGCCTGCATCTGCTGCGCCACCCGGGGTATGTCCGCCTCAGTCTGTGCCGGGATGCGGGGGAAAGGAGGGGATTTGGGGGTTAAGGTAGCAGAGAAAGCATATTGAGTGGTAGCGAGTTGGTGAAAACAACTGCCATCAGCAGCAGTGGCCCGCATCTGCGACGCCAACCTGGGGACATCTGCCTCAGTCTCGACAGAAGGAAAGGCAGGAGGACAAGGGTTATAGGGTGGGATGGTGGGAGGGTAGAGTAGAGGTTAGGAGGTAGAGTGTGCAGATGAAAGTTTAGCATCTGCTGGGAGATCACCGCTTAGTGGGTTTAGCCGTACGTGGCAGCGGGTCCATCTGTAGTCTGTAGAACACTTTGTTTGTAAAGAGAAGTCTGGTTCAGAGAAATCTGGTTCAGAGAAATCTGGTTCAGAGAGGGAAGAAACTCTTTGAGAGTTGTAGGGTAGGTTTGATGGTTACTAGCTTTTGTAGGTGGCTGCCTTCGCGTGACAATATCCGTATGTCATTTTTTAGTCGACTATAAAATCACCGTGGGACAGTAGATGTTATAGTCGACTAAAAAATGGTAGATGTTAGGTGTTTTTGAGAATTCTCAAAAACACCCTGCAGTAGATGTTAGGGGGTAGAGTGTGCCGACGAGGGATGGATGGATTAGCATCTGCTGGGCCACCCAGCGAACGTCCGCCTCAGTCTAGAGAGAAGAGAGAGCAGGAAGAAGGAGAGTTGCAGGGTGGAAAGGTGGGAGTGTAGAGGTATGTAGAGGTTTGAAGAGGTACGTGGAGTATGTAGAGGGATGTAGGGGTACGAAGAGGTAAAATTTGGTGCTAGGAACAATGTACAAAATGCCACACTCCTAACGGTGCTAGAAGTATGCATGGACGGTGGACGGTGGACGGTGGATGGTGGACAGTGGACGGTGGACGGCGTACACCGGTGGGCGGTGGGCGGTGGGCGGTGGACAGTGGACGGTGGACGGTGGATGGTGTCCACTGGTGGACGGTGGAGCAGTCGCTAGCAGCCAGGAGAGAGCAGCTGAGCTGAACTAGCAGCAGCAGTCGCTCACTGCAGTCGCTCACTGGAATGTGAGTGTAGGGATACTGGCTGCACCAATACCAACACATAACTCAGACACACAGGGTGCTTCTCACCGGTATATGCAGGTAGGAGTTGTTGTCCGGCACGAAATCAGCGATGTTAGGCGGGCCGACGACCACCGGCACAGAGCCGGCCACGAGGGACTGCCAGAACTTCTCAGTGATGTAATCGGGCTCACAGGAGTTCTCAAAGGCCAAAGAGAACTTGTAGCGCTGGATCACAGCAAGCTGGTGGTACGCAGTGCACATGTATGTGTATGACAGAGGGGAACAGAGGGGCAAAAAACAAGTGAGTTGGGGCAGGAAACCACCTGGCCCCGCCACGAGGGACTGCCAGAACATCTCAGTGATGTAGTCGGGCTCGCAGGAGTTCTTTCTCTCTAAGGCGAGGGAGAACTTGTGGCACAGGGTCACGGATAGCTGGTGGTGCGGATGGGGGACAGGTGGGGGGGGGGAGGGAGGGAAGAGAGGGAAGAGAATACAAGTGGATCAGGACACCAGTAGGAGTTCTTAGAGGCGAGGAGGACTTGTAGCACAGGGTCACGGATAGCCGGTGGTGTGGATGGGGGAGAGAGTGGGGGGGGGAGAGAGGAAGAGAGGGGGGGGAGAGAGGATGAGAGCGCACGTGTTCTGAAACACACCAGCCGGCCACGAGGGACTGCCAGAACTTCTCAGTGATGTAGTCGGGCTCATAGGGGTTCTCAAACGTCAAAGAGAACTTGTAGCGCTGGATCACAGCAAGCTGGTGATACGTGAATGGGAAAGAGAAAGAAAACAAGTGCATTGAGAAAGAGATGCCGCCGATTTGATTTTGTGGGTCATCTTTGAGCCACCTTTGACGCAAAGGCCACCTGCCAGCCACCACTGACTGGTCCTGGCCACGCGTTGAAATCCCACACCTCATCGCATGTTGAAATCCTAAACCTCATCACATTTTCCAGCCCACATCTTTTAGGCGCCTAGAAAGTCAACTGGTCACATGTTGAAATCCCACAGCTGATCGCATTTTCAAGCCCACATTTGCCTGACTGACCGCACACACAGCCATGCGTGAGGACCTCAAAAATAGACTCCTCACGCATTTGCCTGACTGACCGCACACACAGCCACCTCTCCACAACCGCACCTCGCCGTGCTCGTATGGGCGATTGTTGAGGCAGCGACCATAAGAGTGCACTGCTTTTGAGTCGACTCAAGAGTCACCTCGAGCCCACATTTGCCTGACTGACTGACCGTGCACACACACAAAAGCCCACCCAAAAGCCCACCCACCTCACCCCAACCGCACCTTGTCGTGCTCGTATGGCCGGTTGTTAAGGCAGCGACCACAGGAGTCCGCTTTTGAGTCGACCCAAAAGCCCACCCACCTCACCCCAACCGCACGTTGTCGTGCTCGTACGGGTGGTTGTTGCGGCAGCGGCCATACGAGTACCCTGCTTTTGAGTCGACTCAAGAGTCACCTCGAGCCCACATTTGCCTGACTGACTGTGAGCCCACCCACCTCACCCCAACCGCACCTTGTCGTGCTCGTACGGGCGGTTGTTGAGGCAGCGCCCATAGGAGTGCACGGTGAAGAACTTCTGCAGCTCCTCCACCGCCTGGGAGGTGGAAGAGGGGAGAGGAGACAGGAGACAGGAGACAGAAGGAGCAGGTAAGGGAGAGATTGGGTGAGGGAGGGAGTGGGTGAGGGAGCACAAGAGCAGGTGATTCCGGCAGCAGCGAGTCGACCGTAGGAGTGCACCGTGAAAAACTTCTGCAGCTCCTCCACCGCCTGGGGTTTTGTGGGAGAAGGAGCGGTGGAGGGCGGTAAGATGAGTTATGGGCCACAAAAGGAGGAGAGCAGAGGAAAGAACTGATGCAGTTCCTCCACCGCCTGGGAAGGAAGGCATGTGCATGGGGGGCATGTGCATGGGGCATGTGCATGTGGGGCATGTGCATGTGTGTGGGGCATGTGCATGTGTGTGGGGCATGTGCATGTGTGTGGGGCATGTGCATGTGGGGCATGTGCATGTGGGGCATGTGCATGTGGGGCATGTGCATGTGGGGCATGTGCATGTGGGGCATGTGCATGGGGGGCATGTGCATGGGGCATGTGCATGTGGGGCACGTGCATGTGGGGCGTCTATATTTAAGGCGCCTCACAAATAGGCTCTCACCTTGAGCCTGAAGTTGTTGGCGGCGCAGTTGCTGATAAACGCAGCAGCGATGGCATCGGCAGTCTTGGGCACGGGAGGCCGCATGATGTCATATTCCTCCCACGACCCGTACTGCACGGGCACGTCTGAGTCGTAGTGCACTGTCATCACCACCTGTTGTTGTTACGGGATTTGAACAGACAGGCGAGGCGAGGCGAGGCGAGGCGAGGAGAGGAGAGGCGAGGAGAGGAGAGGCGAGGAGAGGAGAGGCGAGGAGAGGAGAGGCGAGGAGAGGAGAGGATGAAAGACATGTTCTGAGCACTGGATTGTGCATGTTCTGAGCACTGGATTGCGCATGCTCTGAGCACTGGATTGCGCATGCTCTGAGAATGACGCTTCTGAGGAGAATGACGATTGCGCATGCTCTGAGTCAGTGACGGTGCACTATGTTGCGCATGCTCTGAGAATGACGCTTTGAGTCATAGTGCACCGTCACCACCGCCTGTTGAGGGCAGTGGGTGAGCAAGGAGCGTGGGACGGGGGTCAAGCGGCCGCATGATGCCACACACCTCCCATGATCCGCATTACACGGGCACGTCTGAGTCGTAGTGCACCGTCACCACCACCTGTTGAGGGCAGTGGGTGAGCAAGGAGCGTGGGAGGGGGGTCGAGAGGCTGCATGCTGTCGTACTCCTCCCTGTGACTTCCCGGCAATAGCAGGGTCGTTGATGGGGTAGTAGGATGGGGCCTCCAAGGACCGCAGCACCATCTTGCCTCCCACACCCCTACATGCATGCATGCCCCACATACCATATGCTATGCAGTGCATGTCAATTCCTATCACTCACACTGTGCGACTTCCTGGCAATAGCAGGGTCGTTGATGGGGTAGTAGGACCGCGCCTCCATGGAGCGCAGCACCATCTTGCCTAGCAAGCAACCCCACATGCACACACCTTGCACCCGCACTCACGCTATGTGACTTCCTGGCAATAGCAGGGTCGTTGATGGGGTAGTAGGACCGCGCCTCCATGGAGCGCAGCACCATCTTGCCGGGCACTGCATATGTCAGGCTGCCGTCCACGTCATCGCCCTCGCCCACAAACTCACACGGCACGTCGCAGTCCCAACGCTTGACCTGTGCAGGAGGAAGGAGAGAGTTTGGGGGGGTGGGGGGAGGTGGGGAGGGGGGGGCAATGGGATGGGGAGGATAGGGGGAGCCAAGCACAGCGCATGTGAGGCTGGCGTCCGCGTCATCCTCCTCGCGCAGGAACTCACACGGCACATCGCAGTCCCACCGCTTGACCTGTGCAGGAAAAAAGGGAGGATTTGGTTGGGGAAAAGGGCCAGTGCCTTGGCGCCTTGCCCCGCACTGAGTCAGAGGCTGCCGTCCACGTCATCCCCCTCGCCCACGAACTCGCACGTCACGTCACAGTCCCACCCACAGCTTGACCTGTGCAAGGGGGGGGAAGTCTGCGTGTGTGTGAGAACACGCAGACACACACACTGCATAACCGAGCGCGCGCACCCACCTCGTTGGCCGCCACTCTGACTGGCTGCCTCTCGAAATCCCTCCCAACAGCCACTGCGTCTTGTTCCTCCAGCCACGCACGGCACGACATGCCCTCTGCCGGCCCCCTCAACGGCTCCCACCTCCTCCCTCCCTCTCCCTCTCCCCCCACCCCCACCCCCGCGTCACTCGCTCCCTCCCCGGCCCCCGCTTCCCCCGTTTCTGCATCTCCCCCGCCACTTCCCCCCGAAACTCCCCCACGTAACTGCGCCAGGGCGCCGCTCACTTGCCCTTGCCCCTCCGCCTGGCGCTGCCCCGCGCTGGTGACACCCGCCTCCCCAGAACCATCTCGCCCCCCCGCTTCCGGCTCCCCCGCGTCTGTTTCCGCTCCCGCCCGCGCGCCCGCCTCCGCTTCCGCTGCGCGCTCGCTTGCTTCTCGCCTGGACCCCACCTCCTCCTCGTCTTTACTGTCCATCTCACTCTCCTCCCCCAACTCGCCCGCTCCTTGCTCCCCGCTCCCCTCCCCTTCCGACCCCCCCGCTAGAGTCACCACTGCATTGTCACCTCGCGGCAACTCCACCGACTGCTTCTCGTCCCCGTTAGAAGCAGTTTCGGTACCCGGAGTCACTGTAGTACCATCGGGCTGAGTGCTTATCGCCGCGGCTTGATTTCCTGCACCAACAGAATCGGCAGAATCGGCAGTCGTTGCAATACCTAAACTCGAGTCCTTCCCTAATTGCTCCTGCGACGATTTAGGGTGCTCTTGTCCTCCCTCAATCCCCGGAAACTTGTCGCTATCCGCAGCCTCAGCAGCGCGGGTGTTCCCGCCATCCCCGTTATTGCCTCGTCCCTCTTCCAGGATAAGCCGGCGCTGCTGCGACACCTTAAGCTTCACAATGTACAGCGCTTGCACCAGGATCACGACGATCAAGAAACGGATTAAGAACATCGTCCCGCGATTCGACGACTGCCGTGCCTGGCGACCCGGCCCCGCTCCGCCGCCGTCTTGGCGTTTCTTAGCCCCGCTCGGACCGCCACCGCCCCAGGCGCTCCATCCGGAGTTAAACGCGCTCATGACTTAGAATGTGTTCCCTGAAGATTGGAAGAAGCGACTAGGAGGTCACAAACGGCTGCGCTGGCAGAAGCTCAGCCGACGCTGAACGAAAGAGCTGCGTATCCGGCTTCGTTGCTGGTTCTTTGAGAGGAGGATCGTCCAGCAGGCAGAATAGAGTGGTCAATGACCAGATGGAGGTTCTACTGGGAAACGAGACTAGCCGCATTGAAAGCCTACTGGACTGACCACGCAATCTCCGGAGTCCAGGCTTCTTATCAGCTTGAGATCAGCTACTGCACGAACTAGTCTGTGCTGTGCGAGTCTGAAGCAGCATTGCCTTGATGTTCTCCCGTTGCATCAGGAAAACACTCAGCGTGCATCTACGGAGGAAGAACGAACTGTACCTGCTGTAAGGTGGCTTCATGCTTAGAGCGCTTATAATAGAAATTTGTGAACAGAAATTGTGCATACTCCTGCAGTATTTGTTGAATTTGTAGCTAATTATGAGAGAGTATCATTATATATCAATAATAATTCTGGGTTAAGGATAGGTTGTTATCAAAAATATATATGGTTAAAGTCGCTGTTATGGTTTTGAAGACTTTTCGCACCAGAACACTTGAGTCTTTCCTCCTCACGTCCAGTGCGCCACATGAGGCATGCTATGGAAGATGGAAAATACAACGGAAGCACGAACTACAGTGATGCTGTCATGGGACGCCGTGGCTTGCGCTCAGCTGATTGGAGTTGAACTACAGTTCTGTAGCGACTCGCGACTCGGTCACAAGAACCTGCATTCAACCTACGGAATTGAGGTGTGCAACATCGCTTGCTTTGTTGCTGCGGCGAGAGACCAGTGCGCTTGACTCCAACCCGCAAAATGCAGCACCAGACAACAATCGCACGTCTCAGGAGCAATGCTTTCCAGACCAGAAACGTTAGACCACATACTCTTTCACAAATAGGGGGAGAGCCTCAGAGCCAACTCTACCGTACCATCCAGCATCATTGTCCTTCGCCGCGCAGTAGTGTAGGTCTTGGCACTGGATAAACTTGACGCACGTCAAGCACTGCGACTAGAGGAGTAGGTCAGAATCAGGCAGTCAGGAGGCGTTGGCAAGAACCACAGAGCTCCGAGGAACGATGAAGAGGAGCTCTGCCTTGGATCACAACTCCAGCGCATTTGCTCTCGCTATAGCGTTATGCGCAATAAATATATTCCTCCTCGCAGCTCTCGCCGTTATCCTCGCGCAACCGGGCCTCTCTCCTCTGTCGTTCCAAAAATCAGCCGAACCAAGGCTTGACAATACCGCCGAGGCTGACGTTGAGGCTCGGCAGGTCCCGCAGCTAAGCAATAGCTTCGGAAACGGCGAGATCGAAGTGCAAGTGGAGGTCGAGCAGACCCTTGATGTTAAGGATGTGCATCATAATGAGGCACCTTACAACGAGGACGGGAGCGCATCCCTTGAGGCCAAGCAGGAGATTGAGTGGGACGACGAGGGTTACGTTTCCCGTGAATCGTTACAAGCACTGGCGAGCGACGTGGCTGTTAACGGGACGGTCGTTGTACTCGTTACAAACATCGGCTACGCGGATTTTCTGCTCAACTGGGCGGTGTATGCGGGCGAGCTGGGGTACGGTCGTAATTTTCTTGTGTTCGCTGAGGACATGGAGAGCTTCGACCTGCTGAGGGAGAGGTTCCCCCGACAGGTGTTGCGCTGGCACGTTCCCGAGATCGAGCAGGCGGGGGAGGCGGAACTGAGAGCCGCGGGGATAGGGGAGGGGGAAGGGGAGGGCGCAAAGCAGGGGGAGGCGGAACGAAAGGCCGGGGGAACAGCGGAGGGCCAAGTGCAACGAGGCTCAAGGCGAAGGCGATTGCTGTCGGATAGGGGGAGTGGCGGCAGTGTGAGCAGCGGCGAAGACAACAGCAGCAGCAGTACCAGTGGCAGCAGCGGCAGCAGCGACAACAGTAGCAGCAGCAGCAGCAGCAGCAGCAGCGGCGGCGGCAGCGGCGGCGGCGGTGGCGGTGGCAGCGACAACAGTGCCAGAAGCAGCAGCGGTGGCAGCGGAAGCAGTAGTCTCGCCTATGCCACCGCTGGCTTTAAACGCATGATGTACCGCCGGGTCGCCTATATCCGCACGCTCCTCGACATGGGCTTTAACGTCCTCATCTGCGACTCGGACTTCATCTGGATGAAAGACCCGCTCCCCTTCGTCCACGCCACCCCCCCACCGCAAGCCATCCGCGACAGCCGCAGCGACGGTGACGCCTTCCCCGTGCGAGGCTACGACGTCGTGGGCGTCAGAGAGCTGCCGGATTCCGCCGATTTCAACGCCACCGGCACGTACCCCATGGCGCGAGATTCGGCAAATATCCAGACCGCGAAAGTCTGCGGCGGGTTTGTGTTTCTTCGGAGCTCCCCGGGCGGGCGGCTCGTCCTCGACGCCTGGTCACTGAAAATTGCCCGCGCGGTCAGGATTCGTGGGAATGAAAATGACCAGTTTTACCTCGGCGTGGCTGTAAGCGATGTGATTAAAATGAGCCCGGCGCCACTGGTGGGAGTGCTGCCGCAGAAGCTGTTTCCGCCTGGGTGGCTGTATTTCAGAGGGGATAGTAACATGCCGCCCGGGACTAGGGAGGAGCCTTGGTGGCAGTTGGAGGAGGAGGAGAAGGTGAGGGTGGTTACTGTACATAATAACTGGTTGATGGGAAAGGGTAAGAAGCTGGCACGGTTTAAGAAGAACAAGCTGTGGAAACTAGAGTAGGCAAGGAGCTGGTACTGTAGTAGGTCTGTTCATGTGGCCCCAACTAGTAGTCTGTAACAAAGCTAGTGCACTGATTTGTCCCAAATTGAGTAGTCTGTCACCTGTGCTGTGATGTGTATAGGAATAGAGTCGTAGACAGGGCTGACTTTATCAGACTATTTGCTCTGATTAGTCTGAAATCTCAGACCGGTTTTTTGGCTAAACCTGAATTTCCAGATAAGGCATTTTCCCAATCCTGATCGATTCAGACTTAGACTTTAGGGATCCTGAAAAAATCAGAGTTCACGCTAACCCAATACTGAGTTTTCAGAGTACATCGGGTACGAACCCTGAAACAGATTTCCACGGGGCACGCAAGATCCCTAGAAATTTCGCATGCCATCAGTGATTCCCGCCCGCGTCACGTGGAGAATCCACACTTCCTTGAAAAATCCGCCAAGTCCAATGAATACTCTGCCCACAGTGGGCACTCTGCTACCCAGCGCAGCAAAAATGCTGCCACGAAGAGCCACTAAGGACCACAGATTCTGCTCTGTTGCTCTCTGTGCATGCACGAACTTCGGGCCCGTGCCCTCTGTGCCAGCCTTGCAGAGGTTGGCCATCATCCCCATTGGCTGCAGTTGCAGCCAACACATCGACTAGGCAGCATGGCGCTGTGTTGTGCATGGACAAGTCCCGAAACCGCGTCACGCCTTTCAAGAAAGGTGCGACACGGGTTTGATGGACCCCTTCTTCTCCAGTTGTTCCTTACCCACCACCTTCGAACGCACTGCTTCAGGTTTTAGAGGGGAAATCCTTCATGTTGTTCATTTCGACACAGACGTAGTTGTAGTCACTATCTTCATTTCCTACTCGTCGTTTCTCCTCTCGCCATGCCTGAAAAGGATGGCGACGACGATGCTCCAGCTGACGGTGATGAGCCGCGCAGCAGTAAGGTTCCTGTCGTTGCGCCAAGGAGCGCCCTAGATGTCTTGCGGCCCGTTGCCGCATCGGCTCCTCCGCCTTTTGTCGCCATAACCGTTGTAAACGAGACCCCACGCGATGAGCCATCGTTGCCTAGTAGACCTGCCCCCGCTCCGTTCGTTCTCCCACCAGCCATAGCATCTTCTAGCAGAGGACCAGTGGATCCTATTGACTGCGCCACTGCCTCTACCGTTCGTTATAGTGTGCCGTGCGCATCGACTGTCTCTTCGGCGAAGAAACAACGTACGACGAAGTATACACAGCAGCGTATCAACTCAGGTGGCCAGATTCGCCCTCCCTCACCACCGCGCTCACCTACCCCCGTCACCCGCCCTGATGAACCGCCGCCACCGAGGCTAAGTACAGAGGAATTGATCGAGCAGAAGTACCTAGTCGCGGAGGCTAAGTATAAGAATGATTGGCTGCGTTATTTCCCATGGCTTGTACTTACCCGTAGTAAAGATGGCTACCCCGCTCTTAAGTGCAGCGTTTGCCGAGCCTTCGGCAAAGAAACGACGAAGTATTCAAGGCCAGGCGACGGCGGGCGAGATCTCCAGACACAGACGATGCGCATTCATGAACACTCAACAGTCCACGAAGCGGCAGTTCGCCGGCAGCTCGAGATTCAAAAGGAAATTGAAGACAAGCAGCAGAAGATGACAAGCTTCGCCACCGTCGATGTCGAAGGCCGCCGCGTCATCCGTCTTTTGCGGTGCGTGGAATTTCTTTGCAAGAACGACGCTCCTATCGCCATGTTTCCCCGGCTGCTTCGTTTCATGGCAGAGCAAGACACACCAGACATACCTCTCCAGTCGTACGGAGTGTATCTCACCAGGTAAGGCTACCTGGCTTTCGCCGGTTGATGGTTGGATTTTGATATGAACCTTGTAAATTTCAATGCATTTCCAATGCTAATTAACCAGTGTCTCACTTCTGATTATGCCACTGCAGGTACGGGTTCCAGCAGATGGTCAACTGTCTCTCTACGCATCTGCTGGCTACTCAGATGGAGCACATCAAGAGCTCACCTTACCTCGGCATCTCATGCGACGAAAGCACCGACCGCACGCGGGGAAAGCACTTGATCGTCTACATCACATTCATGCGGCTGCGTCGAGTCGTCACCGAATTCCTAGCCCTGCTAAACGTTGACAAGTGCGACGCCGCTTCTCTTATGGCCACTCTCTTAGCCCACCTGGAGTCGTCCGGCATCGACCTCCAACGCATCGTTGGCATCAGCACAGACGGCGCGTCGGTGATGGTCGGCCGAGACAACGGGCTTGTGGCGCGACTGCGAGACATCATCCCGCACCTTTTTTCCTCCCACTGCATCGCCCACAGGTTTGTTAAAGTATTCCTTGCTGTGTGTTTATGCTTCTTATGTTTCTGTGTGCTAACCACTACCCATGTCGGTACATGCAGAGAAGCACTTGCTGTGAAGGATGCTGCAGCTTCATGTCCAGACCTCGACATGGTCGACAAAGTCACTCGCACCCTTGCGGACCTTCTCGGCCGGTCGAGCGTATGGAGCAGTCGTTTCAAGCATCTGCAGCGGGCGATTCACAGCACCAACCTTGAGGTTCAAGGCATCCATCAAGTTCGATGGTTGTCCAGGGGAGAGGCAATCCGACGCCTGTGTAAAGTGTTGGGTGCTGCTATTGTTCTGCTGTATGAGTATGAGCATCCCCTGTATGAGGTTGTGATTTCGTATAAGTTTCAGTTTTGCCTCTTCTACCTGGCCGACATGCTGGCACTCATGAACGACCTCAACCTCAAGTTTCAGAAGCGAGAGGTAAGATGCTCATGTTTGCAAGCATGGTGTTCTCCTCTGGTGCAAGTACTCATGTCTTTCACTCCTCTGTGTCCCCCCCCTCTCACACCGCAGGTCGATGTCACAGAGGTGGCAACGGACATCGACGCGACACTGGGGGATCTGCGGCACCGCTATGTCGACTTCGGGGAGATTTTCGGTGTCGGCGCCGAAAACACCTGGCTCTCGGCGTTCCTCGCGGTGTACGGGCGCGGCGGAACGAAGCGGGTGAAGGTGCGCGGTATCGACTTGGAGGGGAACCCCGTCACCCATACGTACAAGATGCACGAGCGGCACCTCGACAAGCACCAGTACGGGAGCAGCTACAAGGACTGCGTGCAGCTGTGCCAGAAGCACGCCAAGGATACCATGACCAACGTACAAGAGCGGATGCTGGATCTGCGCAAGATGTCGCCGACGAAGCTCTGGGTGGCGGCGAAGTGGCCGAGACAACGGGCGCAGCGCGAGAAGAAGACGAGAGAGTATCTGCTTGGATGCAGCGGCATCTTCGAGCACAAGCTGCCAGGCTTCGACGTGAAGGCAGCGGAGAGGGAGCTCGCAACTTGGGCGCCGATCATGCAGAATCATCACGAGGTGGAGAGTTTCCACCAAGGCCTGGCAAACTACCTCACGAAGACGGACTCGAGCAGGCAAGTCCAACCATATTGTCGTTTGTGAATCACCACCTTCCATTCTACTTGCCAAGTGTGCACAACATCGCCGCCCTTGCCAACCGCATCTTTTTGTTATCCGCCTTCACTGTATGCATTTCCTACTGCCTTTCTTCCGCCTCTGTTTTTGTGCCCCGTGTCAGGCGCTGGCCCAATCTGATGCGCCTCTGGCAGGCCTGCGCCGTGCTGCCTTTGTCAACCGTCGAATGTGAGAGGGGCTTCTCTCGGCAGAATGTGATTAAGTCCTGGGTCCGTGGCTCACTCTGCAACGCGCGCCTCTCCGAGTTGATGGCCATCTCGCTGCTGCAGTATGACATCAATTGGACCGAAGCCCTAGCGACCTGGCGAGAGAAGCTGAGACGGCCAGCACGATCTGTTGTCTTCGCAAGAGCGGAACGAAAACGCAAGGGGAAGGCCCTAGAGGGTGAGGTGGCGGGGGACACAACGGATGGACAGGGGAGGTGCCAGAGTACGCGGGGGAGGGGTGGGCTGAGGAGGATGGGGGTGATGATGAGAATGATGCGGCTCCAACATTAGGCGACGACCCTTTCCTGTCCGACGATGAGGGGGGTGATGATGAGATTACTGTAGATGTGCCGGAGTTCTAGGTGCCTGTTAGCTAGTGGTGATTGCTTGGTTTGGTAGTAGTAGTTGTAGATAGGCTCCTGTCCAATGTAGCAAAATGTAATACACAAGAATAGCTTTTCTTAATAACATAAAATGTAACCCTGAGTACACTTGTGCGATCCTGAGAATTTCAGAGTTGCACATCTCTGGACTCTGACATTTCAGAGTCCCTAAATTCTGGCTGAAGGCCATTCAGACTATTTTTTTTTTTGGGGGGGTCAGCTCAGAGTGCCTTTTTTTGAAACGTCAGCCCTGGTCGTAGAGCGTGTTCCTTCAAGCCTCTTCCCAGGCAACCTCTTCCCAGACTCACACGCGACCTTGATAGCGTGTTCCCAGGACCCCTTTTGGAATAATCCCGTTTCATATTTGCGTTCCATTCCAACGCTCTCAACCACATAAAAACAGCTGGCGTCGAAGATTTACTGTGCAGATTCGCGTTTGTCTGAAAATATGTTCGTCTGAAATGAGGTTTTAAAACACGCCCCTGAATCCCGAAGAGCCGAATCTCACTTCGCACTTCGCGGAACCGCACTGAAACATTTCGCGAAAAAAGTTGCGACACTGTAGCACGCGAGTCTGGGAAGAGGTTGCTTGGGAAGAGGCTGGTAGGAACACGCTCTTCATGCATTCAAGGTGTGTGTTTGCTTCTAGTAGTGTACATGCACTGGACAAAACATACCTGCACACCGTCTGTGGCGGTGTATTGCTGCTTTTCCTGATAAGCCACGCCTCCTAAATGTATGTGAGGCCCTGCCAGTTTTAATTTCATCTCTCTCCTACTTTTCTTCTGTTTGTATTGCATTTAGATGTGGATATGCAGGTAATGGTAAGTTCAACTTTATGGATAGAAATCAGCGAAGTACAGTGGTGTCCCACTTGAAACACGCAGCTTTTCAAGGTGTTCGAGAGCCGTTGTCCCGCACGTGAGCCCTGAAATCTCCCGGGAATTGGGACGCATGACTCGCTTTTCAGCTTGGCTGGCCCCGCATTGCTGGCATCCTTGTGCTGTGCTGTATCCGACTTCCACGTGTCAGAGCCGTTTGAATTGGCATTGTGATTGGTGGAAGACGAGATTCGGGGGGCACAAACTTGAGCTCTCAAGGTTCAAACGGGGGGAACGTCCTCCCGCCACTCGACTTCAGTCAGGCAGGGACACAACCTACCCATCCAAATGCATGAGAGAGTAGTACCTACCCAATTGCATGAGATCACTCTACTTTTTTACCTGCACTAGTTCCCTGAGACCCCTAGACGTTAGTCCTGCTACCTATTAGTCCTGCTACCTGTTACATCTTCCTATTAGTCCTGCTTGTTAGCTTCAGCCGTTGCCTGTTCTCTGTCCCATTAAGCTCATTGGGACCATTGCAGCGCGTCCGCGTGATTCTTTCGAAATCGTAGGCCACTGGGTTGCCATCAGGCGGTTACCTGCCGTCACAAGCGGACCTCCATTATTAGGAACGGTTCACATTTATTGATAAAAAATGGCATCGTCACTGCGCGTGGCCACTCATATGGCTGCTGCATCTTGCTTCAACCAACGGCGTCACGCCTGCTCTCAGCAGCTTACAAAAGCCTCGGGCCTCTTCCACCCCCTTACAAACCGACGATCGTCAAACAGCTTCAGACTAGCCGTTGGAGCCTCCCAGTCCTCCCGCGTTCAATGCACTCACGTGGTATGTCGACACTCTAGCAGTCCAGAGCTTGCAGAGATCGGTCGTCCACACCAGCAATTCATCTACCTCGTTAATAGGAAACCTTTATTCCTCGCGGGTGCTTGATTTCTTATCCCCCTTTGCTAGGCTGTGCGTCTTCGATTTGATACGCCTTCCCTTCGGTATTCATTCCTCTCAATTCTACATCCCGTTCGCCTTTTCCCGTTTTCTCCAGCGCGATGTGAACACGGAGGAACTCGATCACCTCGTGACCGGCGAGCGAGACACGCCTCTGGTGATCGACTTTTGCGCCGATTGGTGCGGGTCGTGCGATATTCTGTCTGAGCAGCTTGAGGAGGCAAGTCTTCATAAAAACCAGATTGCCTGGTTCTGGATTCGCAAGAACGGGCTTCCGTAATTGCTAAAAGATTGCACTTTCTTGGGTTTGGTAGCAGGTTCTTACTGCATGAGGCTTGCGTTCTTCTTCCTTTATACCTCATGCCAGAAGTAGCCTGACCTGTGTCGTCTTCTCTCCTGTGTCTTCTTCGCTCCATGCTCTGCCTTTGATCGTGATGGATGCGACGGGTGTGCAGTTAGCGGAGGAGTACGATGGTCGCGTGCGGTTCGTCCAAGTGAACACGGATCAGGAGTACGACCTCGCAGATCAGCTGGAGGTACGGCATCCGTGGAAGTATAGTCGTCCTTTCTTCGACCTCCTACAACTTATCTCCGACCCTCCAAACCCCTGTCACGTTCTCCAACATCCGTTGGTCGTCTCTTCTTTCGTCTGTCGATCCCATTTCCATTTTCACAAATCTCCGTTCTGCTTTGTGCAGATCCGTGGGTTACCGACCATGGTGTTCATGGGTAAAGACAAGGCCAAACGTGCCACTCGCATTGAGGGCATGCTTTCAGTTGACACCATCAGGCAGCTGATTGATGACGTTGCTGATCTCCATAGCTAGAGAGATTGACGAGCTACCGAATAAAATGGTTGGAATGTTTATAGCAGTAGTCTACCTGTTATATATGGCTGACATTGATTCGGCAGGAAGGTCAAGATGCGCCTAGAGAATTATGTGAATGATTGTGATGTGTGAGGTCATGGAAAACATATGTGCAGTACTACAGCTGAGCTGTCAACTTTTTGGCACTAACCAGAAGCATTTCTTGTCAGATATACGCGTTTGAAGGTCAAGCTGGAGGACTGAAAATTCTCTACCCAGAATGCCATCCGAATTAGACTTCAGGAACCAGGTCGCAACTACTACACCCAGATATTCGATCATGTCACAAGTTTTGAAACGACAGGTGTGATTGTTTTTTGTGCCGAGTGACTGTATCGCTTTATTATCACATTGGCCCAGTTTCGCTCATTCGTCGTTTCCCTGGAACTCGCAGGAGAAACATATTAATCACCCCACCAACTAAATATCGCGCCACTCCGTCTTCATAGCTGACATCATCACGCAATTTCGCCTGTACGCCCAGTTTTCAGTCGCGTGTTCATTCCAGTAACTTGGGAAGCTCTACTGTAAGCTTGAAACAAATCTATTTTAGGGGCAAGTAGCCGCTTTGTTGAAAGTGCACCCATTCTTCTGGTCTCGGCAAGGGGGTCTCATCCTTAGAGCCCCTTGACCAGTCAGCGAAGCCACCGTCCTCGGCGATTTCCTCTGAAATGAGCTCGCCACGTCACATGAGGTCCAGGCCTATTGGCGGGAAAGATGGTGTCTGGTTCGTCACATGCGTGTTTCTGCGATGTGAGTGTTAGCGACGCTGTGGTCGGTTGATTTCGCACGCCACTTCTAGCTATGGGATTGGTTCCCAAAACTAAGTTGAATGTACCAAAAAATTTCTTTAATTGCGTGTTCTTGAATTGAATAACTGGGTGTAGCAGGCCTCAACACCAGTGCACTCTTGTGTAAAGACTGACGTCCGCTTGCTTCCTATCTTCCCCTCCACGTCACTCCTCGACTATAGGCCCTCCATCCCCGCACTAACGCCCTTCCAGTTATCCCGTACTGGCGCCTCACCCACTGGCGCGCTTCCAGCACTGACGCCCTCCGCGCACCGCAGCAATTAGGCGTTTAGACACTGCCCCGCGCCCTAGCCGCACTAGGCGGGCCATGACGGTCACGCTTAAAGTCGCGGGCTCGTGGTCCGGGCAGGTTGAGATTCCGTCGCTGACCGAATGGACTGTGCGCGAGCTGCGGGCGGAGCTCGCGCGCCTCTCCGGGATCGACGCGGGCAGCTTGAAGATCATTTGCGGCGGGCGCACGCTTAAAGACGAGGCGGAGGCGGAGGCGGAAGCGGAGGCGGAGGGGGAAGAGGAGGCGGAAAGGGAGAGGGAGCGACGCGGGGAAGTGGCGACGGGGGCGGAAGGGAGAGATGCTGAGGGGAATATGGGGGACGCGGAGATGGGGAAGGGGGAAGGGGGTGGGGAGGAGAAGGGGGAGGGGAAGGGGGGAATGGAGGGGGAGGGGAAGCGGACGGCGAAGCGGAAGGGCGGGCGGGGGAGGAGCTTAGAGGAGGTCGGGGTGAGGGCGACATCAAGGCTTCTGGTGACAGGTGGCGGCAAGCGATTGGGCGGCGAGATTGCGGCGGAGGGGAAGAGAGTGGTGCAGGAGGAAGCTGCGAGGAAAGAGACGGAGGAGAGGCTGGGGCGGTTGAGGTGAGCAATGGGGTATGGCAAGATTAAAGGGCTGGCTGGGTATGGGGTAACAGGAGGAAAGTTTGGTGGGTGTGTTTGCCTTCAACTTACTTGCTGCTTCCTGTGAGTCGACTAAAAAGCAGACCAAAGGGCTGGCTGGGTGTGGGGTAATAGGAGGAAAGTTTGGTGGGTGTGTTTGCCTTCAACTTACTTGCTGCTTCCTGTGAGTCGACTAAAAAGCAGACCAAAGGGCTGGCTGGGTGTGGGGTAATAGGAGGAAAGTTTGGTGGGTGTGTTTGCCTTCATTTCACTTGCTGCCTCTTCACCCCACCACCTATCTTCCCCATCCCTTCCAGGTGTGTTTTGATTCGACTCAAAACACAGATGGGGTACAGCAAGATCAAAGGGCTGGCTGGGTATGGGGTAATAGGAGGAATGCTTGATGGGTGTGTTTGCCTTTAATTTACTTGCTGCTTCCTTTGAGTCGGCTCAAAAGCAGATCAAAGGGCTGGCTGGGTATGGGGTAATAAGAAGAAAGTTTGGTGGGTGTGTTTGCCTTCAATTAGCTTGCTGCTTCCCCACTTCGCTCCACCACCCATCTTCCCCATCCCTCCCCTCCTTTCCCCCGTTAACTGACGGCAGGGCGGCAGCAGCTGCCATTGCGCGGAGAGGCAGGGCAGGCAGGGGAGGCCAAGGCGTGAGGGGCGATGGTAACAATGATGATGGGGGCAATGATGGTGGTGGTGGTGATGATGATGACAATGATGATGCGGAGTTGCTGCTGGAGAATCAGAGTGGCCAGAGGCTGGAGATGGCAGCAATTGATAAGCGGTGAGCATTAGTGTTTCTTTTTTCTTTCTTCTGCGTCTTCTTCTTTTTCCGATTTCTTTTCGAAAGACAAGTATCATTCGTCACAGTCGCCGAAGAAAGTCGCTCTCATGTCAAGAAAGTGCACCGTCCTCCTCATCCATGCACTCGCCTCCCACAGCCCCTTTCCCCTTTTTCTCTTCTATTTATTCACGCCTTTACCCAGTTGTATTCGTATTCGCTTGTACACGGCAGCTCCCTTTTAAGTCGACTCAATTTTTTTATTTTTTTTTCTCGTATTTTCTTGTTCTCATGGCAGCTCTCTGGTGACTGGACTCCTGCTGCACTCCCACGGCCGCTCTCTCCTCAGCAAGGGAAATTTCGTGGAAGCCCTCCCTGTGCTGGAGATGGCTGAGGTGCACATTTTCCATCACTCGGGATGCCTCGGAATTGTCTTGCTGCCTTGCTGCTTTGGGATGGTTGAGCCGCCTCAACACACACACCAGCCACATCGTGCTTTTATCACTCGTAGCTTCACTTGTTGTGTATTCCTGCACCAATGCCTACTCGTGTGTGTGCTTGTTGCAGGAAGCATTCAACATCTGCGACGCCAAAATCACTGAGGTAACCACTGTAACCACCTTCCAAATCACTTTCTGTCTGTGGTTACAACGCAGCTCCGGCTTAGTATGGCAATAGCACAGCATCAGTCTCGGATACCAGTGTTGTTTCCTATCAATTTTTTGTTTTAACCCTTAAGCCCTTAAGCTCAGTGTTTTATTGTAAGATTCTGTAGAAGGTTCTCATTTTGCACACTTCATGTATGTCTCATTCCACCCTCTCAGTCAGTCGACAACATCCCAATGCTCCTATTGGACATCGTATGGTGCCACTACATGACGAAAGACGTCGCCAACCTGGCATCCGCTAAAGGACGGCTCGCTGCCGCCCGGGCTGCTCTGCGCAGGGCGCATGGAGCAGACATGTCAAGGCTGAGGATGCTTCAGGGAAACTTCCGACCTGAGTTAGCTACGTGAGTAATGAGAAATGTAGAGCAGAGCTTTATTACTTGGCTTATTTCTTGCTTTCTTCACATATCCGACCCCGGTCCTTTCCGACCTTTCTTCCCCTTCCACAGTTGCCCCCCCCCGTTTCTTCCTCCCCTCCCACCCACCCTTTTGCATTTCTAATCTCCCTTACCCCTCCTCCCCTTGCCCGTACTCGTTTTAGGTATCTCCGTCTGGACCTATTAGACGCAATTGCAGCATACCACAGTGGCGACGTGGAACACGCACGCTTGCTGCTCGCATCAGCTCAGTCCCTGTTTCAGCAGGTAAAGCCTGCACGAGATGGTACCTGCTCTAGTTTAGTCCTAGGTAAGTCGTGTTTGTGACATTGCAGCATACCACAGTGGCCTCCTAGGACAGGCACGCTTGCTGCTCACATCAGCTCCATCGCTGGTAATGCCTGCACGAGATAGTACCTTCTCTAGGTGCTCCGGTACAGGCGCACGCACTCAATACTAGCGTCAGTTACTGTTTCAACAGATGACGCCCCCTTTGAGTTGAGTCAAGGGCAGTCTTGAGGCTGGGTGCTCTTGAGGTTGGGTGCTCTTGAGGCTGGGTGCTCTTGAGGCTGGGTGCTCTTGAGGCTAGGTGCTCTTGAGGCTGGGCGCTCCTGAGGTTAGGTGCTCTTAAGGCTGGGTGCTCTTGAGGCTGGGTGCTCTTGAGGCTGGGTGCTCTTGAGGCTGGGTGCTCTTGAGGCTGGGTGCTCTTGAGGCTAGGTGCTCTTGAGGCTGGGCGCTCCTGAGGTTAGGTGCTCTTAAGGCTGGGTGCTCTTGAGGCTGGGTGCTCTTGAGGCTGGGTACTCTTGAGCTTGGGTGCTCTTGAGGCTGGGTGCTCTTGAGGCTGGGTGCCCTTGAGGCTGAGGGCTCTTGAGGCTGGGTGCTCTTGAGGCTAGGTGCTCTTGACGCTGGGTGCACTTGACACTGGGTGCTCTTGAGGCTGGGTGCTCTTGAGGTTGGGTGCTCTTGAGGCTGAGTTCTCTTGACGTTGGGTGCTCTTGAGGCTGGGTGCTCTTGAGGCTGGTTTCTCTTTAGGCTGGGTGCTCTTGACGCTGGGTACTCTTGAGGATGGGTGCTCTTGTCGCTGGGTGCTCTTGAGGCTGGGTGCTCTTGAGGCTGGGTGCTTTTGAGGCTGGGTGCTCTTGAGGCTGGGTGCTCTTGAGGCTGGGTGCTCTTGAGGCTGGGTGCTCTTGAGGCTGGGTGCTCTTGAGGCTGGGTGCTCTTGAGGCTGGGTGCTCTTGAGGCTGGGTGCTCTTGAGGCTGGGTGCTCTTGAGGCTGGGTGCTCTTCACGCTGGCTTCTCTTGAGGCTGGGTGCTCTTGAGGCTGGGTGCTCTTGCGGTTGGGTGCGCTTGAGGCTGGGTGCTCTTGAGGCTGGGTGCTCTTGAGGCTGGGTGCTCTTGAGCCTGGGTGCTCTTGCATCTGGGTGCTCTTGAGGCTGGGTGCTCTTGAGGCTAGGTGCTCTTGAGGCTGGATGCTCTTGACTCTGGGTGCTCTTGACGCTGGATGCCCTTGAGGCTGGGTGCTCTTGAGGCTGGGTGCTCTTGAGGCTGGGTGCTTTTGAGGCTGGGTGCTCTTGAGGCTGGGTGCTCTTGAGGCTGGGTGCTCTTGAGGCTGGGTGCTCTTGAGGCTGGGTGCTCTTGAGGCTGGGTGCTCTTGAGGCTGGGTGCTCTTGAGGCTGGGTGCTCTTGAGGCTGGGTGCTCTTGAGGCTGGGTGCTCTTGAGGCTGGGTGCTCTTCACGCTGGCTTCTCTTGAGGCTGGGTGCTCTTGAGGCTGGGTGCTCTTGCGGTTGGGTGCGCTTGAGGCTGGGTGCTCTTGAGGCTGGGTGCTCTTGAGGCTGGGTGCTCTTGAGCCTGGGTGCTCTTGCATCTGGGTGCTCTTGAGGCTGGGTGCTCTTGAGGCTAGGTGCTCTTGAGGCTGGATGATCTTGACTCTGGGTGCTCTTGACGCTGGATGCCCTTGAGGCTGGGTGCTCTTGAGGCTGGTTGCTCAACGGGAGACGGCTGACGGATGATGGTTCTTTGGCCAGCCTGGCAGCTAGGTTCTTCTCATGTCCTGCAAGCAACTCCGTTCTGCCGTCCTCCCCCTGCTCCCCCTGCTTCCCCTCCTCCCCCTGCTTCCCCTCCTCCCCCTGCTCCCCCTCCTCCCCTTCTCCCCCCCATCCCCCTCCCCCCCCTTCTCCCCCTGCTTCCCCTGCTCCCCCTCCCGCTCCCCCTCCCCCCCCTGTTCGTGGCACACCCCAGCTGCAAGTCTCGGACGATTCACTGGCCGGCCTGGCAGCCATGGGCTTCTCTCATGTACCCTCACTCTCTCGCCCACCTCCCACACTCGTCTATCTGGTGCCATCTCTTCCCATCTCCCTTTTATTTGCCCATCTCGTCCGCCCTTCACCCCAGCTGCAAGTCTCGGACGATTCACTGGCCGGCCTGGCAGCCATGGGCTTCTCGGCCAATGAGGCAAGGCGGGCACTGCGCGTGGCGGGCGGCAACGTGAGTCGGGCGGCGGAGTTTGTCATCTTGCAACGGCAGCGCGGGGCAGAGAAGGCAGAAGAGGACAGAAGACAGAGGCGGCTGGAAAGGTTCGTGTGTAGCAGGTGTGATACGCTCCGTAGGCGATTTTTGAGTTGACTCAAAAATCACCAGAAGCGGCTGGAAGGGTTCGTCTGTAGCAGGTGTGATACGCTTCGCTTTGTTGCAAGAAACGAGTTCCCTTCTGTATCAGTGCTCACTCTTTATGCTATAAGGTGTTGCCATGTACGGTCGTCTTATGCTGTACGTAGCACGTAAGTGAGATCCCAAGGATCGTCACTCATTGGAGGAAGATCTGCAGCGTGGAGTTTCTGTTGGCAGAAAGATCGGTTGCCTTGTAAGATTCAAACATAGTCTCTACTGAACAAAAACTAGGCTCTCAATGAAGCTCACTCGAGATTAAAACAAGAGGGGAGACAAACATGTTTCGGCCTTACTAGGGAGGGAAATCCCATTAGACCTCGAAGACCAAGGCGAAGAAGCAGCGTGGCAGCAGGAACAGCAAAGCGAAGTCGTTGCCATGTACGGTCGTTTTATGTTGTACGTAGCTCTGTACCTGACAGTCTTTCAACAGCATACCTGACAGTCTGTATGCGCGCTCTTACCCTACCCGTATGAATGATGCATGACTATGTTCATCGTGTCATTCACGTAATGTGCGACCATGTGTGCATGGGTGCTCTTGACCCATGGTTGCACATCGAACCATGTGCAACCATCTGTGCAATGTGCTTACACTGCATTTGTGGGTGCAGAGAGCAACGGGCCTATGGGAGGACGCCAAGTGGCAAGAAGGTGGACATGCGGCTATTAGAGGAACTGGTCACCTACGGGTGAGTGGAAATGTCATGCTGACGTCACTTGTTGTTGTGATTGGGTATGGTGCTGGCGTCACTTTGCGCGATCTCCAGCACACTGAATGCACGACGGTGGGTGCATCAAAACTGGGATGTCTTTTGTTTTTTAGAATTCTCTAAAACAAAACACAACATTGGGTGCATCAAACTGTGATGTTTGCTTGATGGCTATGTGATGTGGCAGCCAGCATTCGTCCCTCACGTCCTCATCTCTCCATGCCCCTCCCCCTCTTTCACCCCGGTGTCCCCAGCTTCACTTGAGATCCCCTGCACATGCCCCGTCCCGTCACCCCATCATGCGACTCCAGACTCGCTCCATGTGTCCCCCACCCCACCCCACCCCACTGCACCCCATTTTGTCGTATTGCAGCTCTGCGCGACCAGTGGTAGCTGAGTCTCTCCGCCAGAGTGACAACAGCAACCACCTGAGGGCTCCAGACGCTCTCCTCCGATGGCAACGAGCTTCATACTGACATTGGCACGCACTCCTTCCTTACATTCTGCCCCACCAACCCCAGTTTCGCTCGCCCAGTGGCAGCAGAATCTCTCCGCCAGAGCGACAACAGCCACCAGAGGGCGCTAGACGCTCTCCTCGACCCCTCCTCCCTCGCTGCTCTCGAGGCACGTTCACCTGTCGGCCCTGCGCACACCACCTGCCCCCTCTGATCGCCTCTCGTCGCCTTCTGTCCCCCCCCTCACTGCCACCAGATGGCTCTAGACGCATCCCTTGCCCGGTCTGCCCTTGCTGCTCTCGAGGCAGGCCACTCGGCTCACACGAGTTCTTCTTAGATGTCCGCTTCTAGATGTCCGCTTCTAGATGTCCGCTTCTAGATGTCCTACATGTACTCTCTCTCCCAGTTCACTCCACTTCTGGAATCAGCTGGCCTCGCCTTTTTTCAGGCTCCTCAAAATCCGCCTGCCCTTGCTGCTCTCGAGGCGGGCCTCTCGGCTCACGCGAGTTCTTCCTAGATGTTCTAGATGTCCTCGATGTTGCTCTCCCAGTTCACTCCACTTCTAGAATCAGCTGGCCTCGCCTTTCCACCAGCCATCCCCTCTCCTACTTACTCTCCTCCACACTCCCATGTGCTCAGGTGGCAGTGGCGGAAGGGCGGGCGGATGGCAGCAGGAAGAGGCCCAGCAGGGGAGGTGCGGACAGGGGGGCAGGGGTGCCGTCGGATGGATCTGTGGCAGCTCTGGTGGCGCTAGGCTTCTCCGCTCACCAAGGTGCGCTCTCCTTCTCCTTCCCATGCCGTGCCGTGCCATGCCGTGCCATGCCGTGCCATGCCGTGCCATGCTGTGCCATGCCGTACCATGCCATGCCGTGCCATGCCATGCCATGCCGTGCCATGACATGCCCTGCCCGTCTCTCCCACATTCCCATCACCTTGCCTCCCCACCGCCACCACCACACGCTCCCTCACACACCGCACACACACCCACCATGTCCATGTCTCCCTCCCCTTCTTCAGCCCGGCTTGCCCTAGAAGGTAGTAACAACGACGTGGAAGCAGCAGCAGCAGCGTTACTGCAGGGGGTGTATGGGGAGGCTGGAAGTGGGGGCGAGGGGGGCAGTGGGGAAGGGGTCCTAGGGGAGGGGGAGGGCGGGGCAGAGGCAGGAGCAGAGGCAGGGGGGGTAGATGGGGGTGGAGAAGCAGGAGAAATGGAGGTTGAGGGAGGGGAAGGGAGTGAGGGAGGGGGTGAGGGAGGGAGTGAGGAGGAGAGAGATGAGGAGATGGAGGGGGAGATAAGGAAGGGTGTGAGTGGCGACCCCTATGCTGAGTATGACCTGGATGTGTCGCTGGAGGCTGCTGCCATTGAAGAGTACTCCAAGCTGATCAGCACCCAAGAGATCAGCTAGTGGTGCCAGTGTGTGGTTGAGAGTGCAAGATGGTAGGTATGAGTTTGCAGGGTATCTTTGAGAATTCTCACAGCATGGTGATGGAAAGGCAAGATAGTGTGTATTCTCACTGAATTGGCCACATCCGTGTTGCCTGTGTGTAGAGACGACGTGATTGCAAGCCACAACCTGGCTCAAAAGGTGTCAAGTTGTATATATGCTATGAACGAACATCATAGGTGTGCAGAACTATTGTGGGTTCTCAACAAAACGGTAGCGCAATGGTATCATTATGGCGATGATTCAAAGAAATCCATACTGTCGGAATAGGTCGTGAGGTTGCTAGAAGGTTTAGCTAGGGGGCGAGAGTTACGAGAGGGAGGAAAAGTTGACGAGAGAAAATAGAGGTGGACTAGAAGAGAAGGAGATACAAGAAGCGGGGGTTGTCCCCTCTACAGTAGGGTTCAGTAAGTAGCACGACTACCAAGCCTACACAAAATGTAATTTTTTGAAAGTGTAACACTTTCTAAAAATGTGTATTGTGAGAGTGTAACGAGGGCCAACGAAGCAATGGCAGCGTCGAAGCGCTACTCACCCTCTTTTGCCTACAGAAGAGGGACGTGTGGCCCAGGGCCTATTTTATCAGAGTAATTTACTCTGTTTCTCTGAAAATCAGAGTCGTTTTTGAAAACTACTCTAAGTGCCTTGAGTAAAAAAATTGATGTTTTTTTTTACTCTGATTATATCAGAGTAACCATTTGTACCCCTCTGAGGGTTAGTGTACAGGGGGTATACCTATAGATTTCCCCTGTACCCTGTACCTGGCCTTGCCCCAATATCCCGCAATACGCGTCATTTTACGCGTACCGCCAGGCAGTGGCACGTCATATGCTGCCATCCTTGCCACTGCTGGCAGCATCCTTCGCGCTGGTTGGTCACGACTGCAGCATCACTGCAAGGCTGGCAGCAGTTCCCTCACCACCGCACGCCGACCTTAGCCACCATCCATGCATGCACGACCGACGTCACTCCCTCACCCACTCCGAGGCACCCCACAATTCACACACCCCCAAGAAGAGCAGACGAAACTCTTGTCTTGTTCAACCTTCCCTTCCTCCCCTTCACCAAAGCTATCTCTCACAACGTCCTAGCAGAAGAAAACCTCCGCTTACCTTCGCCGTCGCTGCCGCCCGTCGTCACTCGTGCCACTGCCGTCATGGCTGGCAGGAGTGAGCCCGACGATGGCGGTGGCGACGAGTCTGTCCATCTGCGAACTCCTAGATCGCTCCCTCTTAGCGGGCTCGACTTTCTCCGTCGAGTTGCTACCGCTCCAGTTGAGCCACAGCCTCTGCCTTCTCTCAGTAGTGAGGAATGGGACAGGAATTTGAAGGCTATGGTTGACGCTGGTCCTGTCGCCGAACCTTCAGTTGTACCTGTTGTCACTGCATCAACCCCAGCGTCCACATCAACGGCATCAACTCCTGCCTCAACTCCTGCGTCCGCCTCAGAAAAGAAGCGTCGCTTCAACCAGACTTATCTCCCGTTCGCGCCGCCTCCCCCTAAGTCTCCGCCACCACCAGAGCCAGAGCCCGTGCCACAGCAACTGCCTTCGGCTGCTTTAACCCCCGCCGAGAAGATGGCGAAGGCCTATCTTGCTGCGCAACGGAAGTACACTGCCGACTGGTTACCGAAATTCCCCTGGCTAGTGCTGGATAAGACTAACGATGGTGCACCTTGCTTGCGTTGCAGTATCTGCATGGAGCACGGCAAAGACCACGCACGATACGGGCGCAACGGTGCTGGTGGACGGGATCTCCAGATTGGCTCGATGCGTTGGCATGAGGAGAGCACAAGGCACGAGAACGCCGTCAGGAAGCAAGAGGCGCTGCTGAAGGAGGTCGAGAATCAGAAGAAAATGGAGGACTTCGGGAAGCACGACCCTGACGGCGCGAGGATCATTCGTCTACTTCGAACTATGCTGTTCATATGCAAGGAGGATGCCCCGATCGCCATGTTCACGCGGCTCGTCGGGTTCATGGCAGAGGAGGGTGTCGAGGACATTCCGAAGCAGACTTATGGCGTCTACATCACGCAGTAAGTACCGGGGTGCCTCATGATTTTTGGTACTATTTCTTGGTGAAATTGCGACTGCTCCACTGTCGTATCAATCATCGAGTTAATTCCGGCTTTTCCATGCCCTTCCAAGTGCAGATACGGCTTCAAGGAAATGGTGCGCGCAATGGTGGCGTACTTGAAAGCACAGCAGATGCAGCATATCCACGCATCACCCTTCATCGGATTGAGCTGCGACGAGTCAACTGACAGAACCCGTGGCAAACATCTCATCGTCTTCGCGACGTTCCTGAAGAAGCGGCGAGTCGTCACAGAGTTCCTGACGCTGCTTTCTCTCGACAAGTGCGACGCAGCAGCTCTTCAGACGGCATTACTCGGGCACCTAGATTCTTGCGGCATCGAACTTCACAAGGTGGCGGGCATCAGCACGGATGGGGCGTCTGTCATGACAGGAGAGCACAACGGTCTGGTAGCGCGTCTTCGGGTGCGCATTCCGCATCTCGTTGGCTGTCACTGTATTGCACATCGGTGAGCTCATGCAGGTTGAGCCACACTTGTCTTCCCCCTTGCAGCTCCGACGGATTGAGTCCGTTTCCTCGCAGGCAATGCATGTCGGACTATTTGTTATCCATGCTACTTGCTCGACCTTGCATGATTCTTCGTATCTCGCAGTGAGGCCCTTGCAGTGAAGGATGCGGCCAGCGCCTTCCCCGACCTCTGGATCATCGACAGTGTCATCCGTGGCTTCGGCGAGATTGTTGGGCGTTCAACACCGTGGTACGAGAGGTTCAAGGAGCTCCAGCTGATCATCCACAACACGAACCTCGAGCACCAAGGGCTCTTCAACATCCGGTGGCTTTCTCGTGGAGATGCCGTAAATCGACTCTGCAGGGTCCTCGGCGCTGTAATCGCTGTGCTCATTGAGTACAACCACAAGCTGGTTCCAGTGGTCAAAATGCTGAAGTTCCACTTCTGTTTATACTTTCTGGCTGACATCCTCGCTGAGCTCAACACGCTCAACAGGTTTTTCCAGAAGCGGTCGGTATGTTTTTGTCCCATATCCCGTTGGTCTCTGTGTTTCATGCCGTCGGTTGCCTGTTGTCATGTGTTGGATTGTGGACTTTCTTCAATTTCGACAATAACTTATCTTCTTCGCATCTTGTCACTGCTTTTATTACCCCCCCCTCACATCAGGTCGACATCACCCTTGTCTCGCAGGAGGTCGACCGCACCGTCACGTACATCAAGCATCGCTACGTGGAGTATGGCGAGACCTTCGGCGCGGGGCTGAGCAAGCGGCTCAGCAAGTTTCTGCAGAGCTATGACGAGAATGGAGGAAAGGTGGTGGTGCACGGCGCGGATGACGACGGGCGCCCGGTTTCGCACAGTTTCAAGCTCGTGGAGAGCTCCCTGCCCGGTCACAAGTACGGTGGCACCAAGGCGGCCTGCATCACGCTGTGCACCGCCTTTGCTGAAGACACCGTGCAGAACCTGAACCAGAGGATGTGGGACCTGAAGCGGATGGCCGGGTCGAAGCTGTACAAGGTGGACACATGGCCGAAGAAGCAGGACGTGCGGGAACGAAGAGCGCGCACTTGGGTCAAGTCGAACCTGGAGCTGTTTGACAACAAGCTTCCTGGTATGTATGTTTTCGGTCCCTCCATGCACGTATCCCTAGCACTCACAATGTCGTCTCGCTATATGCAGATCCAAGTATCCATGTTTTAAATAATGGTGGCAACACCACCATAGTTCTTAATCGATGTTTTCGCTTTCCATATCTCAATCTCAAATCCCGCCCGAGCGCTTCCACAGGAGTGGATGGTCGAGCAGCTGAGCTGGAGTTAAAGACTTTCTGTCACATCATGAAGACGCACCGTGCTGATGACGACTTCGGCCAAGGCCTCGCCAACATGCTGAAGACGAGGGACTGGGCCAAAAGCTATCCGAATCTCATGAGGATCTGGCAGGCGATGGCGGTTCTGCCCTTGAGCACCGTCGAGTGCGAGCGCGGTTTCAGCAGGCAGAACGCCGTCAAGAGCTGGCTGAGGACGAGCCTGTGTGATGCAAGACTCGGCGACCTGATGACCATTAGCCTCCTGGAGTACGACATGGACTACCCTGAGATCGTGGAGATCTGGAGACGCCAGAAGAACCGCAGACAGGCAAAAGTGGTGGCTTATGAGAGGAGCAGCGATGCTGCCAAGGGCAAGGAGCATGATGAGTCAGAGGAGGATAGTGGCTCTTGTGAGAGTGCCTCAGAGGGAGACGAGGATGAGCATGGTGACTAATGTATGTATGTGTATTTGAAATGGAACGTACGTCTATCCGTCTATCACAAAACCTTTGTCGGGGTGCATAACAGCAGCACAGAGTTGTGGAAATTTCCCCTCTGCACTATCAGTGTAAATTTTTCAAAATGGAAAAAAACCCTGGCAAATCAGTGAAACTATGAGGATGCACTCTGATTTTCAGAGTTATGCTAAATGCAACTCCCCAATATCAGAGTAGTAAAAATCCAAAAGTAGGCCCTGGTGTGGCCATTCGGCCTCACCCACGTTCTTCATTTCTAGTTTCCCTAGTTCAATTTCCGCAGTTTCTCGTCCAACCTGGCAAAGACCCAGTCCCTCCCCCGAGGCAAGCCTCCGACGACGCTCCTCACCGACATTTTGCAGCACAACCTCGCTAATATGGCGTCGGCGAACACGACTCCGAATCGCCCGACGAACAACCCCAACAATTCCGCGGAGCCCGGAACTTCGGCCGGGGCAACAGCCTGTCGCCAGAAACGTCCTGCTCATGAAATTTTTGGCGAGGGGCCCTCGGCTGTCGAGGTCCTGCTTGGCGCCAATCGCGCTGCTCCAGAAGAAACTCGCGCGGCTGCGAACGGAGGACCACGCGCCTGCGCACGCCGCGACGGCTGCAGGCCAGGCGGGCCCCACCGAGCACACGCCCGTTGACGAGGTCGTGCCAGCCGCCGCCGCCCCCGCGTTGACCGCGCAACAGCTCCAGGCGCTTCTGGCGCTGTTACACCAGCAGTCGAATGTTACGCTCGGAACATCTTCGGACAATATAACTGCTACGACCAATTTCGCCAAGAAGAAAGAAATGCCACCACCTACTCGCACGCCGAAAGCTCCGCGCATCGACAACCAGCCCCCGGCACCGACTCCCGCACTCGCGAATGACACCGACGACAGCGACGACTCTCAAAACGATGATGGTGAGGCTCCTGCCAATATTGCTCGCCATCGCATTCTCGCCCCCGCCCCCCCTCTTCCCCCCCTTGGTCCCACACCCGCACCAAGTACATTCAAGTGTAAGGGCGTGCGCGACCAGGCCGAAGTCTTCACTGCTATCCAAGCGCACCTGCAGCACATCCACTTCGAGCTGCAGCACGGCAACGTCACCGGCGCACTCAACAACGTGAAACACATCGAGACGCTTATTAATAAGCGTTTCGAGGTGCTTCTCGTGGCGGATGAGGCCGGCTTTGAGGCCGCTGATCGCTTCCAGCTCTACCAGTCCAAGAGTGTGCTGACGTCCCGTTCCTACAAGCTGGCGGTCGCCAACGTGGCTGCACTCAAGCGCGCACGCGCCATCTACCCTCGTGGTGGTCGTCCCGGCGGCCGTGATGGAGAAATGGACCTCAAAGGCTCCCCCCCTCTCACGTGCCAGCAGCCACGCTTCAAGGGCGTGTGCTTCCGCTGTGGCCAGCCAGGTCATATGGCTAACGCGTGCCCCATGGGCGGGCGTGGAGCACAAGGCCCCTCACCGGTGGTGTGAGCGGGGGTAAGGGCGGTGCCCTTCGCCAATATGCAAGAAGCATATTGGGCTGCACCGGGGGTGCATGGCTGGTGGCCGGCCTTAGGACAAGGCAAATGGCCTAGTAGACTAGGGTAGCCCTAGGGGCAGAGAAGGCCGTGGGCCTAGAACCTTGTGTTATTCCATGTATGGAACATGCATGTCGTTATGGCGCATTGAAACAAAGATTGCATTAAAAAAAAAAAAAAAAAAAAAAAAACTTTTGCAAGGCCTTGATGAAAGAGAGAGAGAGAGAGAGAGAGAGAGAGAGAGAGAGAGAGAGAGAGAGAGAGAGAGAGAGAGAGAGAGAGAGAGAGAGAGAGAGAGAGAGAGAGAGAGAGAGAAAGAGAGAGAGCGAGAGAGAGAGAGAGAGAGAGAGAGAGAGAGAGAGAGAGAGAAAGAGAGAGAGAGCGAGCGAGAGAGAGAGAGAGAGAGAGAAAGAGAGAGAGCGAGAGAGAGAGAGAGAGAGAGAGAGAGTGAGAGAGAGTGGATGAGAGAGAGGGAGAGCATAAGAAAATGCAAGTGAAGGTGCATAAGAGAACGAGAGAGAGAGAGAGAGAGAGAGAGAGAGAGAGAGAGAGAGAGAGAGAGAGAGAGAGAGAGAGAGAGAGAGAGAGTGAGAGAGAGTGGATGAGAGAGAGAGGGAGAGCATAAGAAAATGCAAGTGAAGGTGCATAAGAGAACGAGAGAGAGAGAGAGAGAGAGAGAGAGAGAGAGAGAGAGAGAGAGAGAGAGAGAGAGAGAGAGAGAGAGAGAGAGAGAGAGAGAGAGGGGGAGAGAAAGAAAGAGAGAAAGAAAAAGCAAGAGAGAGAGAGAGAGAGAGAGAGAGAGAGAGGGAGAGAGAGAGAGAGAGAGAGAGAGAGAGAGAGAGAGAGAGATCATAAGAGAAAGTAAAGTGAAAGAGCATAAGAGAAAGAGAGAGAAAGAGAGAAAGAGAGAGAGAGAGAGAGAGAGAGAGAGAGAGAGAGAGAGAGAGAGAGAGAGAGAGAGAGAGAGAGAGAGAGAGAGAGAGAGAGAGGCACTCCTCCAACAGGCACCTGACGCCTGGGTGCCAGAAGTAACGGCACACATTCCCTTCACCCACGGCAGCCAAATCCTACGCCCCGTCACACACGCACTCGCTTTCGCAGGACAAGGATCTCCCAGCCAGATGATTGCGCTGCATGTCACGTATAAAAATTAATAATAATTGTACTCTACGCTGTACCTTTTCAGGCATTATAACAAAGCTGCAAACACAAGTACTGCACGTAATCACCCATGTCCGAGCCCCTTCCACCATCCGAACGTATGAGCCCTACAGGCTCAAATTTCGCTCCTTCTGCATGAAGGTGAAGTTGAGCTACTTGCCTGCAACGGATATGACCTTGGCACTCTACCTCATTCATGCACTAAATCACCAGGCCACCACATCCGCCATATTGCTTACATGCTCCGCCGTCGCCTTCGCGCATCGCATGACTGGCGAGCCCTCTCCCTCGACATGACCATTTCCACCACAAGTGCGCGAATTTGCCAGACGCCATGGCGTGCGCCCCACCCAGATGAAGTGAAGCACGCTGCCTTTACAAGAGGACCTAAGCAAGATTTCACAATGATATATTTAAATATATACTTCTCCACACCACCTAGGCTTGGTAGTGACAAGCCCATCCCACCCGCAGCACCCCCACATCCTTGCACCCCCATTCCTTGCAGCAGCAGTGGCGTCGATCAGCCGGTCGACCCCTCGGCAAGCGAGGTGGAGACGTCGGCAGCGAGGGCAGCGGCTGCAACGGCGGCGACGGCGGCAGCGACGACAGCGGCGGCGGCGAGGCCAGCGGCACCAGTTGCGGCGGCGGCGGCTTCGACGACAGCGGTGGCGGTGGCGGAGCTCGCAGCACTCGGCGGCGTGGCCCAACCTGCGACGACGGGGGGAGTACGGCACGAGGTCGCCAGCAGCTGCGGCGGGGAGGAGAGGAAAGACAGAGGAGGGGAAGGGGGAAGGGGTGGGGGGCGGATCTTCAGCGCGGCGCTATGGCTGGCGCGGCGCTAACTAGCGTGCAGATGGGCTGGGCGCAGCTAATACGGGGCACAGCCCGTTGCCGTTCGTGCGCTGGCGCGTTGACGCCGCCGCGACAGCACGACGAGGCTGCCATGGCAGCGCGTCGAGACTGCCGCGGCAGCACGACGCGGCCGGCAGCACGATGACGCCGCCACAGCAGCACGACGCGGCCGCCATGGCAGCGCGAGAGAGAGAACAGGAGTGCGCAACAGAAGCGAGAGAAGAAGGTCCAGCGGGTTGAACCTGCTCTGATACCATGTCGAAATAGGTCGTGAGGTTGCTAGAAGGTAGCTAGGTGGGATGCCATGAAAATGACGAAAGGTTTAGCTAGGGGGCGAGAGTTACGAAAGGGAGGAGAAGTTCGCAAGAGAAAAGGGAGGTGGACTAGAAGAGAAGGAGATACAAGAAGGGGGGTTGTCCCCTCTACAGACAAGCCTACACAAAGATATATTTAAATATATACTTCGACACATACGGCCACGTTTGACATGCATCTTCCCAATTTGTTTCAAGTGACAAACATTTGAAACAATGGTAACTGATATCAACATTTAGACTTTTACCACTCGCCGTCTCATCACTTCTTTCACTCCCGTGACGCCACTTTCGACGAGTCTGTCTCCTTTTACCACCACTTTCCCAACCGAGGTCTCCCGGTTTCCCCGCCTCTGATTCTGGTTCCCACTCCCCCGGTAGCCCCTGCTCCCGTCCCTCCCCATCCTGCTCCGCCTGGTGTGTCTCACGTCTCTCCTCTCCCGTCGGTTGTCGCGGTCGAGGAGTCGGCTGACTCTGGTGGCCCCGCGGCCCGTTCTCGCTTCCTGCCTCTCCCCCGGTGTCTCCTCCTCCGCCGTCGCAGTAGCCGCCCAAGCAGCAGCCGCAGCCATCATCGCAGCTGCAGCCGCAGCAACCGTCGCCGCCGCAGCAGCGGCAGCCGTCCGTGGACTCTGCGGGTGCTGGCGTTGAGGAGGGTGCTAGTCCTGGGATTCCTGTCGTGGCTTCTCCCGGCAGGCCTGGGGGTGGCACCGGTGCTGGAGAGGGTTCTCGCTCTCGGGGTGCTCGTTCTGGGGGTGCTGGCGTGGAGGTGACCGTGGTGCAGCTGGCGGTCCAGGTGTCGGCGTCGAGTAGCAGCAGCAGCAGTCGCCACCGGTGTCCGCCCTTCGCCTGCCCGGCCTTCCCTCCCCTGACCGCTCACCTGCACCTCCCCCACCCCCTTCTCCCCTTCCTATCTACGGCCCTGTGTTCCCTTCGCAGGACTCGTCCCCGGCTTGTTTTCCCCACCGTTCCCCTCCTGTTACCCCTCCTATTTCTCCTGAACCGACGTCTCCGTCCCACTTCTGGTCTCGCCGTCCGTCTCGTGCTCGTCCTGTCTCTCTTGTTCAGCACTCTCACCCTATCTTACTTCGTTCCCACGCGTCTTGTCCTCCCCTCCTGCCTTCGCCTCCTCCGTCGTCACTCGTTGTCGCGCCGCCTCCTTTAACCGACTACCTTCGTGCCTCTCGTCCTCTTGTTCCTCGAGTCCTTGCCTCCCTCGTTACCGACCCGACTGTTCCTGTCTCTAGCCTTGACACTCTTGTCACTGCTGTCACTGACTTCACCTCTACCCACCGCCTTGACTACGCCACCGCTCTGGTCTCTGACCTTGTCCGTCCTCCGTCCGTCGGGGGTGCTCCTGCCCTTAGCAGTGACGTCCTAGAGGACAGGCAGTACGAGCTCGCTTTCACGTCTGAGGCCGCTCCCTATCTCTGTTCCATGCTGCTAGTCCTTGAGGGTGATCCAGACGCCTTTGACATCCCGACCCCTCGCACTTACCCTGAGGCGACCTCAGGACCCTGGGCCTCTTAGTGGATAGCTGCCATGGAGCAGGAGATGGCATCTTGGAGATCCACAGGCACCTACATCAATACAGTTCCCTCGCCTGGGGTGAACGTAGTTGATGGCCGGTGGCTCTTCTGGGTGAAGCGCCCCTCCAGAGAGCCGCATGTGTTCAAAGCGCGCTACATGGCTAGAGGCTTTAGTCAGCGCAAAGGTGTGGACTTCTTTCAGACCTTCGCCCCGACCCCGAAGATGACTACTCTTCGGGCGCTGCTACACGTAGTAGCATAGTGTAACTACGAGCTCCACTCCCTCGACTTCTCGACAGCTTTTCTTCAGGGCAGCCTACAAGAGAACATCTACCTGCGTCGTCCACAGGGCTTCACCGGTACCTTCCCTCCTGGGACCCAGTGGCTCTTTTTGCGCCCGGTCTACAACCTGCGACGGGTACATCGTGAGTGGCACGACACTCTGCGTGCTACGCTAGCTGATCTGCAGTTCTTCCCGTCGTCTGCAAACCCCTCACACTTTGTTCGTACTGGCCAGACCCCATTCTACATCCTTCTCTACGTAGACGACCTCGTCTTCGCTACTGCAGAAAGAGACGCACTGGCCTTCATAAAGGCCGAGCTGCTGAGGAGGCACACCTGCACTGACCTAGGAGAGTTGCGCCGCTACCTTGGCCTACAGATCTCCAGGGACAGAGCAGCATGCACCATCACTCTCACACAGTCACACTTGGTGCACCAGGTCCTTCAGAGGTTCGGTCTTCAGTTCTCCTCTTCACAGCCCACACCTCTGCCAGTAAACCACAGGCTCTGTGCTCTAGTTCCTAAGGAGTCAGTAGAGGCCAGTGGTCCTTACGCAAAGCTTGTGGTTTGCCTCATGTACCTGATGACTTGCACTCGTTCAGATCTCGCATACCCTCTCAGCATCCTGGATCGCTTTGTGGTGTCAGGCAGACATCGGCCACAGCACTGGTCGACCACGAAGAGGGTTTTGCATTATCTAGCAAGTACATTGGGCATGGGACTCATGCTAGGAGGACGCAGGCTAGTGGTCCTTACTGGGCACACAGATGCTTCGTGGGCAGACGACGCTGAGACCCTCAAGTCCTCCCAGGGCTAGTGCTTTAGCCTTGGTTCAGGTGCCATCTCATGGAGGTCCACTCGCTCCTCGTCTGTTGCCCAGTCTAGTTGTGAGGCTGAGATCTACGCTGGTGCCATGGCGGCACAGGAGCTCCGCTGGCGGACCTTCTTGCTAACAGACTTAGGTGAGCGGCCTAGCTCTGCCCCGGTTTTGTGCATGAAAGGCAGTCCTTACACAAACGAGGTCCCTCGCTAACAGCAAGCATGAGAGCCAGTACAAATCGTGAGGGCGCCGAACCTAACTCTGACATGTCTTCGAGCTTTGGCAAATGGCGCCAACCAGGTCTGCTCATATCGAACCAAACTTAGCTCATACCCGCCTAGCCTACTCATCGAACGGTGAAATGGGCTTTGTCTAGGTAGACCTAATTTTGTCAGTACCAAACCTAGTTTTCCCTCCAAACAGCCTGAAACCATTTTCAAAACCCATTGCCCTCTTCCCTCCGTGTCACCTCTCTGTCGCCAAGGCTGTGTGTCAGGGCCTCACTCCTCAGGGTTTCGCTCCATGCTGTCTGTTCAGCAACCAGGCACCATGGATCAGGCACT